AAACCTGAGCAAATTGGCCACAACGATTTGGGAATGTGCCTTCAGCGTCATCTCCATCTACAAGCACAACATATCCCAGGGATCCTCAACTCAATCGCCGATCAAGCTTCTCGACAAATATTTGCCAAGAATCAGTGGCAATCCGCTAGCAACCTTCCATCAACTTCAACAAGCATGGGGTGTACACGACGTCGATCTCTTTGCGGACCGCACCAGCATTACTTCGAAGTATGTGGCGTGGAAAACAGACCCATTAGCATTGGCAACAGACGCCTTCACGTTGACATGGAATCAGTTCAAGAGACCACTCATTCACCCACCTTGGAATCTGATTCTCCCAGCATTGCAGAAGGTCAAGAGAGAGAAAGTCACGGCCACAGTCATAGTACCTTGGTGGCCAGAGTGCGATATGGTACCCACTTCTCAAGCAGATGGCAACACGTCCTCCAATCATTCTCAATCCGAAAATACACACTCGTGTCACATCATCTCTTACCCCCAATCCATGGACAAACCCACGTTGGAAGCTTTCCGTGTGGAGTGTCTCAGGCGCAAGTTTCGCTTTCTAGAATATCATGACAACACGGTGAATCACCTTTTGGCAACCAACCGGTCCCTGAATGCTCGCTCTTACCGCAAGTTTCAGCTTGAGTTTCTCAGTTGGTGTATCACACAGCAAGTGGATCCAAACCATTTCACCATGGCAACACTCATCAATTTTCTCTCCACCATGCGCTCTCGTTACTCAGTGAATTCATTACCGCTTATGCGTACAGCCATTATCCATTTTCATGTTCAACCATCACTTTTTCAACATGATTCTCAACTCGAACAACTATTCAACATATGGCGTGAAGAAGCACCACCGGTTCCAATCGAACGTCCCCTGTTGATTTGACTCCTTCTTTTGCATTTTGTCGCACGATTGAATCTTCGCTCCGATCAATACCTTTATACAATTTGGCTCACAAGACGGTTTTCCTGCTTGCTATCACGGGTTTCCTTAGACCATCGGATCTACATCGTATCAACCTCCAAGATTCCTTTGTTGATGGCTCTCGTTGTTTACATCTTTCTGTGGTGGCACCCAAGGAGAAACGGAATGGTCGTCGTATTGTTAAGGTGGTGCGCATCAAGCCATATCCTCAAGATGCTACTTTGTGTCCGGTGACATTTGAGGCTCTACGGGATCATCCTAATACGGTTAATCGTCCTCCTGGTGCACTATTTATTAGTACCACCAACGCTCGTGTGGCGGCTTCTTGTGATACCATATCTCGTTGGTTACGCAATGTGGTGTCACGTTCCATCAATTCATCATCGTCGGCTTCAAGACGACCTGCTATGCACGTTCTGTGGCTTCGGATTTGGCGCTCCAACATGGCATTCCCTTGATGATGTAATCACTCACGGCAATTGGGCTTCCCTCCATGATGTTTGATAATCACTATCGGCGTTCTCGTCATATTTCCTCTGATATCACATCTTCGGTGTTACTTCTGGTTCCTCTTCATCGTCTTCAGCCGATCCTGGTTCACGGTTTTTCTCTGGAGCTGCATTCATGTGTCAGGTTTGACACTGATGGACTTGCTCCATTGTCAGGAGAGACTTTTTGACTGACAATGGAGAGCTAGTCCGGAGGACTAACTCAAATATTTATGAATCTTCCCACCCACGCCTCCTTTTCTTTTCCAGCTCGCTCATAGATCCAAAGAACATTTAGACTTATAGATTAGACTTTTATTGCATCAAATTTTCTAGCTGCACTCGTTACGCTCAATAAAGCGGAGAAATTAGATCACAGCATTCATGTGTCAGGTTTGAGCTAGTCCTCCGGACTAGCTCTCCATTACTGTACATCAAACCTTGATAATGAGATTGCCTCTCTCGAACGTGGAACTTTCACACAAGGTGCTCTCGGACACGTTAATCAACATTGTATTATAAAGAACCTACACTTCATTGGAAAATATTGAATGGGAGGGTATAATGTAGGTTTACTATGTAAGTCGGAAATGGAGGTCAGCACCGGATTCATGATTCATCGAAATAGTATGTATTACCTTGGGATTCCCCATTTCGAACCTGAAACTTTGTCAGAAGGTTCGCTGGGACATGCTAATGAACTTCATTCAATTCAAATCTGCATACTTCATTGTAAAGATTTAAAATGCGGGGTGGTCCAAATGGTGGATGACGGGTACAAAAGAGAGGACGGCCCACCGCCCCGAAGTTGCCCACTTCCAACTTGAAAATCGATCAGAAGGGTACTCTCGAGCATGCTGATTAACTTTTTCTAATAAAGGCCTCATGCTTCAATTGAAAATTTGGAATGGGAGCGTCCAAAAGTTTGAAAGACGGAGACATTCGCAGGGTCTGTCTTTCAAGAATTGACGTATTCTTTGTTTGGGCGTAGCTCAGTCAAATCAGCTCGGATCAAGAAGCTTGGGTGATGGAAATGAATGTCTGGAGCAGGAGAGTCGTTCCCATGAAACGTATTTGGCAACAAAGACGAATTGGAGGAAGTGGCTGTTAGCTTGCAGTTTATGAGCTATTATCATAGTATGTATTATCATGCATTGATCTGTTCCAGTACTACCCAATGAGCTGTGTTACACAAAGAAGTCCCTCTGCATCATTTGCTCTATCAGGGGCTAGCTACATGACTATGAACAAAAATCACTTTTCATATAGCATCACACTTACAGCGTAGGTAAACATAAAGGTGCTTGTATCTCCAAACTTTACAATCAAACGTGGGCTCTTTAATAGAACCATGTTCTCGGCGGGGTGAAAGCGATCTTGTGTCAAACTATGAAGTTCATCGTGGCCAATCCCAGATTTCGCAATGTCGCTACCAGCCAAACTGGATCTGGGGTCGACCTCTTCGACGACGACAGCCAAAAAATATTTTTTGGGCTAGTTGCGACATTGAACGACTTTCACACAAGGTGCTGTTGGCCAAGCCGAGTCCATTGCTCTAATAAAAACCACGTTTCATTGTAAGAGTTTGGATATACAGGCACCTTTATGTTTGTAAGCGTGATGCTATATGACAGATGATTCTTTGTTTAATGTAAAATATCTAGACCCTGGCAGAACAAAAGATGCAGAGGGTCGTGTTGTGTAACTGCGGCTGCGTTGCGACTGGAGAGGATGGAAGGATGATACTGTATACTGTTGACAAAAGCCCGTTCATTGCGAGCTAACAGCCATTTCTTCACAATAGCCACTGTTGTCCACTCTATGACATGTGAGCGATTCTCCTGCTTCAGACATTCATTTCCATGATTGGATTATGTTGATCCGAGTTGATTTGACCGAGGATGCAGCGAAAGAGGGATTACATCAATCCACATCTAACCCGTACTCTATGTTGCTCAACTGAAGTAACCTTGTATGAGCGTAGCTCAGCCAAATCAACTCGGATCAACATAATCCAATCATGGAAATGAATGTCTGAAGCAGGAGAATCGCTCACATGTCATAGAGTGGACAACAGTGGCTATTGTGAAGAAATGGCTGTTAGCTCGCAATGAACGGGCTTTTGTCAACAGTATACAGTATCATCCTTCCATCCTTCCAGTCATACAAAGTAGCTGAGTTACACAAAGAGGTCCCTCTGCATCTTTTGCTCTGCCAGGGTCCAGCGACTTGACATTGAACGAAGACCACTTCTCATATAGCATCACGCTTACAAACATAAAGATGCCTGTATCTCCAAACTTTACAATGAAACACAGGGTTTTTAATAGAGCAATGGACTCGGCTTGGCCAACAGCACCTTGTGTGAAGGTTTCACATTCAATGTCGCAAACAGCCCAAAAAATATTTTTTGGTCGTCGTCGTCGTCGAAGAGGTCGACCCCCAGATCCAGTTTGGCTGGTGGCGACATTGCGAAATCTGGGATTGGCAAGCTTGAGCGTGAAACTGGCACCCAAGGTGCAGTTGGCCGAGCCGAGCACATTGCTCTAATAAAAACCCCACGTTTCATTGTAAAGTTCGGAGATACAGGCACGTTTATGTTTTACCTATGCTGTAAGCGTGATGGAGTTGCTTTTTCCTACTGAATGGTGTCGGCTGCATTAACGGAAAGATGAAGAGCTGAGTGAAACCGCACGTGGTGGTTACACAGACATGTCCTTGACAGGTTGCTACACAAATGGATGATGATGATGATTGCCTTTTGTGAAGGTACGTAAGTAAACAGCATCCAATAATGAAGGTGTGTCAAGGTATGCATCACATTTGCAATAAACCAATTTGTATATATAAAAAGATACGCATACATATTGAATGAGTCACTCATCCTGAAACTCAATGGAGGGATCTCTTCACTTTTTCTCTGCTCAAGCTCATCCCACTTCCCACTTCTCCTTATTGTATCACAAAAGCCATGTACTTCTTGTATGACCGATAATCGGACTACCTTTATTATTCCATCTTCGAAGCAATAGTGTGTAATCCACAAGCTAGCAACCTCCAACAAGCGTGTAATAAATAAACAATGTTTTGTTTCATCTAGCTACTGTACCTTGCTACTGTACATTGCCATCACCATCGTCGTAGTCGTCCTCCGTCATCATTCGTATTCGTACTCGTACTCGTCACCAGTCTTCAATCTCCTCGTCGCAAATGTCAAAAACACGCAAGTTAATCTTCTTGATATGATGATGTGCATGATTCAACCTCACTTCCCGACCTTCAAATTTCTATTCCCCCCTTTCAATACAGCAACCAACCAAGTGGTCCGCATCTTGCCCATATGAGGAGATAGTACTGTATGATAACCCAGTCATCACGTTGAATCCGAATCCATTCAATGAAAAAGTCGAAGAATAGCATATGGTAGTGAGGATGTTTATCAAGTAATAAATGTGATAAAGGAACAGCATTGCAAATTGAATAAGATATGGGTGAATAGCATAAAGGTAATAGGGGTAATTGTGTCATTGTCCTCTTGGTTGCTGCCGTCATAAACATCCTTCATCCATGATAACAAAATAGCTGCTGCATGCATTGTATCGAATACCTCAATATCGTCCATGGCTGTACAACACCTCTCGTCAAAGATATAAGCCCATTACTCAAATCCATCCAATCCATCATCATCTTCAGCTGTATCCACGTGACACGATCCATCCTTCCTGCTGACGACGCTGACGACGCGCAAGTAATCAAAAGCAACATTCCAGACTTCCCATCACTGCACTTGATTGCATCCATCCATCATAACCATGCAATCCCAATATGGTAGTTGAAAAGAGCCATGTGATCGCTGCTGGTATGCTTCCTTTTCCATCCGGCTATTGGTTTATCTCTCCCTTAGCCGTTTTCCATACGGTTCAACTAGGCGAAGATTGCTTGTATTGCGACGTACTTGATGGCTGATATGGCATCATCCATTGGTATCCGTATGTATCAAAACAAAGTTGCTGCACGTAAACGAAGCTGATTCTATACAATGACTATCGGCTGTTCACGTAAAAAAAAGGCTGCAAGGCATGTTGCTGCAAGTGGTTGAGGCAACTAGGCAAAAGCATTGCCAATAGTAACTGCTGGAAGAATGCCATTACGTTTGATCGCGCACAGGAGTGTGCAATAGAGCGTGTGTTGTAGTAGAGTGGCAAGGTTGTGAATGCTGTTTGACACAATGGAGTATAAAGGCCTTGCTAATAGCAATTGCTTTGTAAGCTTATTGTAAGAACATCACTTCAAATGTAGTGAAAAGGCGTACAACGAGAGATCAAAAGATTACGAGCAAAGGGAGCAATTGAGACCGCTAGTTATGATGAAGATGCTAATCGTTTGTTGATTGCATACATGTTTATCTATTGATCCTGTGATCACGAGTACAATGCACACGAATTCCTAGTGTCCAAGGAATTGAGCATTACGGACATGTAGGAATTGATCCATTCAAAGAACAAAGGTTGCTATAGTGGCTCCTGCACAATGGAATGGGACAAAAGGGGTAATTCCATGGTTTCCATGGTTGGTTGCTTTGGTCATCAAGAGCGGGAAAAAAAGTAGCCAAAATCATGCAGGTTTAGTTTGCCGACTTTCTTTGTTCTCTTCCCACCATGCACGTCGTCATTATCGGTGCCGGTGCGATTGGTTCATCGACTGCCTACTTTTTATCACAACGTGCCAAGAAAAACGACGTGCGAATCACTGTTATTGAAAAGACGGGTGTTGCTTGTGCAGCTAGTGGTCGTGCCGGTGGCTTCATTGCACGCGATTGGTAAGATTGGTAGCAACCACACTTTATCTTTCTTTCTTTCTCTCTCACACACGCATGACATTTTGAATAGGAGTGACGGCACACCTTTAGGACCTTTATCTCGCAAGTCGTATCAGTTACATGGAGAATTAGCGAATAGGCTTGGAGGCGAAGCCAAGTATGGATATCGACATGTCAACACGTATTCGGCACTATTACAAAGCAAAAAGAGCAAGAGTCGTCATGGATCAGTGCCTGGAGAAGTTGCATGGATTGATCAAGAAAAGGTGCGACGCGTAGAACAGCTTGGCGTACCGAGTAGCACAGCACAAGTGCATCCTCGTCAATTTACTCAAACGTTGATGGATGCTGCCGTGGCAACAGGATCAGTGAAACTGAAATGTGGTCAAGGTGTTGCTCGACTAGCATACGAGAGTGCAGATAACAAGGTTGTCACTGGAGTTGTTCTCGATGATGGTGAAACAGTGGAAGCGGATGCAGTTGTTGTATGTATGGGTCCTTGGAGTGGTCTTCTTGAGATGCAAGGTCGTCGTCGTACCAACCATTTACCTATTCATGGTGTGCGTGCGCATTCAATTATCTTTGAGCCGAATCAACCGGTACCAGCTGAGGCACTTTTCACGGCTGTTATTGATGGATCTCAATCCCATGAACCAGAAGTGAGTCTTGATTTACTATGAAGGGAAAGTGACACACATGTGACCTAACTCATGATGTTGGCAGGTGTATCCACGACCAGTAAGCCTTGTCTCTCTCTTGATGTCTCTAATGTGAAGATTAATCTAATGTATGAATAGGATGGTACAGTGTATATGTGTGGTGCCACGGATAATTCCGATCCATTACCTCCTTCTGCTGATCAAGTCAAGGTCAAGGATAGCGCCATTGAACAATTGGAGTTGCTACGTGAATTGATTGCGCCATCGCTATCGGGGAAAACAACTATCCGACAAGCATGTTATTTACCTATCTCACGCGACGACATGCCTTTCATCGGTGCTCATCCATCTCATTCTCAATTATATCTCGCCACGGGTCATAGTTGCTGGGGAATTCTTAACTCGCCTGTCACTGGTCTCATGATAAGCGAATTACTATTGGATGGTCGTATCACTTGCGTCGAAAGAGAAGCAGTGGAAGCTTTTGATCCAAAAGGTCGATGTTGATATATAGAATACGCACACGCACACGCACACACACACGCAACACACGCAAAATAAAAGAGACCAGCTGTGTAATACCATTTCCTTTTCCCGTATCTCTTTCATCGACTCCTTTCTCATTGTATGTTTTCTTGAATGTATCGTGCCTTGTGCCTTGTGCTTGTCTTTGCAGTTTCCACTTTGTGCGTTTTGGGCACCCGAGATAATCCCTTTATCTGGTTCGTGTATACAAGCCGCTCCTCATTCTTTCACGCCATGACGTGATCGGGCTCATGGGTTGTCATTGTAGGCAAGCAGTGGTCGAGTATGACTCTGTATCAGAACGCAACTATGTGGCGGGGTCCTCTTTGAAGCAATACAGCCAAGATTTCCAAACACTTGTCGTGCATAATGATCTCCATGGATACAGCCAAGTAAGATTACCCACCCAGCTGATCTCCTCCTTTGATCTCTCTCGCCACATGTGTCACACTAACTTTCCCAAATTGTCAATTCCAGAGGCTATTGTTGGATCTTGGACATGGATGTAATGGAACGACAACAATCGACAATCTCAAATCATGGAATGGGAATATAAGCAGCAGCCTGTTATCGACACCTTCCATTGCATTGGTAGAGCGTGGAGGACACAATTGCCATCTTTGGTCTCACAAGATCAACAATGCCTTAGCCCTGTCATCACAACACAACCTTAATATTACAGCCATTCTCATTGCCGACAATACAACATACGATGACGCCAACGCAATCAGTCTACCCACTACAGCTAATAATCCTCCAATTTGGAATACTACTTTACCACCTATTCGCAATGCAACGCTTATGCCTGATAATGATATCGATTCGGCCACGATTAATATCCATGCTGCAGTTTATTTCACACCCGCCTTGTATGCCGCAGAATTGAAGGCTATGATAGGCAAGTACAACAACGATGTTCGAAGATACGTACAATTAGGCATGCTTTTTGAGGAGACATCATTTCTCGTCAATACAACAAGTGGTGATACTGAATCTCAAGACGACAGCGATGATGGTGAAGGATCAAACAACGCTGACCGAGGCTATCTAGCTTATGTCATTGCAGCAGCCACAACGCTTGTGTTTGGTAAGACAAAGATCGATGAGTAAGCAAATCAAGGTTACTCATTATTACAATAGTGGGTATGGTTTGTCTAAGGTGGTGTCGCAAAACACGAGATGATGAATCTGCGATCGATACAGCAGATGTTGTGCTTGGACAAAATCAACAAGAGACTCGGCGTTTATCTATCACTGTGCTCAACAATCTTTGCCCCGTACAAGAGCTTCACAAGGTGGATACCAAAAACACGGTGTGTGCTGTGTGCCTGGATGAGCTGAAAGAGAATGATCTTGTTCGAATTCTTCCATGTAACCATGGCTTTTGTGTTGCATGCATTGGTATGAAAATTGATTGAAGAGCTTTAAAGTGCACAAGCCTTATACATGGAATTAGATTTATGGTTGACAAAAAAGTCCAGCTTGTGCCCTATATGCAAGTACGATTGTGATCCAAATCATCAACCACAACGATCTTCATCTGAGCATGTCACTGAGGAGGAGGATTCACCTTCGTCTCCCGCGCAACAACAACAACAACCACCACCACCATCAACGAGTGAAACCACTGTTGAATTGCAACAAGTTCGTGTCACACGCCCAACACCACCTCCACCAGCAGTAACAACATCATCTTGCTAATGTCTTGGATTCAACTACGGTTTTGGAATTCCACATGTCGATCCAAAAGCGGTTTTACTGTCCTCGGTCAATTGTTTTGTGGGGTCATTGTGTCGCTTGATTATCAGTGATAGTGGGTGCTACGTGCAATAAACCTGTTTATTGGTGCTTCTTTGTTTGTTATTTTCTTTGTTGAATTACAGCATCATGCGACGACTTGCACCGATGATCATGTATGCGTTGGCTATTGTTATGATATTCTGGCTGGTCGTTGGTGCCATCACGCTTCCTAACGCATCACGATGGTTCAAGGGCTCTGGCCCATCAATACAACAAGGCAATATTATACATACGCATCAGCTATTATACAATCAATGAAAAGTCTAACATGTCATCCTACATTAGATATTGTCTTATCTTCCTCTTCATCCTCGCCATCCAATACCACCAATTATTCACAAAGACCACAGCAACAGCAGGTTGTATTTGGTGAGTGGAAGTACGATTCTAAGATCATGGTTACAGAACATGTCCCAAGCCCGCCAAAGGAAGGATTACAGGTATGTGTGTGGAAAATGAAAATGCGTCAAGGCAAAGAATGACGACTTGACATGATGTCAATGGATTTTAGGGTGTTTTATATGATCGTGGAAACTCGTGTGATGATCAACCACAAGATGCACTTCCCATAAGGATTCAAAGTAATGTACCCAAGATAGCTCTTATTAAGCGGGGTGAATGCTACTTTACACAGAAACTACTTAATGCTCAAAGGGATGGTGCAAGTGCTGCTATCGTCTACGACAATGCTACTTTTGATCAGGATCCATCATCAAATACTGGCATGGTATGAGAAGACTAAAGACTTTTGGTATGTCAAAGGCTGATTGATATGCTTCATAGTTTGTGCAACCGGACATGGTCAAGATTCCCGCCTTTTACGTTGATCTCTCTGTTGGATTGGAGATGTACAAGCGACTTGAAAACGTATCACAGTCAATGTCATCTGATAATGGATCCTTACCTTTGACACGGGTGACGATTTATCCACCACAAGGTGCAAAACTTGATCCTTGGCAATTTGCTCTTATTATTATTGGTCTTGTCGTCGTCACAAGTTTGGCCATCCTTGGTAGGGACAATGCTTTTACATATAAATGAACCACCATGCTAATACCACAAGCATACATGTAGTGGCAATGCAATGTCATTTATGGCGTGTTGGTCGACGTGGTGATAATCTGAATAGTACATTTGGGAGAGAAAGGATGGATGATGAAGAAAGTATCCCACCAGAAGATCAGCTTTGGCGAAGTTTGGCTATGGTATCACCACATACACATCCACGACAAAAACGACAACTCACTCAAGACATGGTGCGCATGCTACCAACGCGGCTTTACGGCTTGGAAAATCAAGAGGAATGTGAAAAGGCTGCCAAGGAACAAAATGGATGCGTGATTTGTCTGGAACCTTTCAAATTTGGTGACGCTATACGATCGCTTCCTTGTCAACACGAGTACCATAAGGATTGCATTGGTAGGAGAAAATACGTATTGTTGCATATGCGTTATTGACACCACACATCCTTGTAGATCCTTGGCTCACTAAAAAGAGTGCGTCATGTCCATTGTGTTTGCAAGTGGTTAATATACCGGCACCCCCAGATGAGGCACACATTGACGTTGCTACTACCACTCCTATCAACTCCACATCATCACCGTTCGACGTTGTGAATCATCATCATCAGCACCAAAGCACTGCATCTTATAATGATGAAGCCATCGAAATGACCGAGCAAAGATCAATCACCAATTCAACTACTGATAATCTCATGGATATCCGCCGCTTATGGCAATGAACAACACTTCCACTTTTATTTACAAGATCATGTATAATTATACGGCTATCTCACGATCATTTTTAATCATGGATAAAGAGTTATAAAGTGTGAATTAATGAGGAATTGAATGCGGGGTGATACAAGGACAAAATGTCAAATTGCAAGACATGCGGCAAATGTTGACTGTGACGGCTCGACTTGTTTTGGAGTTGTCAGGGCTGACTCGATATTGAGGGTACTTCTTTTTCCGCCAACACATACAACAATACACATGTTGCGACTTGCAGCCGGTGCCCGTCTTTTGAAATCGAGTGCCACCACTACGGTCAACACTTGTCGCACCATTCGCCTCAATGTGAAAACGACAGAGTTGAATTCCTTGACGTCCCAAATGCGGTCTTTGCGATTGTATAGCACAAGTGGCAAGAAGGAAGGCGGTGAGGAAATCGTATCGCATTCCGGCTATGTGAGTGGATTCAGCACACAAGGCAACGTCACTGGCAAAGCAGGAGCATCAGCATTCCCTTCGCAACAATTCAAAACATACAAGCCAACAACACCTGGCAAACGTTGGTTGAAGCGTGTACCTCGTGACCATTTGTACAAGGGCAAGGCAGTGCGTCGATTGACTGTTGCTAAGCGTTCAACGGGTGGTCGTAACAACACCGGTCGTATCACTATTCGTCATCGTGGTGGTGGACACAAGAGACGTATTCGCTTGATCGATTGGTATCGTATGGAGTCTGGTCAACAACAAGTTATGCGCCTCGAGCACGATCCAGGCCGTAGTGCATGGATTGCCTTATTGCGTCATGAAGAGACCGGTAATTTAAGCTACATTGTGGCTCCTCATGGTGTCAAGCCTGGAGACAAGGTGACAAGCTATCGTACAATCGACGAATCATCATTGGACGTGGATGAGGAGAATGAAGGAATCACACGAACGGTGGCTATTGATGTGGGTAATTGCATGCCTCTCAAGATGATGCCTGTGGGTACAATCATCCATAATGTGGGTCTCAAGCGTGGTGGTCCTGGTGTCATGGTGCGTGCTGCTGGTGCCTATGCACAACTTATCCACACCGGTGAATCTGGTTACGCTCAAGTCCGTTTGTCAAGTGGTGAAGTACGCTTAGTACCCGTCGATGCATGTGCTACTATTGGTGCTGTAAGCAATCCCGATCATCAACACGAGTCCCTTGGTAAGGCGGGTCGATCAAGATGGATGGGCATTCGTCCCACAGTACGTGGTATGGCTATGAACGCTGTGGACCATCCTCACGGTGGTGGTCGTGGTAAATCTAAAGGTAACAAGGATCCACGTTCGCCATGGGGTGTACTCGCTAAAGGTGGCAAGACAAGAAAAACTCCCAATCAATTCGTTGTCAAACCTCGTCCTAGACGATAGACGCAATCCTTTCATCATCCACACCTTTTTTTTTGTACCTTTATTCATTTCAACCAATTCCAATACACAACCCAAAAAGTAGACTTGTAAAATAATATCCATGTTTCTTGTGTGTGTGTGATTGTGTATGTGTTTTCAAAATGTACTCTCCCCCTTTCTTGTCAAGCATGTGCTGCTATAGATAAAGTTGGTGGGTTCCAAGGCGATGGGATACAAGCAAGGCTGATGCTCGTAAGGAGTGTGATGCTCATGGGCTATCTGAAAAACCAATAAAACTAGGTTTGCGCTGTAAAGGAGACAATTGGATACATATGGACAAAGAGGTGACATGTGTCATTGTGGCTTTTGAGTTGACAAAACAAATGATACATGTATACATGTATACATGACCGCATCGTGTGCATTGACCATCGCCAACGTGGGTTCCTTTGGCGTAGCGTAGCATTATAAACGTGTGAGAGAAAAATGTTTGTTTTTCTTCTAACCCCCCCCCCAACTCACGTATTAGCTGCATGCGTCTCGAGAACATTTTGGTCATATGTGCAGTGTAGCTTTTATTTCCATAACGTATAAGGTTGACCGCGTACATAAAGAGGACAATATCTAGGGGTGTAAAACGATCGAATGGAAAACGTAGTAGCGCACGATCAAATCTCTTCCATTATTGTCAATCGAGAAATAAGGTTCTTTGAGTAATCGAGCATGATGAAGGAGAAAAGGGGTGATAGGTGAGCGTTTATACTTATATCCATGGAGAGCGCAAAAGGAGTCAAAGGGGGTGGGATCGAGACTGATATGTGTGTATGTGCCCCAGATGAGGCTGTACATAGTACCATTCGCATGGTGCCCGGATTTTGTGAGCTTATACAGATATACTGCTTTTGTTTTGTTTTCTTCCCTTTCTTTATTCTTTTTTTTTTTCAACTCTGCAAGTGACCCTTATCCCCATTCCTAATCCTTCAATTACTTTTACGATCAAAGATGCCTCGCGAACTTGTATTTGATCAAGGCGTCTTGAAGCTGTCAAGTTTCGATCCACTCTCAAACCGTGTCGAGACTCGTATATTGAAGCTTCCTGATGTCCCTGCACTCGAATCGCTCGAACAGCTCTTTATCAATACAACATCCACTCCCTATACCACACAACCCAACAATACGCGTACTACCGAAGTTCCTTTGTTACGTTCAACTCGTTCATTGAATACAAAGAAACCATTATCACCTAACCGAGCTCCACGTCGCTGCTACTCAAATCCCGCTCTTTCGAAAAAGAAGGATGTCATGGGTTCATCAGGTAAGATCCAACACATGTTTTAACCCATTTTCATTCTTACACATATGCTCTATAGCTGAGACGTGGAAAATGCCTCGCCGATCTCCATCCAAACGCAACTTGCTGAATGCGCTAAGCGGCCTTATCCAAAAAGCAAAGCGACCTGCTTCGATTCGTCGACGAGTTAGCAGTCGTCGCTCTAGTGCCAATAGCAGTATTCAAGGAACTTGGCATACACAAACATGGTTGATCGAGATGCGAGCATCAACAGATAGTTTGGTGGAGCCAACAACAAAGGGATCACGATGCTGTCCAAGCGAGAATTGGTGGGCTACATCACCACCATTGAACACAACCACCCATGTTCTGTAGCATTAGCATCACTTCTCCATGGCATCATTATATCCCTTTTCCTATTACGCGTATAGTTCAATCACCAACCACCCCATCCCATCGTTTATTTTTTCATGTATGCAAATATTTTTTCTTCCACTTGTCAAAACGGCGTTTCCTTATCTGGTATCCGAAGATACGCCGGGGAACCACTTGTAGATGTAACCATCATCATCACTTTCCTAGTAGTAACACTCCCCCCATTCCACTCTCTTTGTTCCAAATTTTTCTCTTGTTATCAGCTACAACACAGACCATCATTGAAACTTCATCTCCTTTTTGTACATGGCTGAATGATGAATCACTTTGATAGGACAACAATAGCAAATGGAGATTGCTGCATGATGTATGCATGCCCCCATCTCTATTATAGACTCATCTCCTAGAAGTCTCTTTCATGCAGAACCCCAATAAGCATGATCATCATGAATAATAGGGTGAAAAAGAGTGCTTGCAGTTTCCACATACACATACATGCAGTGCCTCAGTTTCGTGTATGTATATTTAAGCTATTGTAAATGAAAGAATGAAAAAGATCAAGGGGGTTGGTTAAATTTGTGCTTCAATAGAAACGCCGTAAACTCTTTATCTTGGCCCCTCTTCTCTCTCTCCCGCAAAGACCACGCACACACGCCTTGTTGGCTCATGCACCTTGTGCTATTCCAAAAAAGAAACGCCCTAATGCACAGCAACGTTACCAAAATGCTGCTGGGAATTCAATGCATTCGACGATGATTGACAAAAACAAGGACCAACAGGATGTTCTCCGAATTGGCATCTGCACGTGTTGATTGTGTGTGTATGTCTTTTACAATACTACATCATACAAGCAACTTGTTCTTCATATCTCTCTATAATACGACCTATACATAGGTCGTTATCAATCATCTTTTTGTTGTTGGAAGATTCTATTTTGGGCGTTATTGCATTCAACCTATCGCATGTGTGCAACGTTTTCTAATAAAGGGCAATCCGAACGGCTGATTGTTTGCAAGGACCACCACAGCTAAACGTATAACCGAGATCAAACAATCAAGGATTCAAATTGATCCCTTTTCACTGAACCATTACATACGCGTGGGCATGTTGGCAAAGGTTTAATTTTTTTTTCACATGTGGCAAAACAACGTGGATGATTTATCCATGTACAGCATCATGCGAGTGATAGACGATACATAGCACGAGCACTCTCTCTTTCTCTCCTACACATTTCTCCTCCTACATACATACATGCAACCTTCAGTGGTCCACTTTTTTTGCCCATCACACTTTAGAATCGTAACACAAAGGGAATATCATATATATTTATACGTGTCTGCTTGCTGATTACCGCTAAACGTAAACAAGCTGCGTTCGAGGTGTGAGGATGACACCGCAACTGATATATGGGTCGGGTAAGGGAGGGATGGGGAAAGGTTGGTCGCGATTGACTACGCGCTATATGCGTATAATAATATAAGACGAGGGGGGGTATGATGCCATGGAAAATACAGGTACTGTTATATAAATCATTCCTCCACTTGAAATCTCAAAGGTGAAATCTTTCGATTGGTGCCCTTAATAAACGGATCCTTGCGCCTGGGCAAAAAGCCTCGAGGTTTGAGTGGACTTAATAGCTTCTTGTGCCTCATCATACGGAGCTCTGCAACAATTATCCTAAGGTGATCAGGATTGGATCGGGTATCTCGGGTATACGTGTTGGTCTCGGGATTAAACCGCGGTTTTGTGGTAGCTTCGGATCGTCGACGTTGCGAAGCCGGTCGTCTTGGAGGTGGTGGCATGGGTATCAATCCTGCCTTTGTCGTCGATTTCTTTTTCAATGATTCAGGGCTTGCTGATACAGGGGATGGTGGTGGTGATGATACGACAAGTGACCATCTCAATTTGGCTATTGTCTGTGCAAGTCGCACTTGTTGCATATCTGAAGGTCGTGGTGGAGAAGATGACATGACATAGGAGGCTGTAGTCGACGTTGAAGGTGTCTGTGCCTTTGAAAAAGATGTAATTGAATGCCGTCGTACCAATGTCTTGTTGTCTGATAGTACGCTTTTAACACTGAAAGAATCCCCTTCATCATCATCATCCTCGTCTTCCTCATCATCCTCATCCGCTTCTTCACCATCACTTTTCCAATTCGCATGAACGACACGACCACGTAGTGTTGCTTCCTCCTCATCCTCCTCATCCAATGCATCATCCAATGATTGTACTTGATCGGTTGTCTCGGCTGCTATAGCATCTCGTATTTCAGTGGCGGGATCACTTAAAGAGGGTGGTGGCATATGCAATGGTAGTACTTGTGTCAAAAAGCCGGCAGATAAAAATGTCGAGAATGGATGCGTCTATCAACCATTATTGAATGAGTATCATAGCAACGAGGACGTTGTCTCTCTCTCTCTCTCGCTCTTACCAATTCCTCTTCGTCTGGTAGACTTTCCTTGCTGTCAACCACTATCCAATCTTCCACATGGGACATGCGACGCATTGTTGGTTTCAGCTGTTGCGGCTCGTCTTCTGGATCCGGCGATTTACGACGTGATCTATGCTTGCTGCTCTTCTTTTTACGTTTCTTGAGGAGCGGTGGAATGGCGCCATAAGGTTTCGGTGCTTGAGCAGCGAGCTGCTTGATAATCTCCTTGTACGAGGTTGGTTGTTGGCCGTCGGTCATGGTTGACATTGGGAACGGTTCATTCTGCGAGATTGACAAAAGAGTAGGCATAAGTGTAGAAAAGGGGTACAAGAGAAGAAGGAAAGGGAAACAGGGCCAACAAGTGGGTTTGGAGGTTTTGCTGCTGGGCACAAAAAAAAAACGGAGAGTGTGAGTTGCCTTCCCTTTTCTCACCTGCTTATTACTGATACTACTACCACCACACACATGTACGCTCTTTCCCATTTACCGAACACCTTTTTGGATAAACTTTATTGGTGCACCCAACGATCACCCTTTTCATGCCACCTTCGTCTGTAGTGCATATTGAAAATCAGTACCACAACCGAACGAATATCATAGTATGTACTCTTGTTGTCAAAAGCAATAAATGGTTTCACAATGTCATCCGAAACCTTTGTCTCTGCAATACATAAACCCGTCGCCGACAATTATTTGGATCATCATTATTAAACACTCTACTAGCCACTAATTATCCATCTCTCTCATAATTTCCGTTTCAGCTCATATGCATCCCTTTAGCTCCACCTGAACTCTTTCTTTATGATCGTGGCGAAAAAAGTCCGATAATGTTATTCAAGTGTAATAAAGAACGCATGCTATATAAAGTAGAAGACTTGCTAGAATGATCGATCACGACGTCTATTAATACCATCCCATACCTACCATAAATTAGCTGTACCAATCAACCAAAACATTATCCAATAATAGAGAGAGCTCTTTGGGGTCAAACATAAGAAAGGGATAGCCCACCCTCCCCCCTCACTATTGATCTACTGCCAAGCCTATGTAGGTACTATACAATTGGTATGATTGCATTATTGCTGCAGCTATAAACCCATCATACGCTATTGAAGGTTGTGTATTCTTAACATTATCAACCATGCCCATTTACCGAACGCATCATCATATGCAGCCACGACGCATGAATAGATGCAAAACCTAGCGTTCTCGACTTTTTTTGTGCTATCAACGGGCAGTTGCCGAATGAGATACAAGCATTTTGCCATGTGATTTGTTCCAGAGTACAATGAATGGAACACAAGAACCTGCTTGTATCCGATAGCTTAATAGTATATGCGTGAATCAAACCGAGTTAGTATATATAGTGGTCATTGTTATGCGTAATAATGACACTTGCTGCATTGTCAAAGGAAAGGATGATAACCTAACAAAATCACCCAATCGTTTATTGCACGTTATCAGCATCCACTACCCAAAGTACTAGCATGATTATGTTTTATGAATTATGGTTGCGTACAATGAAAGCAGCAACGTGGCTAGCATGTACGACAGCTGTGGGAAAAGTATAGAGATGTTAAAGTTGACATCATTCGGACATCCAATATAGTGCCAAAGTATAGGTGGAAGCCCCAGAAGCAGCGCGTTGTCGTTGTTTTTCATTTCTCTTTGTTTCTATCAAACATCATGCTTGCCAACGTTGCTCGTCGTGCTTTGACCAATATTCCTCGTGCTTCTGCTATCGTTGCACCCCGTGTTGCTACCCGTCCTTTGGGTGCTGTGGCTCGTCCTGCCGTTGCTGCTATGACGCGTATGCAACCATACTCCACTGCTGGTGCTCCCAAGACCGCCACTATTCAACGTACGTGCTCATTACAACGCATGACTCAAATGAACAACTCGTTAATGTGTGTTTACAGACACTGCTCCTCAATGGACTGCTGACGCTGTTGTTGACGGCACCTTCAAGAACCTCTCGTTGTCTGACTATAAGGGCAAGTTCCTTGTCATGGTCTTTTATCCTGCCGATTTCACCTTTGTGTGCCCCACCGAGTTGTTGGCTTTCAGCGACCGCATTGAGGATTTCCGCAAGTTGGGTGCTGAAGTGGTGGGCATTAGCGTTGAGTAAGTGGATGAGAAATTTGATACTATCAATGTCAACATGTCCTTCTAAATGCTGCAATCTCCATAGCAACGTTCACTCTCACTTGGGTATGCTTGGATACAATCATCGTATAGGATGATGATGATGATGAAACGCTGATACAATATCATTCAATCATAGCATGGACCAATGTTCCTAGAAAGCAAGGTGGTTTGGGTGACATCAAGATCCCCTTGGTTTCTGATATCAAGAAGGAGATTGCCACTGACTACAATGGTAATTGTGTGGATGGATATCAAAAGAGTACTTGTATTGATTCATTTTACCTTGATCTATGTAGTGTTGATCCCCGAAGCTGGTTTGTCTTTGAGAGGTTTGTTCGTCATCGATCCACAACAAAAGCTTCGTGTTGCACACATTCACGACCTCCCCATTGGCCGCTCGGTTGATGAGACTCTCCGTGTCATTGAAGCTATCAAGTTCACCGATGAACATGGCGAGGCAAGTATCAGAGTGCAATAATGAGTACGGAGCAATGTAGGCTAATCCATGAGGGATCAATAGGTTTGCCCTGCAAACTGGCAAAAGGGTGACAAGACCATCAAGCCTAACCACAAGGATTCCAAGGAATACTTTGAAGCTGTCAACTAGATGTGCAATACACTTGTAACCTGGTAAATAAAAAGATACAACACGGCATCACTCGTTTCCGAAAATGCACCCATGTTACAATGACGTTTAGCTAAGCTAAAACTTGAGTGATCAAAGTGATACAAATGGTCACAAGTAAGCTCATTCTAATGTTCACTCCACATTTAATGCTGGTTCCTTTTAACCCCACACTACAAGTCAATTGGTCTGACAAAGCGCAATCGCCACGTGAAATCGTAAATGCATATATAATCCTCTTCACGTTCCCTTTACTTTATCTTTATTCATACAACCTACAATGACTTCCTCTCCTAACTACCAATACGAGACTGTCAAGGTCATCGTTCATCCGGATGGCGTTGCTCATGTCGAATTGAACCGCCCAAAAAAGTTGAATGCCTTCAATGACGAGTAAGGGCTATTGCCATGTCACTTTTGGAAACCGAGACAACGGGATCTTGATATGCGATTGACTTGTAGGATGGTACGCGATGTACGAACCGTGTTCCGTGATATCACCCATGACAAGAATGTTCGTGCTATTGTGCTCTCTGGTGCAGGCAGGGCTACCACTTCAGGCTTGGATCGTAAGCTAGCATTCTTCGACAATGACATGTGATAGTAGTAATAAATACTAACTCCCTCCTCCAGTGGCAGAGCAGAGCCTCAGTAGCCTTACGGATGGTGATGCTGATATTGCTCGTAACGTGTATGCTACACGCAAGCACATTAGGGTGAGTCATGATTAACCAAGTAATGTATGTGCTATTCAACTTACCTATCTTTTTACATGATAGGATTTCCAAGATGCATTCACTGCTATTGAAGAGTGTGAGCAACCTGTGATTGTGGCCGCCCACAATGTCTGTATCGGTGCAGGTGTCGATATGATTACAGCTTGTGATATTCGCTATGGTACCAAGGACTCTTATTATGCTGTCAAGGTGAGGAACTTGAAGAATCCATCTTGCGGATAAACATCCTGACAACGACGATGATAGGAAGTTGATATTGGTCTCGCTGCCGACGTTGGTTCCTTGCAACGCTTGCAAAAGGTTATTGGCAACCAGAGCCTTGTACGTGAATGGTGCCTCACAGGCCGCAAGTAAGTTCTATCCTATCATGAAGAGACTCTTTATGCATATAGCTGATACGAGATGATTCAAAAAAGGATCGATGCCAATGAGGCCTACCAAACGGGTCTTATCAGCAAGTTGACCGATACCAAGGAACAAGCATTAGAAGAAGCCTTCAAGACGGCTCGTGTGATTGCAAGCAAATCTCCAGTGGCTGTACTCGGTACAAAGTAAGCTTCACTTGTCATCCTTTCGTATATAGAACAAATGTTTATTCACAATCTCTATGTATCCCACAAAACAGGCACTTGCTCAATTACTCTCGTGATCATTCGGTTGCTGAAGGTCTCAAGTATACCGTCACGTGGTCCTCTGCCATGTTGAACACTGAAGATATCCCATTGTCTGTTCAAGCATTTATGGAAAAGAAGCCTGCCAAATTCTCCAAATTGTAATAACATTTCCCAAAGCACCGTGAATGTATTAGGTTGTTGAATAAAATGAGAGTGTATTTACAATGAAATGTCTAGTAACAGCAATCACAATCAAAGGGACATTGAGGAGTGTCTACATGCAATGTCTTTAATCAGTAACGCATCCCATAGATTACAATGAGCATCCTCTTTACCTTTGCCTTCACCTATCCGGAGATCCTTCACATCATACAAGGGATAACCATCCTCCGTTGTGCGCTCTAATTCATGCATGAGTAACAATGTCGATTACCATAGATCCAAATCGCTTTGACTTACTGGCTTTCTTTCCTCGAGAATCTCCAAAGCTATCATCGTCTTCAGGAGGTGCTGGTGGTTGCTGTCGCTTGATTCCCTTTTTGACAGATGCCAGTTCTGCAAATACAACTTCTTCCACCTTGTTCTCTTGATCCTCTTGCTTCTCTTTGTCATCGCTACTATCCTCCTTCTTCTTCTTGTCTTTTTTGTTCTTTTTCTTTGTCGATTCCTCCTCTACGCTCTTGTCGTCTTTGGGTAACTTTTTGGTGGCAAATATATCATCGATCTCGGAATTGCTCTTGGCTTTCTTTGCAGTGGTGCTGGTGGTGTCTTTTTTCTTCTCTATGGTGTCGCATTCAACAATCAGCATCCCATTTCAGAGCAACGAGCAGATCGTTTATACCTTTAACCATGGTGTTGTTGTTGTGAGTAGTCAATGGAAGGAAAAACAAGTGGAAAAGCAAGCGGCTTATCCTTTTTCTTTTCTTGCAGCCACCTTGATGCATCCCATTGCAGCCGATACACACGAAGCACAAGTCATTCGAGAATACCGTGATCGTGAGGTTGCCTTCTTCAACAACTTGCCCACAGCGCAGCGTGCGTTACTACGAGCCCATCATATTGATCCAGCCGATTCACTGTTGTATGGCGAGTTGGCGTTCGTCCTTGTCGGTCTTAAACCATGCGTGCTGATTGATTTCCCTCGAGACGCCAGTGCCTCAACAAGCATCACACACCTCTATCGACAGGCAGTCTTGGATCCATTGAAAGAGCAATATGATATATGCATCAACGAGATCCATCGTCCATTGGCTAGTGATGAAATGGAGCTTAAAGGGTGTTTATTGGTGCACAAGTCATGTCCATTAGTACAACAACTCCTGGATCAGCAAGATGAACAAGTATCAGAGACATTGCTTGCCAAATTACTTGATTACCCTGGTCGATTACCCGAGTCATCCGACGAGATATCAACCATGTGCGAAGTTGTATATTATGCAATCCCATCAAAAGTCATTCTCACTACCTTTGCTGCACAACAAGATGAATTGGATCAAGTCAAGGCTCATTTTGCACGCTACAAGGAGCAATGTCATACACAATTAGGCATGGAACTTGGCCTGCTGGTACGTCGACCAGGTTTTTAGACTTTATCGAGATGTTCGTGTACAAAAAAAAGGATAAACGAAAAGGTATATAACATTATTGTGTATGTCCGTATGATGTGTGGCGTTGGAGGGTGGCACGGCGGATGTTGTTCAAAGATCACAGGATGAGAAAAGGGAAAAAAAGGATTTTGTATGTTGTGGGAAGAATGTGCAAAGGTTGTCGAGTGTATAGGAAGGAAGGAAGGATATGCATGCGTTTATGTTGTGCTCTAGCAGACGTAATGAGGTGGAACAGCAGGAGGTGGTTGCGATTGTCGTTGTGTCTTTTTCTGTTGTTGAAGACGATCCATGAGTTGTTTAAGTTGGTCACTTTCAAGCACATTGTCAACACGGGCCTGTAGCTCTGGATCCAACTTATAAAACTTGCTGGTATGTCGTGTGGGGATTGATAGAGGATGATTATTATTGTTGCTGCTGCTACTCGTTTCATTCTGTGATGGTGATGCTACTCGGTTGCTATGACCTGAACCATGCTGTTGCAAAGAAAAGGCGCGTCGTGCCAATGTGGCGTTGCTATGGGCGGTAGATCCATTTTTGCATGATTCATCCTGATTATCGGGTGAGATTTGTAGCTTGGTGGATGACGACGAAGGATAATAAGCGGATTGTGGTCGACGACGTTCCAACCACTGATTGACTTTGGAGGATGACTTTCCAAACATCTTTTACGTATAGCACAGTCAATAACAACAACAACAACACAAAAGAGAAAAGATAAAAGATGAATATGGAGGAGAAGAAAACAGGAGTAATTGTTTTTTTGTTAATGAACAAGGAGAAAAGGTAACCATTGTGCCTTTTATATAAAAGCTGTTTTCGGTACACAAGTGATCATAAAGCATAATATACGCTTGAGTAAGTATGCACGCCAGCGAGTGGAGGAGAAATTGTGCTAAAATTAGCAGCCCCCCAGTACAAAAAGGCATAGGTTGAATGATCCTGCGCCCCACTGAGAATTGGTTGCAAAATGGGCAATGTTCTCGGACACACTACAAAGACAGCTTTCATCATGACAACCTTTACCGGAGAGAACCACGGAAAAGAGAGAAAACCGACACTATTGTCAGCAACACACTTAACCCCGCCCCTGCATGGTGGTAGTGCTTGGCAACAACTACATCACCACCTGCATACTCAAATTGCATACTGTATACATACATAGGTGGCAACACACACACACACACAAAGCACATGGTCCCGCTCCAATGTACTTGAACATGCAGTCTTTTGATATCCAGTAAGCAATAGATGGTATAGCATCATCGTACAAACGTGGTTGAGCGGGCTGTGTAAAACTTTGTGGTGCTCATTTTCCCCTGGGTAGATGAGCTTGTATACCTTTTTGCATTTGGCGGGCCACACGTACACATATATACAAAAGTATCTCATCAAAGATGCAACGTTATTATATACAACGGCTGGGGAAATCATAAGATACAATGCTCTCGCGCGAATGTTTTTTGTGTTGCAACGACGAAGCCTCGTTCATATGCCTTTTAGCCTTCTCATATTATTACAAGTTTTGTTACTATACGATCATTGACAACCAGCGTCGTTTGTTTTGCATTCATCATGTATCTTTTACATGTTGTTATCGTACTACCTGCATCCTCTAACGAACATGATGATCACCAGCCAGCTCCGTCTCGGGCAAAGAATATCACATAATAGCTTCAACGGCGAGCCTAACCTTATGCGAGTGAACACCATCATTTTTGAACCATTTGTTCAAACATGGATTATACCAATTTTGATACATTCCAGGCATCATTTAGAAAAATATGATAAACGACGTGCCGATAAGACATCACGTCATCCGCTTTGGTGATTCCCACCATCATCACAGTATCACATGGGATACCTGCCGATCAGCTGGATCCTTGTTGTTTGATGCATGATAATAAAAAAAGTGAAAGGGAAGCCATCAGATTGTGATGGTTTCTTGTGTCTAAAGAGGTGGATGGAATTCGCTATTATCATGTTACCAGTATCCTGGTACTATGTATGTGGCTTCGCTGAAAAACATAACGTGGCACAGAAGATGTCAAAAAACACCCCAATGTGCCACGCGTGTAGTTCTTCTTTTCGCTCCATCAGCTTCTGAGATGCATAAATGATCCATTATCCTGCAGCTATTTGGATTCGATACCATAGGACGTTGCTCTTTAGCAATACCTTTTTGGTCGATTTATAGCTAAGCACAACGCAATCTAAAAACTCTATGCATGAAATGATTAGCATTAATATCAGCAGCACAACATTCATGAGCGGCATGATGTTTACGGAAACCAAAGGACGATGAATGGGTTTGAAAACAGATAGGTAGTCGTACAACGTCATTGTAGTACAAGCTTGTCGGCGTTGTTTTTTTTATCCGCATAGTTCTTCGGATGGTCCGCTCCGGTGATAGAGATGCAACATCGTTTTACTTTGATGGTGTACCGATTCAATCAGTGGACATCAATCGCCTATCTTAAAGGTATATGGATGAATCCTCATATCAGCGGATACTCATTTGACTATAATGAATGGAGGCAGTTGGCAATACAAAACCAACCACACACATGCATCACCCAGGAGACCCATCTTTTTTAATTCACTGGTCGCCGCTACTTCTCGTAAAAGCTATCCTTGTTACTATAGTGATACAACAAATTGACTTGCGCTATGTACCCTGCATTAAAGAGAACAAAGCAGATCCGCGTCAATGATTTGTTGGTGTGAAGTAACAGTTGTATGTGTTAAGGGGGCAAAGCTCATATCGAGTATTCACGTCCTAGTATACACAACACGCATCACGTACCAGGACATGGATCATGAAATCCAGCAACAGCTTTCCTTCACCAATTGACTATTCCTTTCATATGTGACCTTCACCCTCATTATAATCAACGCATGGTCATTTATTATACAACATGGTTTTATCCATCGCAGCCTTCTTCAAGTGTGGATCTTTGTGATGCCAATCATGTTGTTTGCACAAAAACAGGAGTCCTGCGTGATGATCACCGTTGCCAGAGTACCGTTGCCATGCCAACACCAAGGAGCAATATTTGTCTCCTCCCACTCTCCATAAGATCTTGGCATTATCAGCTATTTTCACGCTCTAAAGGGCGCCTCTTAACGCAACGTAGAGGATGATAAAGCATAAACTTGTCAATTAGATAATCTCATGATCATTCATTGTCAGGGGTGTGAGCTGCTGGATAGGAGATCCGGCGTATCGATGTGAGTACCACGTCCCAAAAAGGAAGGTTGTCAATTGGGATGTGTTTAATGAGCTGATATCTGCATTGGTTGCCTTAATAAAATATCACCTAGGACTTGGAGAAGAATAATGGACAAGGTGGTCCTAACATTTCATCAGGATCCATTAAGTGATATCAATGATAACATGATCCACCATGATACCATGTCCCGCTACAAGCCATAAGAGAGGATCGACCCTTGTTGTTATCTTTAGCAGCATTGATGCTCTAGTTGCCATTAAAAGGATTGCAACCTTTGGATTGGAAGGTGCCTGTTGTCAATGCTGAGATTGAAGATGTGGATGACTTTCATGAAGAATGAAAAAGGGATGCTACTACACATTGCTGTTGAAAACAAAATGCTGTTTTTGGCATAAAAATCGTTGCTTCTGGTTGAGATGACTACCAGCTGATAGATGATGCGCTGCATAAAAGCAGCTTGTTGTTGCTTGTTTTCATGCCATTTCGTTCTTGAGAAGGGGATGGCAGTATATGAATTTGGGAGAGAAGGCACATGGATGATGCAAAACAAATGTCGATATAGGAGAATGGAAAAGACAATATCCACGGAAAATGCCACAACGCTTATCGCTTTGCACGTCCTTCATTTCTATGTCTTTGTAACACTAGCCAAATTCATCCGGATGGGTTGCACGCCGCTTCATGCGATACACATGCTGCACACATTGCGTGACATGAACCGTGCATCCAAGCACAGAGCATGTTTTACATGACAATGATATTGAATTTGGCGTCACTGCTCACATTGTTGTGGTCTCCTGAATAAGGTAGGTAGATGACTGTGCAAAAAGCTCACGTTTGTAGGTGGTGTTGTTACTAGCTTAGGGTGTCGGCACGACATCCCCTCCTTATTACAATACGCTTTACAATACACGTTTGATGATGTATACACGATCCCCATCTCTTTTGGTCTCCTATGTACTAATGCATAGTGAGGATGATATGCGTAAAAAATGGTATAGTTTCTTAAAAGCGATTGACTCCCATCTCCCGTTCTTCTGTAAAGCATGTTGAAAGGGATGGACGATGCCGCAAGCATCAAAAGAAGCTTTTGTCTTACCCATGCATGAACTTTATGTACGGGTTTATATTACACGCCAATGCGTTGTGGTGTCTTTTTGGGCCCAGACCTTCTTGACAAGTTGATACATATACGATGATCTTATACACCAACCCATGAACCAGTGATCCTTCCCATGAAGATACCATCGTCATTATGCACCATTTGTGCGACTACTAATCAAACGTATTAGAGCATTGAAGATATGTATGTCTACATAGTAGCCAGGGGGTTTGGTCATGGTAGTGTGCTGTTGCTGATGCCCAGGAGAAAAAGTGCAATATGGATCTGAATGGGTACCTACCATATACAGCTGCATACGCCTTTGCTTCTAAAAAGGCATAGCCGTATAGGTTGCTTAACTTGCCTCTCTCACATACTCTCACCCTCCAACTCTCAAAACGAAATCGATCTCCCTAATGCAACTTACATACACCCCACTTTGTTGTTGCACATTGGCTCATTGTTAATAACCAAAAGGGTGCCTTCTACGTACATAGGGCGTATAATATGTATCCTGTCATTGGATTAATTATGTATGTACACAGCTTGGGAGCTTCTATTGAGAACATGTTATTATTGGGCAAGTGTGCGAATAAAGATAATCTTATTTTGTGTTGTGTGCCAGCAGATCGAAATGTGCTACGCCTATCAAATTAGTTCTCCTTTGTTTGTTTTCAATAGTAGCATGACTTGGACAACCGCATGTGTGAGTGGGTGTTTAACAAGTTGAAAATAGTGTATTCTTGATTCCCAACCCCACATGGGACACGAGTTTGCCCGCGCGCGCGGTGTACATGTATTATAGATCTGGTTCCCAAAACGCTCTGCATAAACCACACATGTATATCCACCACCTTCTCCCCCATGTAGGCACACACCATTAATGTGCATGAGAATTTTCCAAAATGCCATTTTCAGAAATGCCTTCTTTATTATGATTGAGAGAGTTCCCTTTTGCCTGTAAACGTGCCCTGTACTTTGCGAACTTTCATCTCGCCAGGAGTTATTGCTATTTCGGTGTTGCGTGTGTGTTTGTAGTACTGTATACGAGAGCAGATCCAGGGGTGCGAAATATAGGGAACCGCGGGGAAAGGAGAATGAGGAGTGAATAGGATGATGATGATGGATCGGGAAAACGAGAGAGAGAGAGAGCAAATATGATCATGGTTTCAACAAGGTAATGGGGCCAAAGGTCTAAAAGACAAAAACAAAAACGTCGTCGGTCTTCCATCAAGGAAAACTCACATGTTGTATGTGCATCGTAGTTGATGAGGTTATGAAATGGTATATACTGCAAGCAAGTTGTGTGTGTGGTGTGTGTGTGTAAGTGATATGTGCGTTGTTGCATGTGTGTTGATATGTGCTTGTTGGACTGGATACACGCTGAAATCAATAAGGTTGCTGACGTTCGCTCTTTAATGAAAGAATGTGCAACGGCTGACGTGAATGATCCGGAACACGGATGTAGCACTTTGACTATATCCAAAAAGTTCATAGGTGAGTTGCATGTATACATAGCATGGATAAAATCATACCTTGGCATAAGGCTGATGTCGTGGTCGGTAATACTTTGGTGGTCGATCAACAGTAATTTGGGTATCATAAGGTGCATTGACAACCACCAACACATCCTGCCTCAATTTTGATTGATAACGAGCGAGATCATCCAATGTCAAGTAGCAGTGTTGTCGATTTCGCTTAAACATCTGTTCAATTTCATGATCCACACGCCGTTTAGTGTCAGCCAGTCGCTCGTGTTCCTTTTCAAGCGAAACGTTGTGTGTCCGTAAATAGGCAAGCCGACGTTCCAGTTCTTCCAGGTTGGCACTATTGCTGTTATTGCTGGTTGTGCTTGATGCTGCCGATGTCACGGATGATAATGATGATGTGGATGATGTAGGAGATGAAACAACCTTCCTTTGGTCAACAACGTTGGGCGATGATGATGATGATGATGATGCAGTATGGCCACTATTGCCGCTGCGAGAGCGCACAAACAAAAGAAAATAGGATGAGCATTTCCGGTACCCAACAATTTACTTTTTTCAGAGCAAAAGTTTTCCTTACATCCATCGCACATGGTTCTTTGAGTTCTTTTCAATGAGTCGAATGCCTTCAAGTACATTGGTGATATCGTAAATGCGTCGCTTTTGTACTTTGAGTTGCTGAGCAGCTCGGTTGAGATCCAATTCTCCATTAGGACTGGAACGTAAGAGAGCAATAAACTTTTTTGTCAACAAGCCAAGCGATGAGTCGTAACGACAGGATTGAGCGTTAGGTGAAGTGAGTGCACCGGATGGATGAATTTGGAAGGGCACTGCAAATTGGAGGAGGAGGAGGAAGATGTTGAGTTGACGATGTTTCTGTAAGCGGAGTGCCAAGACTCATACCTGATTCATGGCGGGAACGTCGATGAGTATGCGTCATTGTGTGAGAAATAAGGAAGAAAGAGTAAAGAAAAAGAGAGAGAGAGAGAGAGAGAGGAAGGGGAAATATGCAAGAAAAAGTGGTAAGGGCGGCTTTAAAAAAATAAGTCAGCAGAATAAGTCAGGGATAAGAATAAGAAAAAAAGAGGGAAGTAACGTCGTCATGCAGCGGCCAACATGTAAGCTCGTCTTTTTGTGCATCTGCACGGACCGGAGAAGCCTCCTATTTGGGCTGATGCTGATGCTGATGCTGGTGATGCTTGCTGCTGCTGCTGCTGTTGGCACAAGACCTCCTCGCTTGTATAGGCAAACTGCTTCATTATGACACAACCCCTGCTGATCAGGCTAATGCGTGTATTGTGTATCCATCATCATCATCATCCGTTGATGTCGCCTCGTACCTCCTTGAATACTCTAATGGGAATTTCCGCCCACCCATTTTTTTTTGCTCTTCCCCCTTTTGTTACTGTGCTGCAGCCGGCTGGGTTACACAACCTGTCGTATCTCCCATTAAGGAACGAAACGCCCGGGATCATCACTTTCCAATAATCGCATTATTCAAGGACATAGACACGGAGAAAAAAGAGAAGGTAACGACACCATATGGCCCAGAATGGCCTATTGTTTGTTGCGTTAGTGCATTCTAGGAGTCATCATATTACCAAGGAGTTTTACCATTCTCCATCAAAAACGGTTCGTGTGGTTCTTTTTGTGTCGTTGCTACGGACAAGAGCCGCGCGCTCCGCATGCCATCGTGTGACAAAACCCCATGCACCACGTAGCATCATTTCCTCCATCAGGCATCATAGAGTTGAATATGAGGTGCCGTATTGTTGACTTTAGCAGATAACGTGCATTTTCCCACCATCATCATCATCATCGTCGTCATTGTGTGTTGTTTTTATTCACTCGTGGCAAATGTCGTGTGGTAGGTAGGTATGGAGATAATGTTGTCTATTCGTCTATACACAAGGAAATCGCATGATGGGTGCCTAGCGCCACGTCTGCTACTGGTTTGTCAAGCGGCACCTGTTGAGGCACAAATGCGTGTTCGTCATGTCCTAACCCAAGTCTTCCGCTTGGTCCATTCAAGCCCCATGAAAAGAGCTCACCCGATGCTGCGTGAAAAAAATCACAAACATCAGCTTGCATCCATAACAATAAACAACAAATAAGTCCCCTTTTCCCTTTTTTACCTGTGATAGCCGCTGCATAATCCGTTGTTGCAAATACACGTTTAATATCCTTGAGTCCTGGTATCCGCTTCAATGTCAACGTCTCAATCACATCCTTGCCAAGCCCAAGAGCGCCATATCCACATGTGTGTACTGCACCGTCGTCTGTTCAACATGACTTTAGAATCTCAATTTCTCTTTTGCTCATGGGTTAAACCTTATTACCTGTAAGCACGACTGAAAATGGACCACCGGCTGCAATATCGGTGATACCCCGATGTTCTAATACCACGGGCTCCAAAATCTATGATAAGAGAAAAACATCAAAGCATGAGACACAATGTAAAATAAGATATTGAACGAAGCACACTCATAATTGTCTTTGTGTTGCCATAACTTACTCTATCGACCTTGGCGCCTGTCATACCTTGCCCATATTCAGAATTGCCCCACGTCCATAACCGGCCATCAGCTGATCGGCATATGCATGTAAAGAAGGTGTGTGTGAGATATATATATACACACATATGAAAATCGAATGTCCAAATGGTTACCAGTAAGAGCCAATGTAAAATCAGTGGAGCCAGCAAGTTTCTTGATAGGAGATCCAAGTGATGGCAAAGCCTTTGGCACATTGTAATCAATAGTCTCGCCCACGCCCAATTGGCCATCTGCACCCCAACCCATGGCATAGATCATCTGATGGTCTATTATGATGATGGTGGTGATATGAATAAGTAAAGGGACGAGTGAGATTGTTGCCTTTCATTGTTACCTGTTGCGAAAACAGTGTGGTCCAGACCGCATGCAATGTCAGTGACGGTACCTCGCGTGACAACCTGACATGGCTTGTTCTCAACAACAAAGGTGCCTGGATGTGTAGCCTTGCTTTTGCCCACGCCAAGTTGCCCATACATTCCATTGCCAAACGAGTATAATCCTTGTGTCGTCACAATGTGTGAATGTTCTCTCCCACAGGCCAGCTGATGCACCTTGTCTTTGCTCTCAAACACAAGCCCATTCCCTATGAACGTACACACACACGCGCCTGTCAACAATGATTGCTCCCTCCTATATACCAACTTGCTATTTACCTGCTTGTCCACAACGATCCAATCCATATCCATAAACACGCTGTGCATCAATTGCCAATAACGAATGACCCCAACCAGCAGCTACATGCGTCACATTGCCCTACACCATATTGCCGTCATTAGCTTGTTGCTCACAACATAGGCTACTTGATCTCTCAATTCACCTTGTCAAGCGCATAATCGGATCGTCCTGTCAGCTGTACAGGCTGCTTAAAGACAGTGTTACTTGTTCGCATTCCGGCCAGCGGCAACGCTCGTGCATGTCCCCAACCATAGACGCTGTGTTTGAGCATGGTGTCGTTGTCAAGAAGTGGGAAGAGGAGTAGGAAGGATACGACCAGTCGACCCAACGGCCATTATAGAGCCGCCACATAAAACAACAACGCTGCCATTCGATATGCATGATCCTGGATTATATTATGGCATCTTCGCCTCTCATGATTATCATGTAATGGGTTATCAAGAACACTCGAGCATAGAATGACATGTACTATTATCTACTGTGCAACTGCATATGCCAATAAACTCATTGTATGGCCGCTTTAAACACCAAAAATAATGGACACAACACATGGATAGATAACATTTATCAAGTCAATCTTCGTTGAAATGCTGATTTAAGTAATCCTTTGACTTGGTGGGCGACTTTGCTCTCTACCGATTTGATCTTGCTCTTGCTGGACCGAGGAGATTGGCTATTAGTACGATGGTGATGATGATCCTTATCCGCTGATGGGACAACTTGAGTCTTGTGCCTGATAAACAGCAACTTGGTCCAGAATTTGGTGTATTTGAGCTGCTTTCGTTGGAGCTGATGCGTTGGACGTGGCAACCGCGACACTGATTTGCAACTCCTGGTGGATGGTGATGATGATGATGGTGATGATGATGACGTTGTATTTTGAGAGTGTTTCTTTTCAACAAGAATGGATGATGATGAAACCTTTGTGGTTGCTGTGGTGATGGTGGATGGTTGCCTTGCTGTTGGATGAAAAAGAGGTGTTGGTCGATTGGTTGGGAGACAAGGTAGCTTTTTGTGGTTGAGCCATGGATGTCTAAGGCAATCATGTGCTGTGATTCGTTGAGTGGGATTCTTGCATAAAAGCCGTTCAATGAGGTTGGCAGCTTCAGGTGTAATGTGACGAGGCATTGTGTATGATACATTATTGATGCGTCGAAATAGCTGTGGCATGTCTTGGCCTTGGAAAGGAAGTGTGCCTGCTAACATGGCGTATAGAATCACTCCACAGCTCCACATGTCGACGGGTGGTCCTCGATAGGGTGTGGCTGTGACCATCTCGGGCGCTGCATAAAAAGGACTCCCGCAGTATGTGTTGAGTACTTGTTGTCGTTCACAGAATTTGCCAAATCCAAAATCGCACAACCGGATACTGTGTTTACGATCAATCAGCACTAATAATATGTTGTCAGCTTATTACAATTCACTCTCCTCTTCCAAATATATGCAATGAATTACCATTTTCTGGTTTGAGATCCCTATGCACAATCCCATTCTTGTGGATGTAATCGACAGCCTCAATGATTTCTCGAAACCAACGACGTGCTGTGGATTCATCAAGACGATGACGTTGTTTGATCTTTTCAAAGAGCTCTCCACCATCGACGTACTCCATAGCCACAAAGACATTTGATTCATCAGAGGCCACTTGGTATACATTGACGATATTCTTGTGCCGTAGTCGACTTGCAAACCGCTCACAGATCGCTTTCTCGTTTTGTGCATGTTGTCGCTGATCACTGCTTTTGAACGACGTCTTATCCACAACCTTGACAGCCACCTGGATTAAAATTACCATACGTCAATCGCTCATTTATTGGTGCCCCCCTCACATGTTCTTATTGCTTTCCTTTTCTATACCTCTTTGCCAGTAGAACGATCTCGAGTCAGGTACACCTTGCCAAAATTGCCCTTTCCCAGTGTGCGTAATTTCTCATATCGACCATTGAACCATGATACAGGGTGCTCTTTTTCCTTGCTGATCTTTGTTATGCATCCAATTGAAACAATGAGTCATACATAGGATCATTCAAGATGATTCATTCTTTGCTCACCTCCTTTGATTGTGTTTTATGAGTGCTTGTTAAGGCAGTAGTTGTCATAAAGTAGTCGAATGGGATGAAAAATGGAAAGAAGAAAAAGAACAAAAGGGACCGCGCAAATACACGAGCATATTGCCCTGAGAAGATGAATGCATGTACCTGGTGCAGTTTGCATGGGTCGGAAACTTTTTGATTAGGAAAAAGGTGTATTATGTATATCCGATGAGTAACGTACATGTACAATGAAAGGTTTGACTTTGAACTACCCATACATATTCATGATATCCAAAAGAAAAGGGGGCCTTTTACTCGTGAAACGAAGGAGGAGGATGGGATAATGAATGGGCTCGTTGTAGTAAAAAGGATCATCAAAGCTGGTCACCGTACTCGGCCAACATTAACGTCAATGCTTGTCTTGCTTTCTCGTCATCTTCAATTTCCTCTTCTTCTTCTTCTTCTTCGATATCATTGTCTTCCTCCTCATCTTCTTCTTTCTCCATGGTTATACGTGGATCAGTGGTGATGGGGGTGGTAGTGGGTATCTCAGTGGTATTGTCGTCATCCTCTTCTTGTTCATCCCATAATACATGCTCATGATCACCGCTTAAGATGTTCATCAACTGTGGATCATCATCGAAATATCCGAGTTGTGTTGATTCGATATCTCCTGGAATAACGAGGGGTGTTTTAGATGCTGATATTGACTGTGAATGTAATGAAGACTGCTCCTCGTCGTCCGCCTGCGGTACAATTGCCACTCGCTTATCCAAATCGATCAAGTCATCCACATCCTTCGGTTGTGCTCTAGCCATATCTTGTAGCATATCAAAATCCATCTATATCAACTAACCTTTAGTAATTCATCCCATGTCTTGGTCATAGTATCATCTCACCTTAAGCTGTGCTAATTTGCCTTCCCAAACCCCTCGCATTTGTCGAAGAAAGCTCAAGTCGGCTTCAAGTTCTGTATACAAGTCTCGTGTTCGTTCACTACAATAAACCTTCTTTAGCTATGATTCGTAAGCAACTGTGAATGACTTACGCTTTTTCAAAGGTGCCTGCTGGAGGGCGTTGATCGTTGATCGCGAAATGGGAAGCGATGTATGAAAAGTAATCAGCATTGTAAGGTTCAGGCTTGGTTGGTGTATGGAATCGAGCTCGTTTATGTCGACCCGTGTATAAGTCTCGGACAGCCAGTGGTTGAGGACCCGTTGAAGGTGAATGGGACATTATGAAAGTACAAAGGAAAAAGACAAAGATGAATGATACGCAGGAAAATCAATTTATTGTTCATTGTCAGCAATAGGATAAATAGGGCGAATGTCCACAGGAATAGCTGCATGCTCAATACGCTCCAAAGCAGTCTTGGTCTCTTCAGAAAGCACACCGTATTTTCCAATAAATGCGTCCACTGCACTCTTATCACCATCTCCTTGAAGGATCATGATATCATGTGTCAAATCAGAAACAGCTTGTTCCACCTTGTCAAAGTCGACGCGGTATCGGTTCTCGGAATCACATACGAAACCTCCCTTCTCAACCAAGTAGTTCAATTGACATGCCTATCATGATCATTGTATTAGCATTGCTACATCTCCTTTCCTACTATACACATTCTCCCATACCTGTCCAAGACCATGAGCTTCCTTAATACCAAATCGAATGCTTCGGAAAGCGGATGCCAAAAAGGTGACCCAAAATTGCTTGTCCGTGACCTTGTCAATCTTACCCTTCTTAATCAAAAGAGTGGCTGCAAACAAACCAGCAATGTCTGTGGATCGATCATGTATCTTAGTAATGCCATCCTATCCCCTTCCTTCCTTCCTCCTACTATAATAAAACGTACCAGCCTTGGCTTCTTCCATTGCTGAATGATACTCCTTAAGTTTGGAACGCACAGTGTCACCAGCAAGCGTGTGATGTGGACCATTCGAATGGCATACTTCATGCAACAAGATATGGGTAGTGAATGCATCGCTGGTGATGTATTCAAGCTGATCCGCAGCAATGACTTGCTTTGCAATGGGTGTGAGAACATGTGCAAATTTGCCTTCTTGAACATTCTTGATGAGCACCAATTTGCTACCACCCTTCTTGATAGCTTCCTCATCGTTTGGTAAGTTATAAGCAGCCGTCATAGGGGTAGCTACATCACCAGCTGCGTAGAGTTGATTGACAACTGCAATGGGAGCAGGAATAAGCTTATCATTGCGGTACTTGTCGGGAATTGGCAAATGATCTTCCACAAATTGCAAGTCGCTGAATGCTTCGAGAAGACGAGATGATTCTTCATCACGTGCATGGATGTAGAACTCGTATGCACTCTTGAGACCAAACGCGGCATCGGTGTAAACCTCGTAAGGACCAGCAGTGACTTCCAACTTGTTGTACTTGCTCAATGACAACCAATCGAGTTCAGAGGGTAGATAGTCGTTGGATGCAAATGCCTCCGCACGTGATCTCAGGAACGTTTCAACGCTCGTCTTGCCATCCTTGATATCCGATGATGGTAACTCACTCAATGCATCTGCAGCATCACGAAAGTGCTTGGCAGCAGGCTCCAATAAATCCTTATAGCATTCTGAATAGGGGACGTAGGCCAATTTGTTGTCAGCGCCGCGTACAATACGTGTATAAAAGCTCTTGGCCTTGGCTTCTTCATCCTTGGATAACGTGCTTGTCCATTCTTCAAATTCATGCTTGGTCATATCTTCAGGATAAAAGTTGCCAGTCTCAGGGCATGGTGGCACTCCCTCCACAAAGGGTTCGTCATTGTCTTCACTCGCCTATGGAAAGGAGTCAACATACATACACGCATATACCCATTAAAAACACGTACCCAAGGACCCTTGTACATTTCAAACAACTCGCACAAATCACGATCGCCTTGTTCATGGATCTTCTTTCTCAATGCTTCATTGCCTGACCAATGTTGACGGAAGTAGAGTTGATCAATGAAACGACCAGCCTTGACGAGGTGCTTGATAGCTGTGTGTTCTTGCTTGCTGAGCTTTGACAGGTCAGCGGTGCACTCGAAAGGAGCATAACGAGCAAGACGACTCTTGATGGAACGACCAGTAGAAACGGCAGCCATGACACGTGTGTGGGAAAAAAAGGACGCGGGGGAGAAAGGTGAGTGTCCAAGTCGATCCACTGTGCACTTGTCTTTTTGTATCTCGCATAGCCGGAGCTTACTTGCATTACCGAATATGTAAAGATGCGCCTCTTTTGGTGATCCATCGACATCGACATCGACACCGACACACCGACCATCATCACCATCACCACCATTATACAAACTCCTTTATTGCTGCAACTGAATTGAAGAACATCAATGAATACCCTATTCTTCAATAAATATCATTGCTTTCATGTAAAGGACATTATTCACGTCGGCATTCAGATGCAAAGAGTAGGATGATACAACTTGGAATAGATAATTGGATGCAGCAATCATCCAGGTTGATAGCATCATGCATAAGTTGATAATGGATACACTCTTTTCCACGCATTGTATACACCCAATCCCTTCCATCCCATTTACCGATATCCACATGTAAAAGATTTTGTATGTATTGAAGTAATTCGCTACACGTAAATAAAGCTGTTTCTATACAATGGCTATCGACTGTCATAAAAAAGGCTCCAAGGCATGTTGTTGCAAGTAACATGAGACAAAGAAGTAAAGACCCTGCTAATAGCAGCTGCTGTTACGTTTGGCCGTGCGCAAGGATTGTACAAGAGCGTGTGTTGTAGTAGAATGACAAGATTTTGAACGCTGTATGAGACAATTGAATAAAGACATTGCTAACAGCAACTGTTGAAGTGAACGCTTTTACGTTTGATTGTGGTCGAGGATTGTACAAGAGGACGTACAGTGTCGAGGAAAGCGGGTGTTGTAGTGGGCTGTGAACACGCCATGGACTTGCTAATCAGTCAAAGACGATCGGATCAAGACAATCGTAGAATGGACATGATGGGTTGAAGCAGGACAATCGTTCGCATGCGGTGGATGGGGTAACGGTTGATAATGGGAGAAAGAGACAAGAAGCGGGGAGTGGGAGACCTGGAAATTATGCAAGTTGAATGATATTTCTTTGCTCGAGCGTAACTCAACCAAACCCCTCGAATCAAGAAAGTTCAATGATGGGAATGATGGGCTGGAGCAGGACAATCGCTTGTATGCATTGTATTGGACAACAAAGGTGAATGGGAGGAATGGGCTATTAGCCGGCATTTTAGGAGCTACTCCTAAATAGTGTACAAGCATCATGCATCGCCTGTGCTGACTGACTCAAGTTACACAACACGTCTCTCTGCATCTTTGGCTCTATTGTAGTCATACTACTTTACAATGAACAAAGAACTCTTTTCACATAGCATCACACTTACAGCATATGTAAAACATAAAGGTGCCTGTATCTCTGAACTTTACAATCAAACGTGGGGTCTACTAATAGAACCATGTTGCTCGGCGGGGTGAAAGCGATCTTGTGTCAAACTATGAAGTCCATCGTGGCTAATCCCAGATTTCGCAATGTCACTACCAGCCAAACTGGAGCTGGGGGTCGACCTCTCTTCGACGACGACGACCAAAAAATATTTTTTGGGCTGTTTGCGACATTGAACGCGAAACTTTCGCACAAGGTGCTGTTGGCCAAGCCGAGCCCATTGCTCTAATAAAAACCCCACGTTTCATTGTAAAGTTCGGAGATACAGGCACCTTTATGTTTGTAAGCGTGATGCTATATGAGAAGTGATCTTCGTTCAATGTCAAGTCGCTGGACCCTGACAGAGCAAAGGATGCAGAGGGACCTGTTTGTGTAACTCAGCTACTTTGCATGACTGGAAGGATGGAAGGATGATACTGTATACTATTGACAATATCCCATATATTGCGAGCTAACAGCCATTTCCTCACAATCGGCAATGTTGCCCATTCTATGACAGTGGGACGATGCTCCTGCTTCAGACATTCAGTTCCATGATTGGATTATGTTGATCCGAGTTGATTTGGCTGAGCTACGCTCATACAAGGTTACTTCAGTTGAGCAACATAGAGCATGGTTAGATGTGTGGAATGATGTAATCCCTCTTTGGCCGTATCTCGGTCAAATCAACTCGGATCAACATAATCCAATCATGGAAATGAATGTCTGAAGCAGGAGAATCGCCCACATGTCATAGAGTGGACAACAGTGGCTATTATTGAAGAAGTGGCTGTTAGCTCGCAGTGTACGGGATATTGTCAACAGTATATAGTATCATCCTTCCATCCTTCCAGTCATGCAAAGCGCTGAGTTACAAAGGGTCCCTCTGCATCCTTTGCTCTGTCGGAGTCCAGCGGCTGACGTGCAGACGAGGCCACTTCTCATATAGCATCACGCTTACAAACATAAAGATGCCTGTATCTCCAAACTTTACAATGAAACGTGGGGTTTTTATTAGAGCAATGGGCTTGGAAGGATGGAAGGATGATACTGTATACTATTGACAATATCCCATATATTGCGAGCTAACAGCCATTTCCTCACAATCGGCAATGTTGCCCATTCTATGACAGTGGGACGATGCTCCTGCTTCAGACATTCAGTTCCATGATTGGATTATGTTGATCCGAGTTGATTTGGCTGAGCTACGCTCATACAAGGTTACTTCAGTTGAGCAACATAGAGCATGGTTAGATGTGTGGAATGATGTAATCCCTCTTTGGCCGTATCTCGGTCAAATCAACTCGGATCAACATAATCCAATCATGGAAATGAATGTCTGAAGCAGGAGAATCGCCCACATGTCATAGAGTGGACAACAGTGGCTATTGTGAAGAAATGGCTGTTAGCTCGCAATGTACGGGATATTGTCAACAGTATATAGTATCATCCTTCCATCCTTCCAGTCATGCAAAGTAGCTGAGTTACACAAAGAGGTCCCTCTGCATCCTTTGCTCTGTCAGGGTCCAGCGACTTGACATTGAACGAAGACCACTTCTCATATAGCATCACGCTTACAAACATAAAGATGCCTGTATCTCCAAACTTTACAATGAAACGTGGGGTTTTTATTAGAGCAATGGGCTCGGCTTGGCCAACAGCACCTTGTGCGAAAGTTTCGCGTTCAATGTCGCAAACAGCCCAAAAAATATTTTTTGGTCGTCGTCGTCGAAGAGAGGTCGACCCCCAGATCCAGTTTGGCTGGTAGCGACATTGCGAAATCTGGGATTGGCAAGCTTGATCGTGAAACTTTCACCCAAGGTGCAGTTGGCCAAGCCGAGCACATTGCTCTATTCAATACCCCACGTTTCATTGTAAAGTTTGGAGATACAGGCACCTTTATGTTTGTAAGCGTGATGCTATATGAAGAATGGTCTTTGTTCATTGTCAAGTAGGTGGACCCTGGCAGAGCAAAAGATGCAGAGGGTCGTGTTGTGTAACACAGCTGCGTTTGCATGAATGAAAGGGTCAATGTATAGTTACTTTATGGATCATCTAGGAACATGCATGTATTGCTAGCTAACGGCCACTTCTATCCAATCATCATTGTTGCGAGATCCACTGCATGCGAACCATGCCCCTGCTCTAGACATTCATTTCCATGATTAAAGTAGGTTGATCCGAGCTGATTTGACTGAGCTGCTGTCAACGAGAGATTACATCACTCTGGACATAGAGCACGCTCGATGTAGCTCAACCGATGTAATCTTGTGTGAGCGTAACTCAACCAAATCAGCTCGGATCAACCTACTTTAATCATGGAAATGAATGTCTAGAGCAGGAGCATCGTCCACCTATAATAGAATACACAAAAGTTGGGAATGCACAAAAGTGGCTATTAGCTACCAATGTATGACATAAAAGTGAGGGTTGCGTACCTTTCATGCATCGTCCCTGAAGTCCTGACTTTTTAGCTGAGTTACCCAAAGAGGTCCTTCTGCATCTTTGGCTCTCCAGGGTCTAGCTACTTGGCAATGAACAAAGACCACTTCTCATATAGCATCACGCTTACAAACATAAAGGTGCCTGTATATCCAAACTTTACAATGAAACGTGGGGTTTTTATTAGAGCAATGGGCTTGGCTTGGCCAACAGCACCTTGTGTGAAAGTTTCACGATCAAGCTTGCCAATCCCAGATTTCGCAATGTCGCTACCAGCCAAACTGGATCTGGGAGTCGACCTCTTCGACGACGACGACCAAAAAAATATTTTTTGGGCTGTTTGCGACATTGAACGCGAAACTTTCACACAAGGTGCTGTTGGCCAAGCCGAGCCCATTACTCTAATAAAAACCCCACGTTTCATTGTAAAGTTCGGAGATACAGGCAACTTAATGCTTGTAAGCGTGATGCTATATGAAGGGCGGTGTTTGTCATCGTCAAGTAGTATGACAGTAATAGAGCAAATGATGCAGACTGGCGTGTTTGTGTAACTCAGCAGTTTTGCATGAATGGAAGGATTGAAGGATAATACCTACATACTATTGATAATAACCCATAAGCTGCGAGCTAATAGCTATTTCCTTACAATCGGCATAGTTGTCCTTTCTATGACATGTGAACAATGCTCCTGCTCCAGACATTCATTTCCATGATTCAATTGCTTTGATCCGAGCTGATTTGACTAAGCTCCGTGTGATGATTGCTATGCAACAAAGCGAAGCTGATTCAGAGAGCAGGCTCAGGTCCAAGAACAAGAAAGAATAGCAAGACTTGACTAAGAATGTTAGATCAATTGTATAAGGATATCCCGTAAACAACTGACCTGGTAAAAGCAAAGACAAGGTAACAAGGAACAAGGACAAGGATAAGAGCCACAATGATTCAAGAGCTAATCTATAATAGGAAGTGTGGCCGTTAAGCACACAATCACAACACGTCTGTGCAAGATCACGTACCAAGCGACAAGGCAAAGACAAGGATCGAACGAGCAAGATATCAAGGCTATGACTAGGCAAGGACAAGAGTAGAGCACAAAGATGATCAGACTGAGGTTTATTGAATACTGATGATAGCTTATTTATACAAAGGAGAGGAATGACAAGAATGAGGCAACACTAAAATATGTGGACAAGACATCCATTGATTGTTCGAATGATGACCATGACACTAAAGAGGTTGCGTAAACGTGTAAGGTCATTGTAAGACCATCACTTCATAGGTAGTGAGAAGGCGTTCAACGAGAAATCAAAAGTTTACGAGCGAAGCGAGCAACATGGATTGCATGTCGATAACCTTATTAAAGATCTGGATTATCATTGTTGATGAAAAAAGTCATGTATTCAATGTTTACATTTACTGCATTTCCTCTCCTATTTAAACGAACATGATACTAAATGTACACTAATATCTTCGATGGCGTGATCCTCCACCACCACCACCTCCTCCTCCTCCTCCTCCACTGCCTCCTCGTTCATGTCGTCGTGGACCTCGATTTTGATATGGATGATGTTGTCTACCTGAACCATACTGTTGTTGTTGCATGGGACCTCCTCCTCCACCTCCTCTATCACCTAAATTGGGTGGACCTCCTTGGCGTCGAAATGGTGGTGGACCATTTGGTTGTGGACCATTGTTTCTAAAAGGCGGTGGTGGTGGTGGCTGTTGTGTGTTGACATTATTAGCTCCAGGTCGAAAAGGAGGCGGACGGAAATGAGGTGGCATAGGTGGATGTGACATAGGTGAACGTTGTTGTTGCTGTTGTGGATGGTCTTTGGATTGTCGAGGATCACCTCTTCGCATATGTTGCTGTTGTCTAAAATGATCTGGTGGCATGGGTGGCATTGGACGGAATGGTGGCGGTGGTGGTGGTCCATTATTCATACCAGGACGCATGGGTGGTGGATGATGATGTGCTGGTGGCATAGGATTTGATCCAGGGGATGATGGTACTTGAGCTGGTAACCCACTATTGCCGCCACTACTGCTAACAGGTCGAAAAGGTGGTGGTGGTAATGGCATGTTGGGAGGACGAAACATGGGAGGTTCATTTTTGTTGCTATTGCTACCAGGACGAGGTACATTGATTGGTCGAAATGGTGGTGGCTCGTTAGCCTTTGTTGGTGGTGCATTGTTGGGTCTGAAAGGTGGTGGTTCAAATGAACGTGTGGATTCCTCTTCTCGACTTGCTTCTTCAGCCGCGTGTTGGCTTGCATCAAACTTATCCACATTCGTCTCACCAGGTCGTGGTCGTGTCCAGAATCGTGTTGTGTGATCATTAGAACCAGATACAAGAATATGACCCACAGGATGCCAGTCTAAAGACCAAATGTTGGAATCATGGGCTGTTTCTTGTTCACCCACCGGCCCATCTTGACTATAACAATAACACATCAATCATTGAAACAAACCACAATGAGAGGTTTACTTACCCAGTAAGCCAAAACATCATTGATCCATCAGAACCACCAGTTGCCAATAACCGCTCATGTTGAGGATGCCATTTTGCAGCTAGTAAATACACTATTAATATCCCTAGCCAAATGTTTCCACCCAAGGTTACTTACAGCACACTTCTCGTTTGTGACCTCTAAACACCTGAAGCTCCTTCATCATCCGGATATCATAAACACGTACGAGTTGATCTCTGCCAGCAGATACAAGCCAATTTCCATTTTGATTCCATTGAATTGCTAATACTGTATTCTTGTGCCCGTGTCTACACAACGCGATGAGTAAACCATATCCCCCACCCTTTAACAAATGTAAGGCTTACAATGTTGTGATATTCTTGGCCGTCTTCGGATCCCAAAGCTTGATGAGGTTGTCTTTACTTCCTGAAGCCATCAACGCCTTGTATGGATGCCAATCAATACACTTGACGTCCCAACCATGTCCTGTCAACGTTCTTTCTTCATTTCCAGTGTTGAAATCCCATATCTTGATCAATGAGTCGTCTGAGCATGTGGCAAATCGGGTATCGGATGGTGCAAATCTAATGGTTCCTTAGTGAGTATACAAGGACGTCGACTCATAAAAATCCACTCACGTGAGATCACGAATAGCTTCCTTGTGTGCCTGGAACATTTTCAGATTGCTCATGTTTGATTGCCAATATTTGATAATGCCGCTATGATCACCAGTCACCATCCAATTGTCATTGTGAGACCAATTCATTGCACGCACTGCCGAATCATGTGCCTATTACATCAATGTCAGGTCCCTCTCTCCTTAACACATTTGGGGATCCTCTTTACTTACCTGAAGGATCGTCTCGAAATTGAAGGTAAGGCCATTCCATAATGTAAATTCACCACTTGAGGATCCTGTGATAAGACGTCGACCTTCGGGTGTCCACTATACAGTGAATTAAGTACCTTCATCCTCGATGATAGTATTGCAATATGACGTACCCGAACAACATTGACAGGATATCTTATCTTGTTGGTAGATGTGTGAATAAACTTGGTTGTGACGGCATTGATAGGATTGTCGAGATAGGCAGCAGGTGGCATCAACTTTGTGGAACACGCACGTATACGTGAGTATACCTCTCTCCTTCAATGTGTATATACACCCAATCCACTTACTTCCACAATGAAATTGGCGTCTGGCCTGAGAAACACAATATCCCTTCGATCTCGAATCCATACACGATCCTATGGTACGTGTGCCAAACAAGAGAGAGAGAGAGAGCAAACCAATGCAACGCATAAAGAGAGAAAGAAAAAAGATATGGAATTCAGCATGTTTTCTGTTGTGATCGAGACATTCATACTCATGCACGTCTCTTTATTGTTGACCAGCACAATAGATCGTGTACTATGGGAAATACGAACCTGCATCCAACGTGTCAAGCTGTGATTGTAGTCGACCGTACGTCGCTGGATTGCTTTACGCATACGCTTGCCGTCAAACACCATCTTGGAAAAGGGAATGTTGCCTTCGCCCGAACGCATTGGTTTTCCCATGGGTCGACCGCCACCACCTGATGCTGCTTGTGACATTGGCGAGTGTGGATATATGGTGTATGTGTGTGTGTTGTGATTGAAAGCCGATCGACTGGTATGGTTGCAGGTAACGGGCAATATCATTCAAGAGTCAGCCAACTGAGTCTATTACATTACAGTGTCTCGTGACTGTGGCGGGCCACCTTCAGCCTTTAACCATGACAACCACACCTACCTTCAACTGACAGCTCCCAACAAATGCCTGAAAACAACTATGCTTGCTCATTCTCTCACCCAAACAAGAAAAGGAGACATCGGCAATGGTAATCCAACTTTCGGGGACATCCACAAATTTGGTATCATGCATAACGACACGTATCCATCATCACTCTGCTTGAGAGTAGTAGTGGGAGTGATCTTGCAACGATTCATTGGCAGCTCGGAGTACCTACAAAATAGGAGTATCTAGGAGGACGTCCTTTGATAATGTAACCATGTCTTTAAGCGAGGATACGTATGTAACGGATGAGAGCTGAAATAAATGATACCATGCAACAAGCTGTGGTCTTTTCTTATATCTTGGACAAATTGATGCGCTCAATTTAATGCGAGAGAAAGCAAAATTCAGTGAAGATCCTTTTCTACATAGTTAACAAACGCTCCTTGATGATGCATTGTTGTTGGTAGTGATGATGGTGATAGGGATTGTGTCGATGAGTAGATGATGATGATAACTGCTGAGTTGGATATGATGATGCTATGGTGATGTGTGCCTGTAAATTTGTGCATTGGATAGTTGGATGGCCCTCCTCCTGAGGATGGCAAAGAATGGGTATGCATATGTATAGCTTAGGAGGTTGATGAAACGAGTTGTCCCATGTAGCATAAAATGTATACGAAGCATAGTGAAGAATATGGCGTTCATGCCGATTTTTCCTTTTTAGTAATAGCGTTATGGCTCTTGTTGCGAAAGACGAGCTTCTTGAAGAATGGTCGTTGAAGAAAGCTCATTTTGCTTAAACGACGAATCACCCACGGCGGCAAGCAGGAGACATATGCATTGTCTTGGTTATCAATTTTCGGAGATTGCATGCTAAAAGAAGAGCATCTTAAGTGTCTATGTGATGTGGTATTCACTAGTTGGATTCTTACCTTGGATGGTACAACATAGCTATCAGCGCACCACCTATACTACTACCATCTTTCGCCAAATCAAGTTGAATACGAGCAGCAACTTCGTCACCAAACCATGATCGTAGCTTGGAGTAGATCCGTTGTTGCATTTGTGGATACTTTTCAAACGTAGATCCATTGACACCAATGATGATTGGGTCGTTGTTATCGCTTCCTTCTTCATTACCCAAAAGGCCTTGCTGTTCAATAATGGCTGCAATGGCTGCAGATGCCAATGTTGCAGCGCGAGTTGATATCATTGTGCATACTTGCATCAATTGCTCCATATCCTCGGATGTGGCTGTTGTTGTGGGATTATCTGATGTCTCGGCGGCGATCCATTCGTTAAATTTTGTCAGCCGTTGCTCATTATTTTGCATGCTGCACAATGCCGATCATCAAATCCAGTGATCAGTACATGTAAAACATGGTAAACTTAATGCTATAGGTTATATTACCTTTCCATCTCGCTCATCCATGTGGTGGTTAAAGTCCATGGCTCCTTCCACTGAGATGGTAGATGTCCACCAAACAATGCTTTGTGCTCGATTGTGAGACTTACAATGACAAGTCGTGCCAATTCGCCAAGGTAAGCACCAGACATCATTTTCTCGTAAGCTTGGAAATTGGGCTGAGAATGTTGTTGGTCGAGCGCTTTGTCAAAAGGGGTGAGGGGTAAGTAGGACTCATTGCCGAAAAGGTCAATCTCAGTATTGATAAGCATGATTGCATCATTTTGCTGCTGCTCTTGCTCAGCATGTTGCTCTGACAGGTTGCTGGTGATGCTACCATTTCCAACATGCAACTTGCCGATACGACTTATCTTTTCCGGATACGAGGCATTGACACCCGTGCCATAGATAAACCCAATACACGCTCCAGGATGACTATAGGCATGGGCAACCAATGTTCCCACCGTGTCATTGACAAGCGCTGTCACAACAATGTTGAGTCCCTATCATGTTGTAACGTATCACGGTGAGTATTATCAGATGGGAGGATATGATATGTAGAAAAGGAGATAGATTGAAATGCTGGTTGCATGAACATCCCAAAAAAATGGAGCAAAGGGGTGTGAATACATCACCGATGGTGTCAGCAATGGCAAGGTTCATGGGGCAGTTGGCGGTTAGGGGGGTTGAAAAGTGATAGGCTGTCCAAGTGTATTGCGCACGAGCACATCTAGATGCATTTATGCGAAGCTGGTGATAAAACCAAAAAAAGAAGCATCCACAAAAACAAAAATTGAAAGGGAGGTATTATGTTGTGCTGTCTTCTCACCTTACGTGCAAAGGCTTGATGAAAGAGCCCCGCCAGATCTTGGCCTTCAATGCCTTCCAAAGTAAATCCTTTGCCCATTCGTAGAATCTTGCCATGTATGATGCTCGTTTGGCTAAGGTATAAAGAATGAATGGTTAACGTTACATAATACATGTCAATCGTGTAGCACATAGAGCAGCGCACAAACACAACACCACTTGATCTGGTACAGGGCATGTTTGTGCATCTAACTGTATTTCCATGTTTGGTTACACACACACAATGCACGCACACAGTAGTAGTAGAAGTGTCCCCAATCATCTTTCTCCTCACTCTTTCATCCCTCTCCCCCCCAAATACTGTCAATCTATGTTGTTCTATGTCGAAATTGACAATTATCAATTGACGTTTCCCGCTCTCTCCTTTAGCTAGCCACTTCCACCACCACACACACAAAGAAAAAATCTTGCTACTTACTCTACAGGGAAGCTCCAGCAAACACCCATGGCGAGTGGTTCCGTAGCTGATAGCTGAGTCATGTGCTGTTGCAATAGTAGTTCGTGTACAGCATCTGCCATCCAGTCAAAGAAAGAATCAATAGCACCTGTACGCAAATCATCGGTGACAATGCGTTTCACCTCGGCCACTTGAACTTGTCCTTGACCTAGCAACTCGACTGCTGATACACGCAAGTTGCTGCCACCCAAGTCGAGTGATAAAAATGTGCCAGTTTCATCACCTTTTGGCATACGAGTCACATAGGATGGGATCATGATGGTTGGTTGATCTGAAGACGCCAAAGGTGTGTTTAGGCCCATGTTGCATTCAGCCTTGAATCCTTCGACAATGGCTTTGTATTGGTTATCCGTGATATGGAATCCGTCAGCAATGGATGCTAAAGCTGCTGATGTAGTCATCGTCATTGTGCGTTATACGTGGGGGCAAATAAGAAAGGGAAAGCAAGAGTAAATGTATATCCAATCCTCTTGTCCCTTTTATCATCAGCAACGACATTAGGTAAGCGAAAAGGGGAGTGAGTTTTATAGAGAGACAAGTAGATATGGGCACGCATTACAACCAATAGGTGCTTAATCACATGCCTTACCAAGGCAAAACGACTGTGCACAGCCCCCACCATCATATGCACAGCCGATCTCGGCATTCGTCAGCTCACTACAACAAATTTACATTGAGGTGCTGAGCATGTACCTCTCTATTGTATTATAAACGCTGAAACCGTTTACAACGTAAAAGGCATTCATCCACGTATTATTACGTGCTAATCGCTTATTGCATTCTTGCTTCCAGCAAGTTTTTTGACAATGGCAATGTTTTCATTTTCCTTTGTGAAACACGCTTGTTTGAATACGTCGTCAAATATATCAACATGCATGCATGCTGGTGATACGTTCACTCTGCTTCTCTCCTTTTTGTCCCATTTTTGAGGAATACGGATAAGGCTGCTGTGCAGGTTTCTGACAGCTTTTACACAACGCAACTCAAGTACCACACACGTCACCTCCTCATTTCATTCTCACCAAGAGCATTCACCATCATGTTGCTATTCCATCCGATTCAAAGCAGCCAAGATAATGGTACATGGATCAACAGCACCAACATGAGGTGCGAGTAGTAGTATTATCGCACGTTCGTATTACCCAAGAATAGGTGTGCATATACATTGGTGCTAATTTACAAAAAGGAAGCGATTTAACCTTTCACCGTGAATAATAGAGAGCGGGCTCATCATCAGTGGTTTGCATATTTATGCACGTTTGCGTGGATGTGCTTGCGGTTAATGCATGCAAACGTCGGATCGTAAACCTTGTTAACCAACCAAAACCTCTTTTGCTTCCCCCATGTTGCCCCTTTATCATCGCAGCACTCTTGGCCCCAAACTCTCCTCTCCCTTTGCCTTGTACTAGTAAAGGGTTACAATGCACTTATACAAGATTTATCGAACCCGGGGGAATGAACATGATTTCATCGTCAGCATATCCCAATAATGTATCCCACAGCACGCATCCCCATCATCCTGCTATCCGATCCCCCCAAATCTAACCCCATAATCATTATTGTGCTGAGCAGCAGCAAGAATTGCCAACAATGACCATCCCACTAATGTCTATAGTCAAATGAAAACCAATAGCACATTGTGGCAAAGATCGGTGCTAGTAGCATGATTGCTATTCCTTATCTCCTTCTTCTTGTTTACGTATTGACTTTGGTAATAACGGCATGCTTCATCAAGGATGTATCATAGCACTGGTTTCCATGACAACGAGTACTATGTAAGCCTATGATCGTTTTTGATTCCCATCACCCAAACAAGATCAGCATGCTTTATATATAATAAGAAGGATAACATAAGTGGACAAGGCCAGTAAATCAAATAGCAGAGAATTAACTACACAAAACATCTTACAAAGGACTACTACTCAAAAGGACCACTTATGGTTGTGATAGGTCGATTGAGGATGCCTTCAAGCCGTTTCACACCCCCTACAATAGCCTGATGAGATATACCGATATTTGTGTGCCCATCCCATTATCCCATTTGAACCTTGTAATGTAATGTTTTCAGCACCGATCAACGAGTGATGCACGTGTTCGATTGATTTAAAGTATTTGACGGTCTAAAAAGAGCATGAGTTGGTGGCATTCCCATCACTGCTAGCACCATTACCTTGACGTGTAGTTCAAGCGTAGCGTCCTCGTCACATACAATCAACCCTTTGGGATGTAATTGTATGGCGGATACGGTCCACATGTGGTTGACACCTTCTTCAATGCACTTGGCGAGTGCTATAGCCTATTCAATCGCAAGCTTAACACCCCATTACATTAGGTATCAAATTCCCTCCTTTTTACCTTATGTGCACCAGTGATGATGACTAGCACTTCACGTGCATCCATGACTGTCCTAAAATAAACGTCCGTTTCCTTGTGTGAGCACGCTATCAACAATCAATGCAAACAATGACGACGTACGCAACACCCACGGTGAGCGCCAATTTGGGTACTCTTTCGATATTCCCATCAAAGAATCGAGCATTGGCAATGATGGTTTCATAAGCAAGTGTCTTGACACGGGTGCGTGAAGTTAATGATGAACCAGGTTCGTTGAAAGCGATATGACCATCAGGGCCAATTCCGCTAAGGAACAACTCAATGCCGCCCAATCGTGCGATTTTTGCTTCGAAACGTTTGCATTCCTCATCAAGATCGGGCGCGTTGCCATCAAGAATGTTGACATTTTCCGGGATGATATTGATGTGCATGAACAAATTGTTCCACATGAACGTGTGGTAGGATTCTGGATGATCACGCGGTAAGCCCACGTATTCATCCATGTTAAAGGTGACCACATGCTCAAAGCTCAGCTCGCCTTCACGATACAATTCGACGAGTTTTTGATATGTGCCAATAGGTGACGAGCCTGTTGGTAATCCTAGCACAAAAGGTCGCTCGGCTGTAGGATTGAATTGTTTGATCCGCTCTTTAATGTAATTTGCTGTTGTTGGGCAATGTCAGCATGTGATCTTTTTTCCCCACACACATGACACCAACGCTCTCACCCATCATCATCCAAGCCTGGTGGGTGGTTGATGCAACAAGAGAGAGTCGATAGAGTACTTGCCGACATAGCTGGATACTTCTTCATAATCCTCACGAACAATTAGCCGCATCTTGGTGTTGTAGACGTGTGTGTTGTTGTATGGTTGCGCGTTGTGGGGAAACAGGAAAAGACGCGGAGAAAAAAAAGAGCGCGAGAGGTGAAAGAAAAAAGTGAAAGAAGGGCGTTTTCGCAGGAACTCTAAAACCTCAGCTGGTGGGGGCAAGAAATAACAAAGCTAATTTGGTTACAGCCCAATCAAGGTTGCAGCCTTCACCCGGTGTTCTCGTCCCACCACGTTGACTTGCATTCTCACCTTTGCTCTAGCATACAACTCAACTTTCAAATACACGTCCGCCAAACTCAACATCATACTTCTTATATACCCCACCCATGCTTTATGGGAAAAACGCTTACCTAACAGTCCCTGTGCAAGACCCTGATGATGGTCTATCATAAAAATGATTTCCCTATATAGATCATCTTCGTTTTCATTGTTGACCACTTGTATTCACTATCCCCATTCCTCTGCCCAAATGATCAACTGCTTGGGACACAATACACAAGATGTATGTAATCATGCAGTGGGTGGTACATGCGCATGGCTAATGCTAAATCCCCAATGTGACTCCTACTTTGGCTGCTTGGCTTGGCACCAACAAACGCTTGAATAGCCGCCAATGCTTGTGTCACATGTTGTGTTAAAGTAAAACAAGCAGCACGCGAGTATTTCCATCCTGCCCTGGATTAGCTAACCTATAGTTACCTTAAGGTGGAGGTCTTAATTTTATGCTTTTATCTAAGGGATGTTGTCATAAAGCGAGTGTTCATGGATACAAGAAGCTCAAAACGCAGCTTGCACTAGACCTGCTACCGCTGCTACTGCTACTGCTATCAGTGAGCAGATCAATCCGCGGAAGCCTATTTTAGCTTGGTGCCCCAGGTTAATTTTTTAAGGCACCTTTTGCAATAGCCAGTACAACCAATGGCAGTATGCATGTGGGATAGAACATTCTCTCGAGTGTCTTTTCTTCATAGATGGATGATCATCGTATCAATTTTAATATTATGTGCCCTGTTTAGCTCTACACAAAGTTATCCTAATGTGGGTGCCTGCTGATCCGGAATGTCAATGGGCATCCCGATCGTCACCGAGGAGGAGCGCAGAATGATCGATGGGCGATTAAAGCTAGATAGTAAGTGGTATACGGAGGAAGGGTACTAAGGCGGATGGCTTAAACACACTCCACAGCATGATTTGTAAATCACCCCACCACCATGTTGATGTAACACGGAATAATCCGGGGTATGTAAGAGTCTATCTTCATGATCACTAGAGACACAAACTTATGCATGGAACATCTTTGTGTTATTTGGGTACAGTAATATAGCAACAACATTGGGGGGTTGATAAGCAAGAAAACATCCAAGCCCATTATCACCATCATCTGCAAACGCATGTTCCCATGACAACGGTATCCTTTGTTTGTTTGTTTGTATTCGTGTTATGTCTCAGAATGTCCATCAAACGCATAACCCACATCATGCAGTGTTGTAAACATATCCTAGAAAGTTTCGAGGGTAGAAAAGCGTGTCAAGTGTCAGAGTTGGTTGCATCATGTCAACATCTCGTGTGAACGAAAGAACACAAAGTTGGTTTTATTTTTTCTTTAATGCCATGTTGGATGCGAAAAGAGGAAGATCACACTACTGTTGTTGTTGTTGTTGATGTTGTTGTTGTATGTTGTGTAGAAATGACAGCGTGCAATAATATATACAAGAACGTATGTCAAAGATGCAAGCAAGGTGTGTGGGGGAAACGAAAGGGGAGGGGGCCATCATTGTTGGTTAATATAACATGACCTTATCGACAATGGTGAGACCGAGGAAAACGACGGCTGTGCAAACAGGGATACAAACGACACCATAAGTCCAAAAGAGCATACGAAGCATTTCCTCTTCAAACACATTATTGACTTGAGTGATCTGCACAAGGTTGATAGCTGTGGGTGAACAACCAAGAACCACCATCATGGTAATGAATACAGGGTCTGTTGCAAGTAATGAGATGCGAGCACCATATACGACGAAGGCGATTGTAATAGGAGCGACGACAAAGGGCATAATGACCATGCGTACAAGGATGGCTGATACAACAGGTTTCATCATGGCTGGAGCAGCTGAATGTTGTGAAGTTGAGATAATGTACAATTGTGCACCGAGCGTCGTGAGAATAAGTGGGACTGCAGCACGACCACAGTTTTCAATAGCTTTGGTGAGACATGGATACAAGAATGAGTCTTTGGCGTATAGCAAATGCTTCAAGGGTGTCAATCCAACAACAAGAGCCAGAAATGCGGCGTATAATGGTGGCGACATGAAACGATGAATCCGCTGACCCGCTTGCATAATCAAATCAGAAATCAGATGGCTGCTGCTATTCTTGTGTGATGATGAACCATCCATATCGCCGCCTGCTGGTAAGGTTGGGAATGATGCAAGTAGCTGTGTTGTCTCTGGTGCCTCTTTGGGCGTTACGGGTGCAGCAGCAGCAGCATAGCTTTGCTTAACGTCGTCCTCGTCATCGCCATCTTGATCCGTTGCAGCCGTCAAGGTCATGGAACTCAATCGTCGATCGGGCATGCGTCCTTGTTGTTGTCGTCCTTCATCGTCGTCGTCTTGAATCGGGGAACAACTACCATATCCCTTGCTAATGACAATCTCGGCACCTCCATTGAGCTTCCCGGATTCGGCTCTTCCATGCATATCATGTTCTTGCTGCTCGTCTAGTAAATCTTGTTCGGTCTTTTGGAGTAAGCCATAGCCATACGACCAACGAAGGAGATTGCCGAAAATTGCATAAAAGAGAGTGTAGGAAATGCCTCTATCAATAAAATCCAAATATCAGTGCCTTGTCATTTCTCTCTCCTGTATGATCATTTGCATGTTTGTTACCTTGCAGCCACAAACTCTTGAGAATCATCTGCATCCCAAAAGAGAATTTGCCCGGCTTCGGATACAGCAAGACTAGTGATGATAGCGATTGGCATCGAGTTGGTATTGCCAAACACGCTACAAGCAAGCACAAAACGGCGATATTGTGCATTTAAACCTGCCATTCTTGATACCAGATGGGCAAGGAGCCATGATACAAATGCAAAGGTGAAATAAAAGGCTGGGATCGGCCAGTATGCAAAGAGCTTTTGGATCGAGATAGTGGATGCAATGTTACTGAATAAAAGGCATGGCGTGAAAAACACAAGATTGGTCTTGGATAGCCACTATCAACAATGCCAATGATCCATTAGATCCAGGAACAAGAGGTTTCATAATCTTAGATCATTTACCTTTTGCTTATCCATCGTGAAGATCCCCATCCGTGTAAGACAAAGACCAAATAGTACCACCATCATTACTTGAAGCACGGCCTGATGATGTTGTAAAAGAGATCAGCAATCGGTTGATCCACATGATCACACACATTGAGTATGCATGTACCTGAACGGATGAAATAATGAGCAACAGCATGATGATGTGGGAAACAAAAAAAAAAAAAGAAAACAAGAGGGCAGTGGTAGTATTTGTTAGCAATGAATGAGCAAGATCGACCATGGTTTTATACTTTGGCCGATCTAATATTTTTCCATCTGTTGCAATTGTTTATTGTTTCATCTCGTACTATACCGTTCTAGAATCTCTGCTGTTTTGTTTCGTGCAAGGGCCACCACAATGCTTCTATCCAACCCCATCTTCCATCTCAGTGATGATGCTTGTAACAAAAGAGGATATATTTCTCAACCCGGTTGTACGTGTAAGTGATTCAAGAGATCTTTATGGGTAAATGCATCCAAACAAAAGACACTATAATCTAAGCAGACTTGAATAGTAGGATAGCAATTTGACCATGGTAAAAGTAGATAAAGTGCTTGGATTCTAAGAAAAAAAGATACCATAGTAAGTCATCTTGTATCCTCCACATGTGACATCATGTATTGCACACTCGCACTCCCTCGTTCTCGCTCTCACGCATATCATCCAATATCTCGATGTGGGGGTGATCCGGGTGTATGTGACCCATTTTTGCTTACCATGCGTGACAAAGCTGCCAAAGTTGCGACCCACAACACAATGCCAGGTGGTACCTGGAAAATGACCATATTTGTAAGTTTATTTCTCTTGCCTATCAAATGATGATGACAACAACAACAATACATACCATACTTCTTGTCAAATTCTCGCTTAATGTGTGCAGCAATATCCTTTTCAATGTTGTACTTTTCGAGAGCTTGTGTGCTGCATTCGATAGCTTCTTGTTGCATTTCCTCGCTCATATCGGCGCTCTTGATAACTGCCTTGGTTTCAGCCATTGTGTATGCTATTGCGTTGTGGAGGTATATGCAGGCACGGGATGAGTAAAGGGGTTTTCTCTCATTGTCTCCAAAGCATGGTCATGCGATCGTTGCTCTCAAGCTGATGGTGAACATGCAATGGGGGACGGGGCGGGTTGGTGTATTCAAGATCCAATGACTTACTCGAGGCTTGTTAATGAAAGTGTGAAAGAAGAGGAAGGGAAAGAATGTCGCAGATGAGGTAGAAGAGGATAAAAAGCGCGTTCTTGGGGGAGGAGGAGTCTCTATGAAATTGAGCTCACTGTTCTTGCTTACTATTCACACCCGCCGCGTGACCCCTCCGCACACGCACGTTTTTTTCCTTTAGAGCCTAGCCCCTGACAACCGTTTTGACATAACTGCGTCTTTTCCGTGCATCTGGAACAGGTATTTGATGCTGCATGCAATGACGTTGGCTTGCATCCAAATACGGTCGGTGATGATGATCTCGATCTTGTCCTTGCAGAAGGTTGATTTCCAGATATTGCAAAACGAGGCACATTGCAGCACTCTTTGATGCTGGTAAAAGAAACTCATAGCGTGTAATCCTCGGGAGGGAGCGAATAGATTGACGATCATGAATTTCATGCGCTTTCCTTAATCACAAATCAGGCAATTCACCACACCGTCGGACAAATGCTGTGTTTGATAACATGTGCCACATTTTTATATGTCATTTACTACTACTTCTACATACCACTATCCTCTTTTACTCTCTTCTCTCTCTCCTCTCATCTCCTCTCCAAATAAAAAAATGGGGCTCACTATGATCATCGTCGTTATCGTTGACGCAATGTAGATCGTCGTCTGGCGGTAGTAGTAGTAATGATATTGCTGTCATCGGCTGTTCTTGTGGATGCTTCATAATCAGAGGGTCTTCGAAAAACCATATTTGTTTGCCATTGCTTTTTTGTTTGTGCCGATCCAACTTCATCTACATTAGCCAAGGTAATATTAATATCCATATACCGCCAACAATGCAGATGATCATACGTACCATAAGGTGAAGACATGTCCACAGCATCTTCATCGTCATCATGTGATACATCCCGATGCATCGATAATGTAGGGTACATCATGCGTTCTTCGTGTTCCTTTTGTAACATGGGTTGTAGAATACGCCTTCGTGCATTGATGAACCAGTTGCTGATTTGATTTATTGTCAAGTTGGTTTGCTGAGCCAGAGCAACCTTTTCGTCTTCAGTAGGATATGGATGTTTTTTGTGTTTGGCGAGCCAGTCGCGTAAAATAGCCGTAACAGGTTTAGGGAGATTGCCACGTCGTTTCTTCGTATGATTCATTGAAGATGTGATGTTGCCGGAAGTCATCGGTAAGGCTGAGGATGAATGTTTTTTGATGGTGCCACTACTTCTTCGTACGTATTCATGATGATGGCGAGGGTGTTGGTGATGATGCATAGGGCCAATAATAGATGGTGGTGTAGGTGATACAGGTGAGGGAGGAATAGATGACGATGATGAGGATATGGATACATTGTCTCCTGATGCTGTGGAAACTGTCACTGAGCCAGCAGCAACCGTGTTGATGAAAGAAGAAGGATAATGTTGTGTAACAGAACGAGAAGAGCGATAATCCCCACGACGTTGATTGTCATCGCTTATACTGATCCATGATGATGATGATGATGAAGGTTCCTTTTCATTGTTGTTGTTGTTGATGCTTCCATTAACTACCCACGTTGATGATGATTCATTATTAGTTCAAAGGTACACAAAGAACACACACACAAAGGATGATGATGTACATACCCCCTTTTCGAATACTGGCCCAGAATTGCTCATTGTGTCGCAGCATATTGCTGATCTCTTGCTTGCGTTGTTCAATCCTCTCTCCATAATAAGGCTCGCCTACTCGTACATGTCCCCATCGACGTAAACCGTTCTCAACGTATTGATGATCATGATAAAGGATAATGGGATGGAAGACTCGTTGCTATAATAAAGCGTCATCTTAGTGTTTGTTGTCCCAAAGAAACATCCACCTTGCATAGTAGTGATAGTACCTTGTTATTGGCTAACGAGGTAATCTCTTCGTCCATGGCGAATCCAACAAGCCGATCGTGAATGGGAATGGGGGAAGATCAGGTGGTGTAATAAAGAGACAAGGAAAGAGTGTGTTGCTGACAAGGGAGGAATCCTCGCATCAACGATACAAGCCGGAGGAAAGGAATAAAAAAGAATCGACACGGGTGATAAAAGGGAAAGGTCTAATTTACATGTAGGAACATGTAACGACTGTCGCTTTATACAACAAGCACCTGTGCAACGCGTGACCTATCCAGGAAACTCGAAATGACACTTTTGCTTGTGGTCATATGAATTCCCCATCACATCGACTACAACATACAAGCCATATTACAACTCTCTCCCCCTCTTAAAGTCCTTTCTTCTTTTATCAACATGCTTTATCGTTATCTTACTTGGCTGATCTTGAATACTTTCATGGTGCTCGGAGCTTGTCAAAATGTCTTTGGTGCATGATGATGGTATCTTGGTTACGCTTTGACCATCTGTGGAAGATAGCCAATTTTGGTGAGCTTGACCTGATTTGGAATATGCATCAAGCAATCACCTCCTTTTAGCCTGTGAGCAAAAAACAGTACAAGACGGCGTTTCTTTTGATAGTTGCAAATGATTTGGCACATGTGCTGCTGAAGCACCTTTGAAAAGTGTTTGTCATCCGCAGCTCAGGCGCGCGTGTGTACCAGCAATATGGAACTGCATGTCATGCTGAGTTCAGGGATACTGGCACTACTAATGTGGAACTACTCCCTCGTTACACCGCCACTATAATATTTCCCTGAAAATGCCATGGTTACTTTTACCGCTCTACTTTACACCAACAACGTAAGCGTAACACTAGAGAGCTGTTTATTATCATATCATAGCCTATGGATGCTGCATTACCTATCCAGCGTGGGAACATGACGAGGCACGTTGTAGAATAGCTCCTATAGAGATCGACTGACTTTTTTTTTCGTTGCACCGCTTTTCTTTACAATAAGGAAAGAACTTCTCAGTTTGACACATATTAGCTAATGTATGCAGTCAGCATTTCCCGATATCCATATGACCTTTGTATTAACAAGTGTTTGCCCGCGCTAAATGTGGGAAAGGATAGTGATCATTTGCCTCTCATCGCACCGGGTAGAAACGTAGGGCAACCTTTCTCAAATAGGCCACTATCCATCCCTGCACAACCCTAACAACTTGTCATTATTGATGCTGTGCTATGCTAAGCCTCTCTTTCCTCTTTGTCTTCTCTCATCGCCTATAAGCTGCCGCCTATTATAGACATCACCAACGTGTATCATTATAGTGCTTGTCCTCTACAAACAATGACAGCATCGTCGTTGATGTACCAATACTGATAATTTTCCATTACCATATCCTTTTTTCCTCTCATAAAGGTAAACAATGAATCCGCTTTTGCTGTTCTACAATGATTCCACAGGTCATATGTGGATAACCCCCCTTCTGATATATCACATGCTCCATACGTGGAAAAAAATACTCATCCTTCCTGGTTGGTTGTACCTTTCACACATAGCATTCCTAATCGAGAGTACAAATTTCCTGGTAGACCAAAACATCACCCATGGCTTAAGCCACTAGCATGTATGCTGTATTAAGGGCTTTGATGCTTGTGTCCAAAAGGTCATGCTGCCGGATGTAAAGTGAAGATCCACTATGTATCCTCTATATTGATGCTTATCACAACCGCTTTTTGCATGCAGATGTGAAATGGCGGTAACGTTACACGATCTTGGATACAACTCAAGGACGTGCCAAATTTGACAACGCTGTACACGCATTGATGTTATTGGTAACACACGCTTTATACATGTAGTGTCAAGCGCTTTTGTGAGTACACTTCCCACTCACGCACTCGTTGCAAGTTCTATTGAAGGTACCACAACAAATCCGAGTGACACGCTGAATGATAAAATCCATTAGAAGAATGACACGTCCCTATGATCGAAGAGAATAAAAAGCCGTAGCATCATTATCAAAGCTGGATTGTTGATCGTGCAGCCATTTCTACCACTATGGTGATCCATCGCTTTCGACATGTCAAATCAACATCTTGTGTGCATAAACCTTACAACTTGCTCTCAATAGGTCACCCATATTACGCTGCAGGACCTTGTTGCCTTTGCCCCTGAAAGCATAAAATGTGGGTTTAAATCGCACAGTGTCAAGAATTGCCACCATGACCACTCCCTTACTGATTCCTTTCCCCCTCCTCCTCCTTCTACTACAACAAGGAGACCCTTCTTAAATATAAGAGAGGGAACTTGTAAAGATACCTCTCTTTTCATTGTTTCTCAGTAACAGCACCTACAACATTATATCAACACCATGGGGTGGACACAAAGCTTTGCTCTCAAATCCCTTTATGAACGCACTCAGCTTGCAGCTTTAATCAAGACGCAACGCATCAATCTTGAAAACATCTTTATCGATGATGATCACGATGGCGTGTTACGCGCTAGTATCATCAAGAAAAGCCAAAGGAAGAAAACAGGACGACGAGCGCCAATGCCTGCCAATGTTGGCTGGTCCAAGATTCCCATTTGGATGCAACACAACATGTATATTCGAACCGGCTACCGACCACCACTTGGTGAACATAGCCGTTGTGTCGCAAGTTTATTTTACATGCACAATGAAACAGGTAAGAGGGGTCATGTTTCTTGGACAAGGTTTTGATGGCATTGTCGACCCATCATACATAGTCAATTTCTGGACGCATTTTGTGGCACTGGTAATATTTGTGGGGATTGCCATCAAGGTGATGTTGAAAAGTTACCAAGACTGGGGACATGGAATGTCCATCATGCCGTTCTTTTGTACGATGGCCTTCTTAGGATGCACCATCATGTGCCTTACTTGCAGTTGTGGTTATCATTGCCTCGCGTCTCATTCCAAGGAGGTATCCATGCATTGGAATCGCTTGGATTACCTCGGCATTATAGCATTACTTGTGTAAGTTTACTACTACAACGTCGTGAGGAAAAGAAAAGGGGACTCCTTGGTGGCGTGATGGGTGTTGTCGTTAAAAAGAGGAGCAAGAGAATGGGAAAAAGCAGTAAGGGAGTATCAAGGATACATGTTATACTTCAAGGGATACATGCACATACAGCGGCTTGCTATGTTATGACCCAAATGGAATGCTTACCAATGCGCTATAATTATAGAACATCATACTATCCCACTACTCACTACCATATGTATTGCCATCCAGGCTGGCAGGGTAAGCGTGTTTATTTGATTTCTTTATGATCACGTATTTCTAATCTACTTCCAAATGCAGCCTTTTACTTTACTATCATTACATTAGCTGGTCTTTTGACAGTAAGTCACTATACGATGATCCATCATTTGGTTGTCATTTCTAACAGCTCCCCCTTTCAGCTATCCGTTGCTGTTGACGATCGTTTCCAAAGCGAGCAGTATTTGTGGATCCGAAGCCTTTCATTTCTTGCTCTTGGGATACTGGGACTGGTGCCAACGTTCCATAGCACTTTCATATTCGAGGTACGTATAATCAAACAATGCATCGTCTGAGGGAGAATGATGTTGACATGGCATACCAGGCCGATGTAATCAACGATCTCTTGCCTATTCGTACGTTGATATTGTCGGGATTCGGCTATGTTGGAGGGCTGATGATTTATGCATACAAGTAAGGTGGAAGGGTGGTCGCAGGTACTGATAGTTGGATGCTGATGTTGATGATGATGATTCAAGGGTACCAGAGTGTTGGTTTCCAGGGTGCTTTGATATATGGGTAAGTAGGAGGATTTCATGTAAAGGATGTTGGCTTTGGGACTCACAAGATGTGTATATACACAAGTTTGCATCGCATCAGATCTTCCACGTGATGGTTTTCATTGGCATGACAGCATTTTACGTTGCGGTAGAACACTCAAGAAGCTTTTGGCTGGATGAATCCAATATGCAAATATGTCAATCATTGTGAGGATCCAAATGCAATAAAGACACGCCTTACCAGAATCGTCTTGTTATGCAACGCAACGCAACAAAGAGATCTATAGATTAATTCGCACACTATCAGATTCTTCATATGATTGTGCCACAGTCCTCGTGTCTTCCACAAAGCCGACCCTCTTACCTCAATGTCTTTAATGGAGCAGCCTTACCAGCTCAATTGGTTCGAAATCGTGTGGGAGTCAATGTACAAGGGGAGGAATCCAATGCTGGTCACTGGTGTCTTTGCATTCGCCATTCACGAAGTCATATACTTTGGACGCTTTCTACCTTTCCTACTAGCCGATCAGATTCCTCAACTGAGACAATACAAGCTACAGCCGGTAAGTCCTGGAAGTGATATGTGTGTTTGTAGAAGAAGAAGCTGACGTATTTGAATATCCATAGCATAAAAGGAATTCAGGACTCGACTATTGGAAGTGCACCAAACGAGTGCTTTATTGCCATCTTCTATTTGAAAGCCCACTGATCTTCTTTTTCCATCCTGGAGCAACACTACTTGGGATGAGGATATCAGCACCCTTTCCATCATGGTATGTAGGATCATAGCCTTTGCTTTATCTAATTATGCAAACACTGATGCTCATTTCAGGTACCAGATCATCCCGCAACTCGTCGTCTTTTTAATCCTCGAAGACTTTTATCACTATCACGTGCACCGTTTTATGCATACGCCTTTCATGTATCGATATGTCCATCGCATCCATCATGAATACGCTGCACCTTTTGGTATTGCTGCAGAGTATGCTCATCCCATCGAAACTCTGATTCTCGGTTTTGGTACCATTGGTGGCCCCCTCGCTTATCATATCACTACGCACTTTATCTTACAATGGGGTCCTGATTGGGATTTACACATGACAACAATGATTCTGTGGATGATCCTACGCCTTCATCAAGTCGTGGATGCTCATTCCGGTTATGATTTTCCATGGTCACTCCATCATTGGCTTCCATTTTGGGCAGGGGCAGAGCATCACGATTATCATCATCAATCCTATGTAGGCAACTATGCTTCATCATTTCGATGGTGGGATTACCTTTTTGGCACAGACATCAAGTATCGCGCATACCGTAGACAACAAAGAGAGCGTATCAGACAACAACAGCAGCAAAACTCAGGTGCCATTAGAACAGGAGACGCAGCATGATGATGGTTACATCCATCTCATCGTGTAAATAGATGCCATAGTTCCCTTGCCTTCCATCCTATCCATAATCCATATATCCCTTTCATATTCGAATTGCAACAAAGATGCCTTTTTATTGTGTGCATGTGCCATAATCTGACATTTAAGCAATGAGCTCGACAACTATAAATCAAATGTGAGTAACGAGTTGTAGCCATACACGTGCGTATCCATGGAAACATACCACCACCAGCCTTCTTGATCTTCTCCTCAGCAAGGCGGGAGACGAAACGGGTGCGAACAATGACGGGTTGAGAGACCTTGCCCTTAGCCAAAACCTTGGCGTAACCCTAAACAGCAATACATGTTAAATCCTTGCATGAACAGCTGTAATCGATATCGCACTTACGTTTTGCAAAGCATCAATGACAGGGACCTTCTCGGTGTTCTTGTACTTTTCACGAACACCTTCGCCAGCCAAAGACCAGATCTTGTCGAGGTTGACAACAGGGCGCCAGTATTGGTTGCGCTTCAAGTGGAAGTGACGCATACCAACCTTACCAAAGTAACCAGGATGGTACTTGTCCATGTTGATACGGTGATGGTGTTGACCACCAGCAAGACCACGACCACCAGGATGCTTTCTGTGCTTGCCTTTATAGAGTATATGTGAGCTATTCTCTCCTTGTATAAAGGATGTTGCCAAAAGACATACCAATACGACCGTGACCGGCGGAGACGTGTCCACGTTTCTTTCTGTTGTGGTGAAGTCTGGTAGGCTATAATAAAAGAAAGAGTGTAATGTGAGTGAATTGGTCGACTTTGTGATTTGGTGTCCATCTCGAAAATCCCAGTGTCGTCTTTTCCCATCATCCATCCATCCATCCAATCCATCCATTGGATGAATCTCATCCATCCTTCCACCCATGCATCCATCCATCGCTTTGTCGTTCATCCTGCTCGCTCATCGTATGGGTTATGAGTGTGTGTGTATATGTGGGCTACTCACCATTTCGTCGACAAATGAGAGAGGGGACTATACTTGCAGCCAAGATCAGCCTACCTAATTGTTCACCCATCCCTCCTATTCAAACACCGCCATAGCTTGTCCGCTTGAACATTGGCTCTTTTCGGTCACCCCTCATCATAATGATTACCACCTTAAATCATAAGAAACGGACCCGTGTTACGGCTTTTTTATTGACAAGGTCTTATCACAAAAGAAAGAAGGGAGGTTAACTATGCTATTGTGTATACAGCCTTTGTTCAAGATACTATGGGACAATCAGACCCCTATCTCTTCCACTCTTTTTCCTGCATCCACTATAATACAATCCATCAGGTACTCACACTCGATGAGGTTCATCTCACAGGAAGAAGGAAGGCCTCTTACACCATACAAACATTGAGATAATAGGCCAACAATGCAATCACGTACTCGTCAAAGTAATCCTTTAATCCAACATCATTCAAAAGAGATAGATTCGTTCCAGTGAAAAAAGATACATCGATTGGGAAGTTTCTATCCTTTGGGCGTACACATGTGCAAAGGTGGATGGATGAACGAGAGCTGGCTCTTGATGCATAGCGTGTCAAAACATGGAATAGGATGAAGGTTGTACATGGTGACAGGTTGCACAAAGCATGACGATAGAAGCTGCCATGGAATAGCGTGTACAGTAGGATGATGGTTTAGGATGATAGCCGAATGCAATGGCCAAATTGACAATGGCTATGCCGTATACATCCAGATGCTTCCATTCCACTTACCCATATCCAGAAGATTTCGTATGTATTGGAGCAAGTTGCTACGCGTAAATAAAGCTGCTGCTATACAATGGCTATCTGCTGTTCACATAAAAAAGGCTGGAAGGCAAGTTGCTGCAAGTAAAGAACGCTGTTTGTGGCAATGGAGTAAAGACTTTGCTATTGGATGCAGCTGTTACGATTGGTCGTGGCAGAGAAGTGTGCAAGTGGGTGTGTTGTATCAAGGAAGGCACGTGTTGTAGTAGAGTGACAAGAAGGCTGCGTACACGCCATGTAACTTGCCATTCAGTCGAAGACAATCGGATCAAGGTAGTTGTGGGATTGACATGATGGGTTGAAGCAGGACAATCGTTTGCAGGTGGTAGTTGTATACTTGAATGGGTCAAGAGTTGAGAATGGGAAGAGAAAATATAGTGGGAGTGGAAGAAGTGGAAATTAAGTAGGGTATCCTGGTGCTGAACTGAACATCATTGTTCCTATTACAGAGGTCTTCTTCTTATTGTACAGATGAATGGTAAAGGATTACAAATTTATGTAAAGATAAACGTGTGAGCTTTTTGATCATCATTCCATAGCTAATGTTAAGCCATTCAGGGAGAAATCAGAAGTTCCACGGGCGAAGCAAGCAACCTCGGCTGCTAAGTGTTCCATGATTGAAGTATCCTAGACTTTAAAGAGTAGCACACAGTTGCCTATAGCTTCGTACTATACAATGAAGACTTGTATCTTTGACGATTTCCTTGGATGCTCGAGCTTGGTATCCCCTACTGCCAAAGACGACCATTTGATCATAGCATTGCTACTATAACATGAAGAATCAAATTACAAAGCACAAACGAAAGTTGTTCAAAAAGTCTTGGTATGCACGCTGTCGAGCTATAAGTGTCATCTTTGTGAATGCACATGCACATCCACCAATGTATAACGATGCATAAATCAGCACATGCACCAATACATAATGAACCCGATTGATAGACAATCATTCGTAGCCGTCGTTTGGGTCGCTATTATACGAGCTGTGTTTCACGTAAAGCCTATCAATAGTCACTTGCACAAGAGTCATGCTGAAAGAGCAATAACCAAGAAAGAGTATGCATGTACAAGACGTGTTCAATGCTGACATGAGCCATCTTTTTGCTGCTGCATTGTTGTTTTGTGATGATGAGTTGCCACCCTATCCCTTTTGAGCGAGATGATACGTTGTCATCGAACCATAGTGTATGTAAGCGTAAGATAGCATCACACACGTACGCATATGATCGGATGGATGTCCTTTTGTGGTAATACGCCGTGAACAGTATTGGAGAGGGTGAGAAGCCAAAATTACGGATTGGGAAAATCATGCCGGCACCTGCGGAAGACAAAGAAAAATGGATGGGGTTTGGATTTGAGCATTACCATTTACCGAGATACGTGCAGCTGGTAAACACAAAGCTCACCACAGACACCGGTACTACTTTACATTTGTTCCTGTGAGTCGGCGTGGTGTTGTGTTACCTTCCCGACATGTTGCTTTTTTTTTTTGACAGAAGTTGACGCCATGTTTATTTGACATGTACATACCTCAGATGACGAAGATTGTATAATCGTCATCAAAGATCCTCAGGGTGATAATTTGTGTCAATGCGCATATACATGCATGACGAATCGTTTTCATAGTATAGCTGCAAACCCTGCGTGCAATATGAACTCACTGATTTTGTCCGGCGGGTGGTATCCTAGAGCCGACCAAAAGTACTCCGCTCACCCATCAACACAGGTCTTTGGGGTTTAGTCTTCGGCATGTGAAAATTGAAAGTGTGCTTTCCCTTTCATTCTTGTATATCTTTTTTTTCTTTCCCATCGCTTTTTCTCTCTTTTTGTTTATCATAAACATTGAAGTCATCTTGTCAACATAATAACGCAGCATGATACCTGACTCGTTTCTTGCAAGGAACGGTATTTACACCATTGCCGTTTTGCAGACAGCAGTCGCACCACTTGCGTTTGTGTATTATGTCTACTACCTCGTTGTTGAACGACCCTTATTCAGCACCAACGTTGCCATGATCGATTCAACAATGTATTACTATTTTGCCTTTGAGCTTTTATTCTACGTATTCTTTCAAATCACACGAAACCGCATGCAATGCACACTGCCACCGGTCCATCCCAATGCAAAGGAACGACGCACCTTGTACTACAATTGTATCACCAACATTCGCAACATTGAGGAATGGCTCACTGGATGGTTCATGAGAGCACACGATCCATCACAGCATCCTTCTATTCACGAGATTTGTCGCGAAAATCTCGCCGAATGGTAATAACACAAGGGATGGGGAGGAGGGGTGATGGGTTAAATCTATGCAACATAGCTCCGCTCACTCACAACACACCATCACATTTAGGATTGCTTGGGCCTTTTTTGCAAAACCCCTGGAGACGGTCTTGGAGGATGAGACAGCCACAGAGGAATTGTATTGGATGATTGATCATTTTGCTGCCAAATTCATGCTCGATATCAAACCCGGCTATGATGAAGATATTGTTGCATTTCGATTGACCCTTGATCCAGTACAAGCATACCATCGACCACTCGCATTTTACGTATTCATCATGTCCATGACGTACCTCACATCGCTTATACTCAAAGCATGGGGATTGCGTCGTTTTGGACCCGACATACAATCGTCGCTTTCATTGTGGTGGAGTGATTCGCATCAACAGCAACCAAACAATAACAACGCACAATCCGAATCAATCGTATACTGGTTTAAAGATGGTGATCGTTCCAAAAAACCCATCGTTTTCATTCATGGAATTGGCCCTGGCTTTTTGCCCTACATCAAGTTTGTGCATAACTTGTTGCATCTTGGTGCACCTGTTTTCTGCGTGGAACAACCCCACGTTGCTATGCGATGCATTGAGCAAGTACCTACCATGCAGGATACTGTACGTGATATAGAGCGAATGCTTCATCACCATGGATTCCACGATGCTGTCTTTGTTGCCCATTCGCTTGGTACTGGTGTCGTCTCTTGGGCAGTACAGCATATCCCAAAATCGGTCGCAGCCATGGTGTTGTTGGATCCCATTTGCTTCATGCTCCATTACAAAGACATTTGTGTTAATTTTGTTTATCGTATACCTAAGACTGCAAGCGAGGTAAGTCATCTACGGTGTCTATTATTGCTCTTTTCACTTATAATTCTATCCCCTTTTAGTCCATTGTCAAGTTCTTCGCCTCTACAGAGCTCTACATTTCATATTTCATTTCACGGCATTTCCACTGGTTTCAAATGGCACTCTTTGCTACGCCTTCGCACACATTGGGCAAAAATCAAATGTTTGGTACAACCACCCTGCCACGAGCAACCAAAGTGTTCTTATCAGAGAATGACAACATTGTCAATTCTGAGCGAGTTGATGAGTACCTATGCGATACTGGTATCGAATCAACGGTGATGAAAGGCTTGGATCATGGATGGTTTCTCTTCAAGTCTACATGGCAAAAAGAGATCATTGATGCCATTGCCAGTTATTCTTCGGGAGAGTTGTGATTTCAAATCACTATTTTACAAAGCACGATATACCTCTGGCACTGTACATTACGTCAAACTTAGCACCCCACACACTCTCTCTCACATCTTAATTGTATATACCACCCTACGTTCTTTTGTTCTCCCTCTGCTTTTGCTATCCTACTTTACATCTCGTAATTAATCCCTCATGACCAAGGTATCACCCATAGAAAGCCTTGCGTTATAATATCCTTCTCAATTTATTATACAACCAACCGAATCTAAACAGCTACGCCAATTCTTTGTGCAAGTTTTTGATATTGTTCTCGTGCGAGTTTCCTTTGTCTCCACATGACGAGTGTCACCGAGAAGATTGCCACCACAAAGTTGATGCTCTGCAATGGATCATCCATCAGCATGCTATCCACAATAGAGCCAAAGATCAATCACACACGTATATACCTCAAATTTGATGAATTTCCAACGCTCTATCCGCTTTACATGTGGACATCCACGGTAAGATGGTAGTGAAACGGCATCAAAGTCGTATAGTGTTGTTTGATTCCTCAAGTTCTCTGCCAAGTCTGGATCATCCCATTCGCAACGCACGCGCTCCTTGTTACCGAAATCTTGGCAATACGGCGCCGTTTTCTATCAATGCCATGTTAAAGTTCATCCAAGTGCATAATAAATACTACGAGATATCCACTCACCTTTTCAAAAGGGGTGCATACGTCGCACTCACCGATAGGTGTGCAGGTGTATGTGGGTGGTTCAATATCCTCGTGCGAATGGGTATAGTTGCCAAGATGACTTGGTATGTTGTCTGCTGTAGGATCGTGATCTTGGGTAAATGGCGGTGCCCGTTTTTCCAATGCTGTGGCTGGCATGCCTAGCAACGCTATGCATCTGAAGGACAATTGTTAATGGCTATTTTATACAAGCATTAGTACCAACAGTATTACTCACATTGCAGCTATCAACAAGTGGTAAGTTTTGTGCATGCTAAGAAGAGGTTGAAGTCCTCCGCTTAATTACGACCCACTTCTTTCTGGTGATAGCACTATTCACGTGATGCGAGCCCGCCGCATGAACTCTTTTTACTCTTACGATCGCCTTGGATTGCTAATTAAGCTACCTCGGCTATGAATCTTCTTGAACTACTACTACTCGGAAAGCATTTGATATCTACAACATACCATGTGACCAAACAAATGGCTCTATAAAGAATGCTTACAATGCAAAATGTCCCCTATATGATTGTCCAAACCCATCTGTAATGGATAATAAAGCGTCTGTATACGAGCCTACTACGATAGGAGACCGGCAATGGAAGGGCGATCTATGTATTGCATGTTTCCATGCCAAATTCGTTTCCATGTCAACGTAAAAAGACCGCCGTTTCTATGGTAATCTATCGGGTATGGTATATGCAAATGGTAGTTTTATATTGTATAAGGAAGTGGACTGCATCCCAACGATAAAGTGAAAAAACAAATACAAATGTTTATCCTGGTTGCATTGAAGGAGGTGTTTACGGGTGATCTGATGCAGGGGAAGGGGAGATGAAGTGGTTGATTGTCTAGTGGTGGTGGATGATAGGACAATGGGTACAAAGACATGGTGGCATTGTTGGGCTGGGTTGGTTGCCTGGTGTGGTAAGTGTAGCCAATGTTGTTGACAATGAAATAGAGTCAGCTGCTTGACTCAGACCTTCTACTGCCTTGTCTTTTTTTTCCAAACCACCTAAACATGCAACGCAAAACGCTGTGGGGATCGTATAAGGCCTTACCTCCAAGGACGCGAGTGTGGATCGGTATTGGTGAGTCAATGACGCGAGATTGACTAGGTGCATGGTGGTTGACAGCCTTGTGTTTGATATTAGGTGGTATGGCATTCGCGACATGTGGAATGTTGGTGTCCGATTACATTGAGCAGCAGTTCCCAGCCAGTGACAAGGAGAAGCAACAAGCCGAAGCCATGTCACCTATAGTTGTTGTTGATCACAAGGATAAATAAAGCGTCCTGTCACCTATACAACATTTACAACATCACTCTTCTCTGCTGTGTGTCGTTTCCTTAGGCCTCCTTAGCCTCGATCTAAATCAAAATCACCTGCCATCTTTCATATACAAGCAAAAGAGAATCACCCTTCCTTCTTTTTGTTTCTGTCTTTCACGTTATCATCATCATCATGGACATTATCCGTCATTCTATCCTATTGATCGTTCTCTTACCATGCATATTGGCGGGTCTAGCAGATGGCAATCCCCATCATTACCATGGATCGACATCACCTGATCATCGAGGCAATTCTGACGGGCATCCTCATTATCATGCAGCAGTCGCTGGTAATGGCATACCAGATGATGATGGGTATTATGAAGGTGAAGAGGAGGAAATCCCATGGACTTGGGCAGATGTTCTTTCAGGTCGTGATCATCCAATCTATGGTCATCCAGTGGACATTGATCATACCGTGTATTATACCAAAACGGTGTGGGTAGATCCCCCAGGTATGTCATTTTCTGCAACAACGCAATGTGATGCAAAGCAGTTCATTCATTGACGTCAATTTTAGCCAAAACCACAGCAGCTGCAAGGCATCACAACAACTATTGACATCATTTATTATCTCCCATATAATCTTGGTTTTGCTTCTGGTCATGCACACCACACACACATACTTTCGCTTGCTTTCCATTCTCCCATTGTTCCCATACCATTATTAGTATTGTTGTATTGTTCTTTTTTAATATCAGTTAATCAATCCTTTTTCTAAAGACAGGGGAAATATAGGGGTATGTGGTAGTGTCTGTTCTCATTGATTCTCGATGCGTGCCTGAATTAATGCGAGTATGTAATTGAGCCGATTGATAAGATGCCGAGGGTTGTATGGGAATCCACCCGCTTCCAAAACCAAAACAAGCCTTGATAACATGTCCATGACTTTTTCCACACCACCATCTACAAACTTTTCACATGTGTAAATAAATCCATCGGGGTCCATTTCAATGTGCTTGAGATATTCAACAAGGAAACGTAAAAATTCAGTTTCGTTCGAAAGCAAGAGATCCACAAGCAAACTGTAATCCATCCCAGTCCTTTCACAAAACCATAGGAAAAGGCGATTGGGGCTCACCACCTGGATCAGTTCTTGAAAACACTGCTTAAAACTAATTTTTGATTAACATCATAGGGGAATCCAAATCCATCTCGAGATCCTTACCTGCTTGCCTCGTCGGCTCGTTGAAGCTTATTGTCAATTGTCAACACGTCCAGTTGCAGGTTGATTGCATCCTCATCATTACCCCCGTGTAGTTCAAGCACAGCTTCAAGGAGCTGCTCATCCGACATGTATTCTCGCCATCCTACAACAAATATACATGCTCTTAACAACACAAATCAACATGTATTCGCTATTGTACCATACCATGTATCCGCTCCAGTATGCGCCCAAGAGCCACTAAGATAGACGAGTCCACTTGATTGTAATTCGCAAGAGAACATAAGGAGGCCACAAAAACTTGCATAGCTAGTTTCAGGCATTCGCGATCCACTGTGATATCATCGTGCTGAATGATAGGTTGATGGTAGAATTCGGTCCTATCAGTTTCAAAGCATTCCCAAAACATGTCGATTGTGAAATGGGTGTTGAGTCGATCGGCCCAAGCAAGCAATCGTTCAAGGACACCTGCTATCTTAATGAAAACATTAATGAACCCACACTATTTGTTTTCCACATCCAATCCTCCTCCTTCCTACCTTGATTTTGTCAATGGGACTACGAAGGAGCCTTGACACTAGCTCAAAAGATCTTCTAACCACGGCAATGTAAGGGTAGCTCCATAGGGTGCAAAACTAAGGGAATGTATAAGTGGTTCATAGCTTTGACCAGGTTCATCCATTCTCATGTATCATTCCGATCTCCTTAAACTCACGTGTTGTAAATGGCTGATTAACAATTTCCTTGCAGAGGCTGTTTCATGCACCATGGCTCCTTGTTCAAATGCAATGTCATATGTCTTGGAAACGTCGTTGAGAAATACAAGATAAGCGGTGATCTCCAGCTGCCATGGTAGTGAATGGTGGTGATGATCAGGACCCAATCGTAGTATAAGCATAAGCATGATGATAGCTTTACCTTGTCATGTGCACTTGTAAACGTACTCAACCATGTGGATGTTTGTGGATGACCAATCCATGTTGAATAAAGCGTGTAACCAACATGTGCCCCCGGTAAATCCAGTTTACGGTATTGTTTGAGGATGACATGGAAGATTTCGAGATAAAGCAGGGTGCATCTCATCTTGTTGTCAACCACCTTGTCCACAGCCGTCTCCACCCAGCTTGTTCTTGATTCCTCCAACTCTTCAGTCGTATTGTCACTTGTACCAATCAACGCATGCTCCAGCCTCTGTCGCCATTTATACAGCATGAAGGGATCCTCCTCTTGATCTATTACTTGCTACGATCAACACACAAACACACACACCTTTATCAGTCAACCCATTTAAACTTGACCTGCAATGCAACTTACCCAGGGCCAACATTGCAACAACTTTGAATCGTCCGATTGCTCTGCAAGGAGCGACATGGTCTCTCGTTCAATATGTCAAGCAGCTGGGAAGATAGGACGACATGTACACACACCCACAAAGGCCGTATCCAAAATATGAGATTTATCATGCAGCAGTCCACCCGATGTAAGCATATATTAGCGATGGATGATGTCGAGATTGAATAACGTTTTAGGTGACAGTGCATATTGGTACTTGCTACTACCCATATTCAAGAACAACCTGGAAGCATGGACAAGTGGTGGATTTGCATCGTGACCAGCTTGGAATGATTCCCAAAGGTGCCAATCCATGTTAAGATGTATCACCTTTTGATTACAACAAGGTAAAGAAGATTTATAGAGGGAACAAATGATGGAGGGAAGTTCTAATCACTTTTCTCTCTCCCACTTTTCTTCTTCTCATCAATTATTCTAAAGGAGAATGGTTCAAATCACTACATTGTTTTCATCGGCAGCTGCTATCTTGTTATTTGGTGCCGTGGGTACCTGTCAACAGCAATGGGGTGGTCCTGTAAATAGGGCTATTGTTGAGCAACAGCTCTCTGATTTGAAGGCGGCCAACGTGATCCCTGAAGGTATTGTTTGCAAGCAACAATGAAATGCTATTTCTAATCTCTGTGTCATTCTTCTAGTGCTTCCTGAATTTGAGCCTACTTCATTCATCAAGTTGATGTATGACGACAAACCCGTGGTTAATGCAGGCGATGTCATTTATCCCCATCAAGCTGTCAATCCTCCACATGTTTGGTTCCCAGCACCCCGTGAAGATGCTCATTACACTCTTGTGCTTGTAAGTGGATCCTTAAGGCATATACACATACACACGTTTACTCATTATCATTTAGGTGGATGCTGATGCACATGTTCCTTTGGTGCGTCATTGGATCGTGGAAAATGTCCCAGGTAAAAGCAAAAAGAAGAAGGGGAAAATGATAGCATATCACTCATGATGTATTGTTGTCAAAAAGGTGGTAAGCCTGGTTCCAGTATTCGAGACAACATTCCCTACACTCCGTATCACGGCCCCACACCACCTGCTCTTACTGGCAAGCATCGTTACGTTTTCGCACTCTATGAGCAACCTATGGTCAATCAATCGCTTGTGCCACCCATCGTGGGAGACCCTGATAGACATCGTGCATTCTTTGATCTCGACAAGTTTGTCACCGAAAACGACTTGACTTTGGTGGCGGCTACCTATGTTCAAGCAGAGCATGAAGAAGGCTACGAAGGACGAGGTCGTGCACCTAGTAGTGTACTTGCAGCCGCAAGCAGCAGCAGTGTTGGAGCATCCAGTATGATGAGCAGTGCAAGTGCCAGTGCAGCACCTTCTTCAGCAGTCTAATAGAAAGTGGGAGGTTCTTTACGTTTATTCTTGGAATTCTTTCTCTTAAAAGTTGTGGATGTTTATCATTAAAAGAGAATACTATCATTTATTGCGCGATAAGCAAAACGTAGATAACGATGCACAAAAAGTAGTATAGTCGGGAAAGGAGGCATTTACTCTATTTGAAAAAGCGCTGAGGCACCGAAGGTTAAAGAACACTCTTCTAAAAGGGCGTTGCCTGGCGGGGTATTTTGGGAAACCGTCGGGAGGAATTAAAGATCCAACGACCCCATTTTCATGGGCCTTGTGTGTAACAATGGCTATACAACTTTCTATAGCTTTGATGTATGCAGAAGAATGACCATACACAATCATTCCTGTATCATGACAATAGCATATGGATGACACAAATTACATGAGCAAAACGAGTACGTTACAAAAGAAAGCAGCCATTGTGCTCATCAAGTACAATAAAGGTAAAGCGGCTTAGCCAAAAATTAGATGACACCGTTTTCCATACAAGCTCTAATCTGCATACCCCGCATTTCAGCATTCCACGGAGCCTATGGTCTCACTCCTCTCAGCACTCTGAAACAGCTCTGGGCCACACTTTGCTTCACGCCTTTTAGGCCGATGGGCTAAATGGTACGATTTCCGAAATGGATGAATAATTACACTCCCGAAATGATCTCCCATGTTGGGCCGTGTAACGAAAGACCGGAAAAATGCATTGTGTTGTACGAAAAAGAACTTTTTTGTTCCTTTCATCCCTGGCTGTGCAAGGTAAAGAGCCACAAGATGCAAGAATCTTAACATGCGATAATAAAGATATATAAATTGGAGACGCAATAAATGTCATTACATAACACAAAATGGATCCAGTGAATGAATAAAAGGGCATGCATCATCATCTTTGCAGATTGATTTGCGTTATAGGTGATTTCACATGAAGCTTTCTGTTTGAAGATCCTGACACACGTGGCAATGGCACAGGTCCCTTACACGTGGCAACGAAAACGAATAGAGTCATCATGGCCGGTGCGTTATCTCACTTTTAGTCAATCCTTTGGTAACATGATCAACGCTTCCGTATTGATTCTATAATGTGGAATAGGTCTCAACAAGGCTGCAAGATGGAAATGTACGACAAATGCTGCATCCACAGTGGGCGTTTAACAAACAATGATGTTGTCATGGTCATCCCGAGTGCTGGATGCGGAATCTAAAATGTTGTCCTGATTTGTCAGGCAGGGAGAAAATATCGGCCATTCACGGAACCATCGCCTAAACAGTGCCCATAGCTTGCAATGCATACAACTTTTGAGTCAAAGGGATGAAAAGGATGATCAAGGAGGCAAGGATTGTATATGGGTCAATAGTGAATGTGAGCTACTCAGCATGATCAAAATCCGGTTTAATGGTCATATGGTAGGTGGGTGGCAAAAAAAAAGATTGTCAGCAATAGGCACAGGGGACGTTTTGACCGTGTTGCACAAAGGCCGTCATCGTCATCCATGGTCCTCGGTTTGGCGGGAATGGCAGCGGATGAATTTGAGGACCAGCCATAGTTCATCCCGATGACCCATTCCATCTTCTTTTTGACTCGTTCATTCCGCGTCTTTGTTTCTCTTTTCGCTACAAGGATAAAATACAAGCATACAGCCACATACATTTGCATGCATCTTTAATCTTGTTACACTACCACTATCACCCCTCTCTTTGTCAATTACTCTTGTCATTCTTTCTTCTCCCCTCTTTATCTATTTGATTCTGCAACAGCAACACCGTCATCATGCCCGCCAGCACAGACAATGCTTCAGCGCGCATGTTACTTAAGGACTTGTTCAAAACATCGACTTCGGCGGCCGAGTCATTCCTTGGACAACTGACACCTGAGCAGATTCATCTTATCGAGGATACCATCAATCGTATCAAACGACGTAAAGTTGACAAGCAAGATGACGTGACAACAGCAGCTCTTCCAACACCAGCACCATCACCTGGTCCATCGAGTCCTTCCAATAGTGATATCAGTGATCAGGGTGCCATGGCAACGTCAACAACAACAACAGCAGCAGCAGCACCATCCAATGCGGCAACAGCAATTGCCAGTGCACTTGCTTCGGCCATGGCTTGTGCAGCACTTGCAAACAACAACAGCAACAATGCAAATGGTAACGGCAAGGCTGAAGGAGAAAAAATGCCAACTATTGCACCCTCCACCAACGACAGCAACAACAACAACAACCATCATGGACAGCATGATTTGGTAGCTGAGATGCGAGATGGCGTTGAATGGGTATCCTTTGTGTATTCGCATAATCGCACATTACGCCGATACAACATTCGTACGGATATTCAAACAGTATCGCTGGATGCCATTGATATCAAGTTCAAGGAGGAGAATTGTGTAAGTACAAGAGGCAATGGATATTCGGGCACGTGTGCCGCCGCTTAATCCTCTTCCGGTCGATCCGATGAACAAAGGGGCAAGGGCAAAAAAAAAGCTTTTTCGGGGGCAATCTACCTTCGGCTAAAGCTTTTTTGTCATTGCGTGTTACCCCACGTCTCATTTTTGTCGATCGGAGTGTAGGTTTCAGAGTGGAGCGGGTTGTCATTCTTGTTAGCTTGTTACTAAAGCTTTCTTTCTCCTCAATGGACACAGGTCTACCCAAGGGCCAATCTCCCCAGAGAACAGTATCAGGGCAACAGGTGGAATTATGAGACCGAATGTAATGTGCTTGGATGGAAATTAGCGTGGTTGAACTCAAACGAGATTTCGGGAAAGCGTGGACTGATTCAACGAGCGGTCGATTCGTACAGGAACCGTTACCCCAGTATGCGCTCAAGACGTGTTGCACGTCAAGAAAAGCTCATGAATGGCACTCTCAGAAAACGAAAGCATCGTGAGGACAATGATCATCATCCAACAACAGCAACAACAACAACAACACCACTTGCAGCAGCAGCTGTTGTTTCTGCAACACAACCTTCCACCACCACCACCACATCTTCGACTTTATCAGCTGCTATTGTCAAACCAGCCAATCAGCCAAAGACTATTGTGCTTGATGAGAATGGTACTCGCATCCGTATCAAGGTCAATGTGGAAAGCGTGAATATGGATGAGATTCCTGCTGAATTCCGGAAGAGCAATTGTGTATTCCCAAGAGCTATCAACATGTACGCTGGAGCACGATGGCTCGAGGAGTCATTGTGTAACGAGTTGGGTTGGAGACTGGTATGTAGTTGGCAGGCAAAAAGGAAAGAATGGGATTGTTGGCTGGCATGTTTGCTAATATAGGAGGTGATTGCTTATATTAGGCATGGTTGAATCAACGTCAGCTGGCTGGAAAAAAGAGTCTCTTGCAACGTGCTCTTGACGTTTTCAGAAAACGATTTATGCCATCATTACAACCTCGTAAACAATCAGCTCGTGTCACGCCTCCCATGTCACTTTCCATCGATACCAATCCTTCCTCATCCAACAACTCCAAACCTATGCCTCTCACAGCAGCAGCACTCTCAGCTCAAAATGCTTGGTATGAACAACAAGAACAACAACAAACAACCACCGAATCGGTTGTCAAGGGATCTCCTGCACCATCCTGTGCTAGTGGCACCACCATCACTCTCGACTTTGGCGATTGCTTCTCTTTGGCCGATGATGATGATGAGGATGATAATGGACAACAACAAGGAGGTGAAAACGAATGTTGTGATAAGCAACTATGCTCATGCGGTGATGAGCTATCGACGATTATGAGCAGCTCAACAGCATGTACACCAAGCCCTACATCCAACATTTTTGGTTTCCCGCCCGAAGTCGATTTATATGACTCATTTACTCTCCCTCCCGCCACTGATATGTCCCACTTTATGGATATCGACTCAAAACCACCTACATCCAATTCATCCAACATCGCATCAAACACCACCCTTACTACAAGTCTCAAACTACCCGACACCATCCTTGCATCACCATCCTTGCCATCAAGTGCCGTGGATCAACAAGACCTTGTTGTCAAAATGGAGCAGGATGATATGATATTGTTGCCATCTTTATCTACCGACGAGTGTCAAGTTGATGCTGAACGCTTCTTTTTCGACCTCTTTTAATCTTCAACCCTCTCCACCCTACCCCCCATTCCATTCCTCATCATCTCTCTCAATGCTAGTAGTGTATATTTTTCTTCACCCCTTTCTTCATCTGGTGCGTGTGCCCAATCTTTTTTTTCTTTTCTCTTTATCTATGCTTTGTAAATACGTTATATCTTTCATTCACTGTCACATCATTTCTCAAATTGTAATACATGCTCAAAACATATTGCCGGCATTCAACTTTTTATTGGTTCTGGGATTTTAGTATTTGAAATGGCATCAATGAATCATCGAGGATGCGTGATTGGGAAAAAAAGATTATGAAGCTAACATAGCAATGAAACAAGGGGAACGAGAACAGGTATCTTTTGAGGAATAGAATACTGTAAAGAAGCATAGCAGACAAAGAATATCGCTCATTGTGATACTTGCAGGGGGCTGGCCATTATGTAGATGGAGAGTTGTATTGTATGCGAAGAACAGCAGGTTTGGGATCATTGTTGAAAGAATACAGCACCCAACATTGAGATGGCGAATTATCCGAGTGATACTGTTTATTGGATTGTGATGATGGATGATCAAGGAGGACCAATATGGATTTCATTCAAGCGAGGCGTGATTCAAGAGCAATCTTTAGTGAGTGGATAGGATGATTGCACTATGCATGGAGCATGATGCATCGAAGACGCAATGAGGGATTTGGATGATAACAATGAATGATCTTTATTGAAACACACACCCTATTTTACTCTCTGGTGATATCGAGAATAGTGTTGTAAATGGTGATAATGTCCATTTGGCTTTATGCAATGTCAATGTGATGATGGTTAGGATGGGTGATGTAATGATGGCTGGCTGGCTGAGTTAAAGTTGTATGCTTGATTCTCAAACAATCACACATCCCCTTCTCCCTCCTTCGAGTTGCACTGAGCATCCAAGTATGGTACGCACCAAGAAACAAGCGCTTGCCGGAGTGAGCTGTTCACTGTCGATGCAGAGGCACGGTAAACAACACTTTTTCCTTGTACCTTATGCAGTTGAAATCACAGCGGAGCTCATTCCCTTTATGCAATAAGATACACGCGATGCAGGGATTCTCAAGGTCGGTTGCTCGTTTGACACAACCCTCGATTCACGTAGCTCATTCACCCTCATTCAACCCTTAGAAACAACCTAGCAACGTGTATCCACAACAGACATGGTAACGTATGAGATACGTGCTATCCTTCGATATGGCTAAAAATACGAGACGCGTGCATATGGATTGACAGGCCCGAAGACAATCCCCAGGGGTTCATCGATATCATGCAACGTGAGCGTGAATGCAAGGTGTTCCTTATCCAGCATGCATTTCCCAGTATCACGTATCAAGAAGCTGATGTCATGCTCATGGATTGTGGATTCAAAGAGGTATGTTGTGATGGGTGATTGAAGGAGGAGGTACATTGGCATTAAAATGTCAGCTTGCAGGATGAAGTGATCCATCGATTATCGACTCGACCTGATTATCTCGATGGTATTCGACGCATTCTTGGATCATTTGAACAATCACCATCAACAATGACCACAATGGAGGATTCTACTATCAATGCAACAACTTCCATTTCAAATTCATCACGAGCCATGACACCACCCACACCTATTCCAAAACAATCACCAAGATCAAAGTATACCATGAAATCAAAAAAGAAGGACAAGTAGGTTGTTGATATTCATTGCCATTACATATTATTCTATCTACTAAGCTGTATCTTTATGTAATTAGCCATCACATTCATGCCGAAAAGACCCCATCGACTCGTATGGCTGGTGGACGTTTGGCGTTGGATGATGCTCTTCGACAAATTCAAAGCTCGAATTCTCCTGACAAGGCATACGAAGGCTGGTCACAAGCTCGTATTCGTGCTTTCCAAATGATCAATGAAAATCCAAACAGCTATTACTATCGATTCAACGCGCCTGGTGAAGAGCAACGAAAGGGTGCTTGGACACAAGAAGAACGAGAGCTTTTCTTTAATCGACTCAAGGAAGTGGGCGCCAATGGACAATGGGGCATTTTTTCGATAGCCATCCCTGGCAGAGTGGGATACCAGGTAAAATGAAAAATCAAATACTTACTATCATGATCATGGTGTCTCAACGGTATCCTTTGCTTGTAGTGTTCAAACTATTACCGATTATTGATCCAAACGGGGCAAGTGCATGATCCCAACTACGTGGTGGATGATAAAGGCAAGGTGCATTACTTGTTTGAAAAACGAAATGCGGATGGGGCTGTTCAAAAGACGTTTCGCACCCATGCTCCACACCAATTTGGAAAGAAAACAGCAACAACACCAACACCAACACCAAAGAAAAAGAAGAAAAAGGACGATGGCGATACATCTGGTTCTTTCAGTGTTGGTATAAGGAAGTCATCTCGCCTTGCAGCAGCTGGCCGTGTCACTCGAAGCAGGCAGCAAGACTAGTAGGCTAGTTTTGATCCCTCCCTTTTTTTCCCTTTTCATACCTTTCATATATCCAATAAATTACCATGCACACAAACAAACACAAACGGGATTAAGAACGCAGGAACCAGATAATGATGTCAATTTTCTTCAAACATGCAATCTATTCTAATCTCACTATACTATCGACGTCCTCGAGAATCCGATGTAGCAAAATTGACCAAGGGTTTGATTTGACGTTCCATCAATTGCCTGGAATGCAGTTGTTCAGGGTCTTCCAAATTAAGCAACGGCCCATTACTTGGCATGGCTGATCCACCTGGCATAGCAGGCATAGGGACATCAGGTTGTTGCCATCGTGCCTTATCCCTTGAAGAGGTGGGTTTCCTCCGAAGTGACACATGTCGACGTGTTGGTGCGGGTTGGTCATCCTGGTGATGTGCCGTGGTATCACGTGTGCTCTTGGATCGAGATAACTTGCTGCTAACATGTTGTTGTTGTTGTTGTTGTTCAATGCCCGTCTTTTTTGCAAGTAATGATCCTTTAGCAAAGGGGGTTTTATCTTGTAGTTGAATGAGTGTGGATCCACCACCATTATCATCTGGTATCGATTGAGACATTGCCTGTTGTTGAGGTAGAGGTGGCGGCACCTGCTGCTGCTGTTGTTGTTGTTGTGGATAGTTGCCTTCTTCTTGGTTGCTTTGGGCAAGTAAAGATCCTTTAGCAAAGGTTTCTCGATCGGTGCAATCAATTAATGGATTATCAGGAATTCGACGTCGACTGCTGTGTCGAGATAAAGTGCTTCTGCCATTCTCAATAGGGACCGGGTATTTCTTGTTGAGCTCTTCATCATTGTTGTTGTACGAAGCTGCCATTTCGCGGGTGGATTTATGTCGTCGTAATGTACCACCTCGGCTGGATATATCCGATGCATCGTTTCGAGATGAGGGAGAATCGGCTCGGCTAAGGTCAACGGGCAAAAGTGGATTGGTGACACGATTGGGATGCTGTTGATAATACACGGCGCTCTTTATGAAACCATTAGACCCAAGTGATCAAACCTTACATGTGTTGTAATCTCTTACCTTTGAGCAGCGAATACTCAATACCCATTCTTTTAATGAATCCGCGTCCTCAGCTGAAAACATCTTCATGTAATCTTCGGAACGTTCAAAGACACGTGGTTTTTCTTGTGCACGTAATGCAAAGACGTATTCAGTAGGTGCATCTCGGAAAGGATGAAGCATGGTGTACACGTCAAATGTTGATAGCTGACACAAGACTACGGCATTCGTTCCTTTGCTATCCTTTGAATGATGAATAGCATTGTCCATGATAAAACAGAATCGCTTATGCCATTTGCCCTTCTTGTATTCGACATTCAGCCATCCATAATGCGGAGGATACAGTTTCTGAAGTACGCTCTATATTCGTGAAACCTTGTTAGTGGATCCAGGTATGCATATCGAATACTACTCATCCACTTACATCCGCAACAAGGGAATCGCAATACCTATACTTTTTGACCAAAAGATAGCTATTCATTTCAGGATCCCAGGTAGATACGCTATCCATCACCACTTCCCATTGTCTCAAAGGTCGTTCTAAACAAGGAATTAGCTTCGAGCTATCAGGCTGCATGCATCATTGACGAGTGAGCATACCTAATCCATAGCTGTTGCAAATCTCAAACATAGCCCAATCATCGGTATTATCAAGCAACCCCTTCTTCTTCAAATATTGAAGCACCATTGCGGTTGTGAGTAGATTGGTCAATTGGACGGTTTTGTGTGTTGATCCATCATTGATATAGATGCGGATAGTGAGTGTGCGGATCATGCTTCGGTTGTAGGTGGCATGGTTGACAGCGGTAGTTGTGGGAGGTGCTGGTGCTGATGTGGGTGTATCCATGGCTGCTGTTGGTGGAGGCTGTTGCCATGCAACAAGTTAGTAACCCAATTCATGCGACCTGAACAATCATCACTACAACAACAATACCTGCTTTTTCTCGGCACCATCACTACTACCAGACTCCAAAACAGCCCAAGCACATTGAACAGCAGCACGTAAATCCTCTTCATCCTTGTCAACGGTAGTTTGTTGATGCTGCTGCTGAGTCGTCGGGAGCGGCGGAACGGGTGGTTCGTTGCTATGGTGATGCATATGACGCCTACTGCCACCACTGCTAGCACTTCGTTGAAGAGTGGATATGTTGGGTACAGGGCTTCTATCTCTTGAACGATACCCCTTCATGGTGTTGGATCGGCTTGGACGAGGAGAAGCATTCTTCGCTTTGGCATTGAGTAGTTGTGCAACACAGACATTGTCATCATCGTCGTCGTCGTGTCGAATGGGATAGCTGTCAGATGGCTGTTTTTCGTGCATTGTAGAAGGGTGATGGGACCTAGAATAAGAAGGAGGCTGTTGTTGTTGGTGGTGTCGGCTACCGGTAACCACACCGGTGGGTCCAGGCGTATCCACTGTCTGACAAAGAGCACGCGAGTTAATAAACAATGTAGTTAAAATTGGATGATTGTTTGTCCTACAACCCGTCATCATCATCATCATCCCAAAGTCTTTATTGTACTTGCCATAGTAAATTCATTCACTTGCTTTTCAAGATCACGAAGAGCATCATCCAAGTCGCTTGGGTTCATGATTGCAGAATCGGGAGATAAAAGAGAGGACAATCTGTTCTCTTTCCTAATCATATATATAACTTTTTGTGTCACGTAAAGGAGGATTTGGGGGGTTATCCTTCATTGGACATGCGCGTGTTGTTCGCCAGCCAGGTACCACCCATCCATCCCCTCTCTATACCCCCTTTACATCCTTAGGTAGCACACAACAACATCAACATTATGCAATCCACTTGAATAGTATATGTATATATAATCATGATTGTTGGATACAAAAAGGACATGATAGCATCATTGGCAACTATAACACTCTCTCTCCACGTTTTCGATCAACAAAACTAGAAAGGGACAAGAACACATTCTTAGACATCTTTTTCGCGGTACTCCAAATTAAATAATTAGCTTACCTTCCAGTGATTGCCGCACGAGACACAAGTGACAAAGGTCGTCATTGGTTCATCAGCACTACGAGTCTGCATCTGAAAGTAGGTACACCTCCGGCCCTTGCACTTTCCACACATAAACATGTCTGTTTCAGCTTGAGCCGATCCAGCGCCTCTTGCCTTGAATAATGCCTCTTCAGCCAATTTACGATCACGCGCTTTCGACTCCTCTGATGCCATATCCTGTTGTTTTTGGTTTAATAAAGTACCATGGAACAAAAAGACCATTCTTGGTTACACAATCTTACCTCCACACTCATTGTGCACAGCTTGGCAATAGGAAGCTCTCCACTCACGACGCTTTCACGCAATCCAGGGTTGCTCTTGCTCTTTAAATTCAATGCCAATGTTCTCACCTTGGCCTTGTATCCATCATTCATCAATCCGAATTCATCGAAAATCGTCTTCTCAATGGCCAGAGCTCGTTTCAAAAGTAAATCAGAATCTAAAGGGGTGGTTTGGTTGGTAAACATCAATCGTCACAAGGATGAAAATGAACCCTACCTGCATAACTTCCAAGCGCTACAGCACTATACATGAGCTCAATGGTCTTATCTCTTGGGCCATTGCCTGTGGACTGATATTTGACATCATCCGATTTGATTGTTCTAGGAGGACCATTCTCAGAGGTGGGTGACTTTGGTGATTTTGGTGAAGGAGCAGTGGATGAAGCAGCTGATGATCGCCGAGGGGTTGTTTGGCCACTGTTTGCGTTTGATGCTGTATTATTATTACTACTTGGTGTTGTTGTGGTTGCTATTTAGAGTACAAGGTTAGTCGCCTTGCTGTTGCCATGATCACAATCCCCCATTACCTTTTCCATCTCCTTTGGCTTTGGCACTCTGCACAACATCGTCCTTCCACTTTCTCACAATCTCTTTGGCTTTCTGTGATACAGTCGCATCGCTATGGGTTCTCAACTTGCCAAGCGTCTTGCCAATGTCTGTTTTCTATCAATGACCCATATTAGATTCTCTTCTTGTCTCTTCCATTATCCATCCTTCTTACCCTCAAAAGATCTTGCGTTGCTTTGACTTTACCAAGCTGTGTGAGGATATCCAAAATGTCCTGTAAAACCGGTGATATACATCAGATCACAGCACAAAGCATGTGTTGATATAGACGAATGGTGGTGGTGGTTGTTGACAGACAAGGAAAGGGACAAGGTGTGGAATAAAGAGAAAATAAGCCGATCGACTGGTGATCGATGCAGAGAGTTGTCGGTTGCGGGGTGCTGATCGTTGTCAGGCGTAAAAGAAAAGAGAAAAGAAGAGGTGGGCAACCAATCGACGTGTGTAATCGTAATGCGTGGAGTGAATAGGATAGGGAATTATCTTTACCTGACTGGTACCATTGTCGCATGCCTTTTGCAACGCACTCTTGGCCTTCTTAATGCTCTCCTCACTGGACATGACAAAATAGCTGTAAAAGAACCTGCCTTCTTTCTTTCCCCTTCCTTTTGAAAGCTTTTTCCCCGACAACACTCTCCACATACACAAACCGCCATTTTGACATGTTGACCAACATGCTACGATCAGCTCGTCTCGCCACTACCACCGTACGCAACTATTCCACAACTGTACAAGCACCAAAGCAACCTGTCCATTTAGGTGCTCTTGCCGATAATGCTGGAGCTGTTTCCCAGGTAACCCCATTGTTTACTTTACTACCACCCCACCACCACTACAACAACAACAACTACTACTACTACTCGACATTCTCGAATCACGGCATTGACTTTACAATTTCGTCTATGATAGCGAAAGCGTGTGGGTCGTGGTCCTGGATCTGGTTTAGGCAAAACTGCAGGTCGTGGCCACAAGGGTCAAAAGGCCCGTGCAGGCAACGGCAAGCCTACTCCTGGTTTTGAAGGTGGACAGACGCCCTTGTTCAAGCGTGTTCCTAAGCGAGGTTTTTACAACATGTAAGTCTCTTGGATAGGGTTGATATAGATCAAGTGACAATGATACTAAACGACGTATGCTTTATAGCCACGGCAAGGAATATCAAGAGCTCAACTTGGATCGTCTTCAACATTGGATTCAAAGCGGCCGAATTGATGGCTCAAAGACTATAACCATGAAGGATCTTTTGGACTCACGGTGCATTCACAAGATTGAGGATGGCGTAAAGCTTTTGGGTGTGGTAAGTTTATGCAAAGGAGAGGGGCGTTGCACAGCATGATCGAGTTGCCTAGTGCAAGCTTCCTTTTCATTGTTGTGTGTTGCATACAAAGGAATACTCACTCATACGTTTGGTTTAGGGTGCTGAATCGTTTAGTTTGCCTATCAACATTGAAGTCTCCAAAGCATCCCAGGTCGCTGTTGCTGCTATCGAAAAGGCTGGAGGCAAAGTAACCACCTGCAATTACAACGCATTGGCTCTGCGAGCACACACACGTCCTGAAAAATACATGTAGAAAGTACAACATCTCCCATCAAAAAAGCTATACATATATAAAAGAGTGATTTTACGATTATCATGGTGTATTCTTTTGGAATGGTCATCCCTAGATAGCATCAACACGCATAATCACCCTCTCTTCTATAAAGGAAACATAGGCAACGATGATTCACAAAGGCTGTAAACAATCTAAATGTGTCTTCGTGAAGTAAGCTTGAAAGCACTTTATGATACAATGAGCAGGTTATCTCAACATCAAGATAGGGATCAAGGTATTACGTGTGGGTTTAGGAATAATGGACGCATGTTCTATTTCATCAACATCGAACAATCATTGCTGGTATTGAGATAATGGACAAGGCACGGGAGATGTGTGTATGCTTGAAAGAAGTGCAAGACGACCATCAACTATCGAGCTGGTATCCATGCCAAATCACTTGAGATGCTGTTGCTAAGGAAATTGTTGCTACTGAAGACTAGTTGACTTGAAAGACGATACGCTTGTGTGACATCCCATCCATGGTCCTTGATTTCTGGAACCGCTCAAGCGCTACTCCTGCTTTTCACTACTACTACTTTTGTCAATGTCTACCAACCTTTCACGCACCACATCGGCAACATCTGCAGCTTACAGTGAGCAACGGTTGGCTCGAGCCAAGAGTATTTTGGAAAGAAACCTTAACAAGACCAGGGGTGCCGAGGTACGCTTGCATAATCGTGCCAATCGCCATTGTGTTATTCATCTCTTAGATAGGTCAGCCTTAGTGCACAGACATTTCTCTTTTCCGAGATGCTTCAATATACCCAAAAACGAGTGAACGGTATCCAGGACCTTGAGAGAAAGTAAGTGTGTAAAAATAGATGCATAAGATATGCCTTTTAACACGTCCTATTGTATAGATTAAACGAATTCGGTTATCGCGTTGGTCTCCGGATGTTGGAGCTGTTGGTGTGGCGTGAAAAGAATGCCAAACGAGAAACACGAGTCCTTGGCGTGCTCTACTTTATTCACAGCGTCGTATGGAAGGCACTTTTTGGCAAACAGGCCGATTCTCTTGAAAAGAGCACAGAAAATGAAGATGAATGCAAGTTGGATTCATGATGTGATGCTCATGGATAACGTATTAACATGGTTGTATTATAGACATGATATCTGACAACGATCCAATCTTAAGTCGTTATATCTCAGTGCCAAAAGAACTATCTCAACTCAACTGCAACGCATTCGTAGCTGGTATTGTGGAAGCGGTTTTGGATGGATGCCAATTTGTAAGTGATTTCACATCTATGGATTGCTCAAGGGCTCACACACATGTCATGTCCATAGCCTGCACGGGTCACAGCTCATACGGTCCCTATCGATGGCTTTCCACAACGCACAACAGTATTGATCAAATTAGAAAAAGAAGTTTTACAAAGGGAGGAGCTGCTCAAGTAAATTGTACACTTTATTTCTTTCCTTTTCCTTTCTTTTTGGTTTTATCATCGAAAGCAATCATGCGAGTGGGCACACCTCGGTTGACCAAAAGTGTATTGACATGTTTGAATTGGGGACCTTGTACTAAGATTTCATGGACTGGGTGTTTGGGACTTGTTCCAGGAACGGGGTTATCTAATAAAGACGATTGATAAGGGCCATGCTCATCATGTAGGAAGATGTAGTTCACTTACGTGTTGCACTGCTTGCACATAACTTGGTCAACTCTTTACACATATCCGCAACATCGATGTTGTATCGTTCCAAGCCAACCACCTTGGTAATCGTTTTCCGACCCATACGAGCCTCTTGAGTGACCATAATGGGCTTTGGCTCACCCTTCCTTACTTCAGGCTCTTGTCCAGGGAAAGTTATAACATGACAAGCTTGCATTTGTGGCAGTAAACTATGATAAGAAAGGTTAATGATCATGTTGCATAATTGGAAATGCAATCTTACCGATCCATAATCTGCTCTCGTGTAAGCTCATCCACCGTGCGATATTCAGTTTTCTTGAGCACCGCATCACATAAAAGTGCATCGATCCGGACCATACTTTTTACACATACACATGCCCCACAAATGAGTATCTTGAACAATGAACATGTAATAAAAGCAAGTGAACATACCGCTGATTCCTTGGATTTGCCAGCTCACTCTCTTTGATATACTCCGTGATGATCTTGCGAACCTCTTGAGAAGTATAAGCTTCATCAATGCTGTGTTTGGTAGCTTCAAAAAGAGGAATGATGCCTTTGCCTTGGGGCTTGTATAGTTCCTGGATCTCGATGGGTCCTTTGGATGCTGATGTCTTCTTGTCATTATCGGCAGATGGCGACTTATTGCCCTCGCTCTGCGTGGTAGGTGCAGTGCCAATAGTCTTGTATGGGCTCAATCCTTGGAAACTATCATAATGATGAGAATCAAAAAATGTCAATTGCTTCATTCATCTTACCTAGGATGTGAAAAGTTGACAGATGTCATAATCGTTTCACCTCGTTGATCTTTGATCTTGAGAATTTGAGCCTTATCCATGACCTTCAAGAACTTTTGAAGCTTCTTCCATGTTGATTGCTTGATATCAGCATCCGAGCCACGACCTCTTGGACGACAGGGTAAAATATACGACGTGTATAATGCTGACGCTGACATGGGCAATTGGGTCTGTGCCTTTTCAGGTGTCATCTTGAACAATAGCGCTTGCAAAAGAGCTTCTTTCAAAACATCATCAACCTCTAAAAGACGCAGTATTAGCATTGTATTCAATCATAAACCATTTACTACATACCAGGAGCTGACAGCTTGGGCTTTTCATCCTCTTGTTGTTGAGGTGCGTCGGTATCTTGAACATTCAATTGTGCTTCCACATTATCAGCAAGATCTTCAGCTTCATCCTTGGGTGGGTGTGCGTCTTCATCCTCTTCCTCATATTCATCATCTGATAGTGCCTTCATTTCTGGTGGATCCGATTTGTCGCCCATCGCCCAAAGAGCATCATGATAAACATGGATCAAATAGATTGCTTTGCCCTTCATGCCCGATCGCACCTTGATATCCTTTGATGCCAAAGCCATGGTACCAACAGCCAATGGATAGCTGTCATGTAGGTTAATGTCTCCAATAAGAATCCATCCCATTGCTATATTACTTGCCTATAACCTCGTACAGTGATTGCTACGAGATCACCCTTTTCAACAGCTGGGATAGTGCCATCAGGCCCGGGAAATACACCTGGAATCATCAAATCTACCATGCATGAAAATATGTGAATGACTTGAAAGAATAGCCTTGGAGCATCCCATCCATATATACCTGCGCCATCAATCAACTTTTGGATCACAGGACCAACCGTATAGAACATTGGAAGCGCTTCTGGATGTTCCCATAGAGTATAGACTATAGCGATTCGCATACAAGTCAATATCATGCAGCCCCAATGATACAATACTTGTTATATATACCTGTAGGTATAGGTGGAATCCCTTCGAGTTTGAGCCACAGTGGTTTGTTGTTGGCAACATGGACAATGCCGTTCACGTTATTCGATGTCGAAAACTTGGCTGATAGCAACGGGTCGGGCATCAGGGGAGACGCGCCTTCTTGTGAGCATTTCTCTTTGAGCGTGGGATAAGCATTGTATGCGTCGTTTTGAAACCGGCGCCGATCGGATGATCGTAATGGACTAAAGGACTTGATCTGGGACAATGGCTTTTTGAACATGGGGATCGTCGCGCAACCGGAGACAAGGCAGCAGGGTGTCGTAGTCGTAGTTCAGCATTATAGCAGCAGCATTTGTATGCCAGCCACACTCATCACGATCCGCCCTATTTGGAAATTGCTTTGGTTCATTGATGATGCAACTTTATCATACAGCCACCCCCTCTCTTTATGAATGCCTTTTGATATACCCTAGAATGAAATAAAAAACTATGTCCTCAAGAGTGCTCCACCAGCTGCTCCTTTATATGGAATGGCCCTAGTAGTAATGATCCGCCTTAACAAACAAAGCTGCAAGCCGCTGATGTAGGGTATACCGTGTCTTTTCTCTTTTGACAGTAATGTGATAGGCGTGATCATGATTCACCGCTTCTATAACGTACTTGATATAGATGGGAGTTAAAATTAGATTGCCATTCTTTGTTAATGATAATAAAGATGCACGAACCCCTCACCGTGTCTCATGGACGTTGTTTCATTGTTACCCATTACCCATTTTTCACATCTACGTACCAAAGCGTAGAAGGTGCTACTACGAGACTAAGGATTCATAGCTTCAGTAAATCAACGTGTGCGCCGACCGATGCTTTCTAATACACATGCCCTCCAACATACCTCGTTTATTCAGAGTGCTCCGGTGGTCATTTGGATGTGTACAACAAAACCACAACATCTTGTTTGTATTAAAGTAGCACAAGATTTATGCAACTGGTTGTGAGGGGATCGTGTGTATATGCACATAGCTTTCCATGTACTTAGCTCGATTTACTACCACAGCAGGCAAGGTATTATAAGATGCGCTATGAATCCCATGTCTACCAATCACTGTGATATTGCTCTGCTATTCGTAAAGATATGTAAATGATGAAACAAAGCATGTATTGAATGCATGAATGTATGTCAACTTTGCACTTTTCACACAAAACATCTCTAAGATCTCCTTTTATGCACAATACGCTTTCAAAGTATACCGAGTTTTGTTTCCATACCAGATGTACATTATATAAGAGCAGCCCCTCGCTGGACTTTACATACAAGCAGCTAAAATATGCACTTTTATGAGCTACCATGAGATAAAAAACTGTGATCGTAGCGGAATCGAAGAGCACTAATTGCATCGAATGTTCAACCTTGTCAAATTGGAAGACCCGTAATCCTCCACTCAATTTTCTTCAGCATCTCCCATGCAATTTTTGTCATCCATAAGTGTGATGACTAGAATTCAGGTACACGGTCTCTTTTAACTTAAAAGAACTAGCTTAGTGTCCTTAGAAACTTCAAGGACTCTGATACCTAAGCGTCATATGAAGGTTGTTGTTTTTCATTTAGGGGCAATTGCTCTATATTACATAAGCGATGAAGAACGCATCTTCCCAAGAACGGAGGATGGTGGGGTTAAATTGTCAAGGTATTGCTCATATTCCATGATAAGGGATCTAGAATGGAGCTTTTGATTCATGTTTTTATTTTTTGGGCTCATGGCTATTGATATCAAGGAAATGATGGTATAGCAATAGGGTGAGCAGGGACCATGTATGCTTGCGAGAAGGATGGTATTGCATGGAAGAGGGATAATCATGGAGTTGATCGTTGCATCCACCAATGTCATGTTACTAATGTCAGTTGCCAGGTTGCTTGGATACGGAAAAAGTGGGAGGTACATGGATGCATGAGTGTAGTCAAAATCTCTCAGCAGCACCCTCAGCCTGCAGTTAAATTTGTGAAACCGCACAAAATGTCTACTGCACCTTCTACTTGTTTCCACTCGCACATACCCTTGCTATATGGATTCTCGAAGGCTTTACGTGTGGGCATCGCTCTTTGGATTGCCATTGGCAGCAGTGCTCATTGTGATCTCGTTGCCGTTCTTTTTATTCTCAATCGGTACGCATGGCTGCTCTTGTTTATTATGGATCGTGCTGAATCGAGAGTTTACTGACCATGAGCCTTTCTCTCTTCTTAGGTGCTGCATACTGTATCGCATGGATGCTCTATTTGCGTATGGCACAAACGGATGCAAAGTTCAACCTTCCTCTTAATCCATCACGGGTCTACAAGGCCAACGTCGCTTTTGTGCAGCTGCTGGTGGGTTGGATAACTGATTTGCCCTTGATTGTTACCTACTTGCACTGGAGATGGCTCGTGCGTAAGGATTTTCCTCAGTTGATCAAGTAAGTAGTAGTAGCAAGGTGGGGGTTACAAGAGTCTCATTTAGTAACAATCGCTTTGTTTATAGGCGAGACATCCAATACTCGAAAGCCCATCCTTCATGCAAGCTTGATACGTATCGTCCCAGTCGCGAGCGTGCACCTATCATTGTCTTTATATACGGTGGTTCATGGTCATCAGGCTCCAAATTCATCTATACACCTTTGGCAAATACTTTGCGAGAACTTGGATGTGCTGTGGTGGTTCCTGATTATCGTAAATACCCTCTCGTCAAGGTGGCTTCCATGTATGAGGATGTACGATCCAGTATCCAGTGGGCATATGATCATGCTGAAGAATTCAATGGCGATCGTGACAATATCTTTGTGATGGTAAGGATTCGACTCGACATTGGAAACGGGAAATTGATACTAAAGCAACAATTTCAGGGCCACAGCGCTGGTGCACATCTCATTACACAGACGATTTTATCCGATCTTATCAGCAAAGTTCAAAAGGAGGATTCTGATAGACGTACGCTGCCTGTTGTGCAAGGTGTCATCTTGTAAGTATCATCACCTTCTCATGTAAATGTGTGGCACTGAATTGTTTTCTTGGGAAAGGCTCGCTGGTGTTTATTCAATTGAGCGTCATTTGGCATTCGAGACTAAGCGAGGTGTCGACAAATTATCGGCCATGTCACGTGCAATGGGGTCATCCGTTGAAGGATATGCAGAGAATTCGCCATATGACCTAGTCCAGGAACATGAAGAGCTTTTTGCAACGTCATCCACACTTCTCGAATCTCTACCAAAGATCTTATTTATTCATGGCGATGCTGATACAACTGTGCCTCGTGAGCAATCTGTCGACATGTACAACATGTTTGGACAAGTATTATCGCCCGAACGGCGTGAACAGGTGGACATCCGCATTCGTTTGCATAAACGTTTGAAGCATGCTCAATGCGTAACAGGTAAGGAAAAACACAAGTTATCCTCATCATTGCAAAACTAATGCCATTGAATAGCGTTGATGCCAAACAAGTTTGGCGAGGATCGATTGTTCAAATCACTCACAGGAGATATCCAAGAATTTGTTGGCCTTTCATCATCAGATTCCCATTGATTCCAATTCCATCATTCCCTTATCATAGACGTATAGAGCATACAGCAGCGAAAATTAAAGAGATGTTCTATTTGAGATCTAAGCTGTAAAATCGAATTTGGCTATTAAGCACATGTGATCACTGCCAAAGTTTCTATTTGGAAGGGATGGCATCACACTTTCCTCTGGGGGAAGCATCAATATCTCGGTTGCTGAAACGGTATCTTCTTGATCACGAACGAGGATATAATCCAAAGTACCCTTGTAGGCAACAGTATAATTGGTAAACTTTGGTTCACCACTTGCCGAATATGACATTGCACTATCCAATTCTCCATAACAGCTGTAGATGCTCTGCCATCTTGGTGTATATTTCTTCAACACTTGTACGAGGTCACATGTCGGCATTGTCTTGGTGGGTTCAATGGGCGCCTCTTCCCCTTGTTCTTGCCCAGTAACATTGGGTGATTCTTCTTCTTGTTCCATAAAAGAGCCAGGGTTCAATCTTGATTCCTCCAATTCTTTTTCCTCTTTCTGTGGAAGCTCAGTGCTCGTCACTGCAGCATGACCAGGATCGGTAGGTCCGGTGTTGAAATCTTTTTTGTGGTATTACAATGGGTGGTGATGAGTACGAGAGCATGATTCCAGTAAAAGCCATCCAACTTACCACCAATGACAATTGGGACCCATTCTGTGCTCGAATCCAAGGTATTTTTGAACTCCATGAGCCGCTCAGTATAGATGGCCGTTTGTCGTAAACGCTCATAAGTAGCATTGGGTCGCCAATACATGTGAGTGTTGCCAAGGACAATACCAAATCCAGGATGTTCCAAATGCTTAAGCGCCATGATTTGAGCAATATTCCCAGTAATCCAAGTGGGTGGGCATAGCTTGTCTGAATCATAATCCACTGTTGTATAATTGACCATCTCAAATAAAGTTGCATTGTATCCAATCAAGCAGCCTAATAGCCATCATCATGCCCTTGAGTGAATATACAACATCTTCCTTATCCAATCCAATCCATCTTACCATGCTTCTTTTTGGGATGAGTGAAATGTTCAGCCTTGTAACTAGATGAATGGGTAATCAATCCATTAGTACCGACAAACCAACCATCTCCAATGCATCGTTACCATACCCAAGTTTCTCCAAAAGCGGCTTGTAGAATGTATCGTATTGATCCACCTCTATATCATCTATGTCAGCAAAAAAGGACATCAATCCTAATGCCGCCTCTTTCTTACCTTGAAGACACATCACGTCTGGCTTATACATGGATATCTCGGCAGCAATCATATTACGGCGCGTTTTCTACAACATGTTAGCACCATGCTACCCAAGCCCAATCGTCAAGACAATACTCACCCACTTCAACATCTCACCCGAATCAGGGAACAGCTCTCGTTTCACCAAACATTGCCCCAAGATCTACAACAGGTTCATATGAACGCGACGATCCCCCTCCCAGAGCATGGAATACTTACGTTGAACGTCATGACAGTGAACGATCCCAATCGACCTTTTGCAAGTGGACGTGGATTCGGTATGGTCTTGAACGATCGCTGCAATGGTGATGGAGGAAGCTGCTGCTGTGCGTTGCCTTTGGATACTTCCTTTTGAGCAAGCTTTTTGGCTTTCTTTTGCTGCTTGAGAGTTTCGAGGTCGGCCTTGCCCATGATGATAGATAGTCCTTTGTAAGTGGAAGAAGATGAATACGGTTGATCCAACGGCGGTAAGTAGCCAAGTGCTCGCTTTTAAGAGAAAAACACGTACCTGGTTCTGCTGCGGTAGCGTCTTTCCCCTTTTCGCGTTTGGAACACAAGATGTCAACAAGGAACCACCATCAGCTTGAACAAGGATGCGAGGTATTGGGATGGATATAGTGAAGAAGCTTGTTATCATTATGCAGGTAAGGGTCATATTATCATGCTGGGTGATGATTGCATTACAATGAGATAGGCTAACAACAATGAAACAACAATGAATAGCAAAGCTATGAGTGAAAAGCAATCTACTGCGACAGGTCAAACATCTTCTCACCGCAGCAAGATCATGAACAAGGTTGCACTTGCCACCCAAACAAGGATGTGTTATCTTCACACGATGTCGGTCGAGTCGACCTACTTCGATAACTGCGACACCCCACCAGGAATACGTTTCGAGATCGCAGCTTTGTCAAAAGCTCAGTTGGATCGGTTCAACGGCTTTCCATATACGCTTCAAATGGTTGCATCACTTGATCGTACGACGCGTCATCCTCTCGTTTATCAACACTACTACCCTTTGCTACTTTATCATCATCTTTGTTTATCACCACCACCACCTCGTCTATCACCTTCATCAAAGAATACACCCATGTATATAAAATGAGATGATGATCCACAACCATACATACATTCAAAACTCTACCCAATGTTGTTCAGTCCCAAGTTATTCGCATTCGCGGTGTTCCTGGTTTACTTCAATCAAGCAGCGATAGCGTGGCATGATGAATGCTTCAGGCGTTGCTATCGTGACGAGATCGAACATCGGCGACATCGTCGCTATGACGACGGCGGGCGTCTCTATCACTGCAATGAGGATTGCTATTGGAAGACGATGGATCATTACTTTGATATCGATTGAGAAAATTGATTTGTCCAGCCACATTCTTAAATCATCTCTCGTGATGTTTCTTTACGTATGTCCCCGAATAAAGTGGCCAGTTTCTCGCCCCCTTTTCTCTCAAGTTAAGCTTTAGCTGAGTGTCATTTACGTTGCAGCATCGCAAATCATATCTTGCAATGCACGTGTGGGTTGCGTATATGTGCTACGATTGTGTGCAGCGGTTGCATATGCATACTACTACGCTGTGTATACAATTTCATGCTATTCCCTATAATTTGCTCTCTCCCTGAATGTATGCATTGCACAAAAATGTATGCAGTATTACTTTGAATCCTTCTCGATGATGCAATCGGGGGGAGTGTGAGTGAGCAGCAGCTGCTCTGATACAAACCAGCAACGTTTATTATTATTCAATAGGTCTATGCTAGGGTGTGTCTCATTTTACATAACAAGGTGTGCCTCTCTCATAGGTTAGATGCTAGCTAAAACAGGGCAGTGAAACAAATGATGAAATGTTTTCCGCTCAAGTGTGGATTTACTTGACAAAAAGTATACCAATAGCAGCAAGTCGGTAAACGTAAAGCATATGCAGGTTTTAGATGATCCCAGATGAATTTTGGTATACCACCAGGACCAAGTTTATGATTTTTTCACCGATGACGTTGAAGAATGGTTTATCCTGTGGAGTTGTGTTGGGCTAGGCGGGGAAATGAAAAAAGATTGTTTGTGTTTGCTACCCCCTGGCTTGATCCGTTTGGTTGCACTCACTCTAATCGAAATACAAATCAAACCCATCACACAAACTTTTCCCCGAGATCGACTACTTGATATGCAGATGATAGTAATTATCGCTCACATGTCCCATGCTCAGCAATAGGGCTGCTTTTGGGTGTATACAAAGCCTTTAGAAGAGCGTAGAAAAGATCTATTCACGATGCCTCAATGTGGATTGTCGGAAGATTATCTAAAAGAAATGCGCGATTTTCTCAGATATCTGATCAGCGTATTGGATCACATTTGAGGCCTTTTTCTGATTCGGGCGTCGCGGATAAACCCGACTCCTTCGTTAATGAGAGAACACAAAGACACACGCATTCCAAGTTATGCAATCCCACACGAGCCCCAAACACAATATACAACAAGTTTGCTCGTGCTGTAAAAAGTTTATATGTATCCTAATAGTAAATGCTACGTGTGCGATGTATGGGAATATCCATTTGCTCTTGTATTTCCTTTGCAGTGTCCCAAATGTAGAAATCGACCAGGATGGCGTTAATGGGTTGATCCGGAGCAATTTCCTTGATACGACGTATCATGAGCTCGACTGCCCATATAGAATTGCCCCGAATCTCAATTTCGTCTTGAGAACCCGAAGCAATCATTTGCCGTTTGTTTAATTTTTCCAAGAGCTCTGGAGAGTATTCGAGCACACCAAGATAACAAAGTGCCTTGTAAGGTAGATATGCAAGTGCAAGTTTATGTCAGCCAAACCCAAAAACGATTTCATCCCAGCTTGTCGGCACCAACACACACATCCACTAGTTTACCTGTGGAACCCTATAAGAGACCTCAAGTAAGATAGGGTGCACATAACATATAGCTTGTTATCAAGAAAAGCGAAAGCGGGGTAAACACTAACCTGTAGTCTGCAAACATGGTGATCGTATCAATGTCGTGGAACTCACCGTAGCTTTGACCATCGAAGCACGCCCTGGAAAAACGTTAGCACCTATAGCCGGTACTACAAGCTGTGGGGGGGGATGCTTACCATATATCGGCAATTAGAATCTGAGCACGTTTCAGAATATACACTGTTTTGAAGGAAATGGAATTTGATTTGATCTTCGGTTAGAGCCGTAATGTGTGTGATCGTCGTTTAATCCCTTATCAATATCCTTTATCCCACTCACCTTCACGTCCTTGATACATGTGAATGTCGCGGAATGATGGAAAATTCTCGACAATGATACGTAGCAATGCAGCTGCTGAAAAGTTGGCTTGCCGGATGCAGTTAACAAAGGACCCGTTGAATTTCTAAAACGATAGCACAATGAATCAAATCGATCATGGATCATTCATGTAGCGATGCACGAGCCGCATGTGCGTGTTGATGTTTATCCTTTCACTTCCGACAACAAGGACAAAGGATTTACCTCAAGTAAGACTTGGCCAGCTTCATGGATCACAGCAACGCGCTCCTTGAATAACGGAATCGACTCCTTGGTCTCGGATGCAAAGACATCTGCAAGATCTTGAACCGATGCATTGGCATAATAAGCCGGGCTTGTTATGGGAATACCATCATCCAAGGCTCGGTTGATAGCTGCACACAATGACCAATAACCCGTATACGGCGTCCCCTTGTACTTCACAGTGTAGCGTTCACTATTTTCCTTGCATCCATCATCCAAATCGCTCCAAAATGAAAAGTTGAGTACATCCACAAGGAAAATCCTGATATGCAGGGTGAGTTGTACAGCGTCGCCTGATCTCTTTTCCTTTTCCTACTAAACGCGTATATGTATTACCAGTCGACAGTGCTTGTATTCTTCTCTTTGGGTTGCAAAGCATGCTCATTCCACGTGTGTGTGCTGTACTCCTTGGCTCTCATGTTGTCCAATGTCTGATCCATGCGCGCGTCAATGGCCTGAATGCTTGTGATTGGAAAACTTTTTCACTTACGAATCGAGCGGCACGGTCGATATTGTCGATAGGGATACGGACATTCTTGCTATTCTAAATAAAATGAGATGATGATGAATGATGATGATGAGGATTGTGATGGTTTACTTACTTGAGCTATGAAGCTAGCACTTTCCAGCACGGACATTATTGATTGGGGGTAAGGTGGGGGATGATGTAGTGTGCGTAGGCGTGTGATACGTTATCGATGATGTACCAAGTATTCCAAGAAAGGGAGCAACCATGTGACACAAACATTGACACCGCTGAATGCCACGTGGAGACGGAGGGGCACCAATTTTTTTCTACACTGGAGAGGTCAATCCTTTTCCCTTGTGTTAAACAAGACCATTGGCTCAACATGTCGAGATCACCCTCTTTTTACGTCACCTGGGAAATCTTTTTCTCACACTTTTTGCCTCACATCCGAGCGGCTTTTTTGACCAGCACCCCGCCCGATGACGCTACCCGACCACTTTTCCCTCCCCCAGACTTATGGTCAACTATCCCGATTAATCCTACAAACAAGTCGATCTCGGTGCTGGGCGAGTCTATGGATCCATGTGTGTATATTGATTTCGCCATCAACTATTATCAATCGAACCAAAAAGAATAATCCACCCAATATCGGCTTGAATGTTTTACGTTTTCCAAGAATGTCTCGTCATGATTCGTCTTTGAATCAAACAATTGCTTCGTTGGATCGGATCAAGACATATGATGATATCAATCAGAAACCAAACCACACCCAATTATCCCAATCAGCCATCCTTACATCCACTGTCAAATAAAACTACAACCTTAATTCATAAATGATCATGTTGGTGAAATGCGTTATACCTAGTATAGGTGGTACTGGGTATAACATACACGCTACTGTACTCAAAGAGCAGGGGCAATGATGGGGGGTTTTGTTGAACGGGAAAGGTGACTTAGGTTGCGGCAAAGTGCGGGCATACACGAAACATCACTTGGGGAAGACCATTGGAGAGTGACTCGAGCACATCATTCCTTATTGGTACGTGTTGCATCGGCGACTCAACATTTTTTGTAATGTGGAAGTAGGGCTTACCACTTTTGTATTCTAAAGAGGCATCCGATTGCACACCTTAGGACCCCCATCTTCTTCCCGTGCTGGTTTTGCTGAGTTATTCGTTTTACTTCGAATCTCCTACAGTCGGGTAAGCCTATTATAAATATCGCACGATTGGGAAGGTACTTTTTCTTTTCTCATTTTTGTTTTTTCATCTTCCTGTTGAGGTTGTTTTCTTCATAGACTTTTTCTTTTTCCTTCATCCCTTTACTTTTTTCGCATTCGTTGCACCCCATTGTCCCTCCGGCAAATCCACCTTTGCTTCACCCCTCTCATTTCCCGCTTTTTGTGAGCCATGGCTGAGAAAATCGAACAGCCCGAAACCGCCACCAAGCAACAACAGATCGACGGTAACATTACCTCGCTTACTGTCGAGGAGCTTTACGACAAGGACAAATATGATCTTTCGACTATGGAGCTCGAAGATGTCACCAGCCTTTTGCAGTATGTCATCGAATTCTCACACAACAACATCCAAAAAGTGATACTCATTATTGATCTATTATCTTTATAGAACTACCAAGGAAGGTTTGACCTCTGATGAAGCTGCACGTCGTATTGAGAAGTTTGGTCCCAACAAGCTTGTCGAGAAGGAAACCAATGCCTTCTTGCAGTTCTTGAGCTTCATGTGGAACCCATTGTCATGGGTTATGGAGGCTGCTGCTATTGTGTCTATTGCCGTTGCTAACGGTGAAGGCAAGCCCCCGGATTATCCTGATTTCATTGGTATCGTCCTTTTGTTGCTCGCCAACTCTTTGATTGGTTTCTACGAAGAACGTCAAGCTGGTAATGCCGTCAAGGCTCTTATGGAATCTCTTGCCCCCGAATGTAAGGTCAAGCGTAACGGCGAATGGCACACCATGGAAGCCGCTGAACTTGTTCCCGGTGATGTTATTGCTATCAAGCTTGGTGATGTTGTTCCTGCCGATGGTCGTCTTCTTGCCGTAAGTGCCACAATATTGTGTTTCCCCAATCCAACAATAACTCTAATCATATGTTGTATTGCATCATTATCTTTTTAGGCTCATGGTCAGGTGTCCATTGATCAAGCTGCTCTTACTGGTGAATCTTTGCCTGTTGGCAAGGAATCAGGTGATGAAATCTTCTCTGGTTCCACTGTCAAGCAAGGTGAAGCTGAAGCCATCGTCACTGGTACTGGTCTCAACACCTTCTTTGGTCGTGCTGCTAAGCTTGTTGGCGAAGCTGGTGATGATGTTGGTCACTTGCAAACCATTTTGACCAAGATCGGTAACTTTTGTCTTTGCACCATTGGTCTCTTTGTTGTCATTGAGATCTTGGTTATGTATGCCGCTTTCCGTTACAACTATCGTCGTGGTATTGATAACTTGCTTGTCTTGCTCATTGGTGGTATCCCCATTGCCATGTAAGTATAGTGTGCTTTTTTGTGCTCTGTCGTCATCGTTGTCGCTGTGGGAAAATTTTTCTCACAAGTGGCTGTCGGTGTCGGGCGGGTTGTTTGAGCTTGTGCGCTAATTTTTTGTGCTCCACTCTTTAGGCCTACTGTGTTGTCCGTCACGTTGGCTATTGGTGCTAAGCAATTGGCTGAGCACAAGGCTATTGTCACACGTATCACTGCCATTGAAGAAATGGCTGCCGTTACCATCCTTTGCTCTGATAAGACCGGTACTTTGACCTTGAACAAGCTTATCGTTGACAAGCCTACCATCAAGACCTATGCCGAATTCAATGGTGATGAGGTTATTCAACTCTCTGCTTTTGCTTGCCGTACCGAAAACCAAGATGCCATTGATTTCTGTATCGTCAACTCTTTGCCTGATCCCAAGCTCGCTCGTGAAGGCATTGAGGAACTTGAATTCAAGCCCTTCAACCCCGTCATCAAGCGTACTGAAATCACCTACCGTGTCAAGGAAGATGGCTCTGTTCGCCGTGTCACCAAGGGTATGTCCCACACCATTTTGGATCTTTGCACTCGTGACAAGACCGAGGAGCAAATCAAGGCTCTTAACGATGATGTCGATGAATTTGCTCGTCGTGGTCTTCGTGCTTTGGCTGTTGCTGTTGATGAAGTTCCCTCTGGTGAAGTTGAAGGTGAAGGCAAGGGCATGCGTCTCATTGGTTTGCTTCCCATCTATGATCCTCCTCGCTCTGATACCAAGGAAACCATTGATCGCTCTATTGCTCTTGGTGTCCAAGTTAAGATGATCACTGGTGATCAACTCGCTATTGGCAAGGAAACTGGTCGTCGTCTTGGTATGGGTGACAACATGTTCTTGTCCAAGACTCTTAAGGATGGCCCTCCCCCTGGCTCTGGTTACACTAGCATTGACGACATGGTTCTCCAAGCTGATGGTTTTGCTGGTGTGTACCCTGAACACAAGTACGAGATTGTCGAACGCCTTCAAAACCTTGGTCACATGACTGCCATGACTGGTGATGGTGTTAACGATGCCCCTGCTCTTTCCAAGGCCAACGTTGGTGTCGCTGTTGCTGATGCTTCCGATGCTGCTCGTTCTGCTGCCGATATTGTGTTGACTGAGCCTGGTCTTTCCGTCATTGTTGAAGCTATTATTGGTTCTCGTCAAATTTTCCAACGTATGCGCAACTATGCCATCTATGCATGCTCTATCACCATTCGTGTTGTCATTGGTTTCGCTATTCTTTGCTTTGCCTTCCAACATGACTTCCCTCCTTTCCCTGTTCTTATCATTGCCGTGCTCAACGATGGTACCATTATGACCATTTCCACCGATCGTGTCAAGCCTTCTCCTTATCCTGATGCCTGGAACCTTAAGGAAATTTTCATGTACGCCATTGTCTACGGCTTGTACCAAGCTGCCTCTACTCTTGCTTTTGCCAAGGTTGCTTTCCACACCACTTTCTTCAACGACAAGTTCGGTGTTGAGCTTCCTGCTGATGTCAATGACCACATTTACCACTCGATCATTTACCTTCAAGTTTCCATCATGTCTCAAGCTTTGATTTTCATCACTCGTTCCCGCAGCTGGTTCTTCATGGAGCGTCCTTCCGTTTACTTGATGTGTGCTTTCGTCATTGCTCAATTGGTCGCCACTTTCATTGCTGTGTATGCCAACTGGGGCTTCACTTACATGCGTGGCTGTGGTTGGGATTGGGCCGGTATTGTCTGGATCTGGAACTTCATCTGGTTCCTTCCTATGGACTTCTGTAAGTTCGCTATGCAATACTTCTTCACTCCCAAGAACACCCTCAAGGAAAACAAGACCCCTATGGCTGGTACCTCCTCTCGTCGTGCTTCCGCTGTCTCTGGCTCTGGCTCTGGTCGTTACTATGCCAACCGCACCAAGTCGCTCAAGTCTCTCGAGCGTCCTCGCAACTTTGGTTCTCGTCTCTTGAACATGAACAAGAAGATGAGCATGGACCAAAAGGAGATGCGTCGTTTCTCTTCTGCTCAGACCAACCAAGCCGCTCAGGTCTTGAACAGCTCCTAAGCGTTCGCATTCCCTATGTTATTTACCTACATAAAACTCTTGTCTTTTAATTGTAAACTTTTTGGATGGATTATTACAATACACTTTTAGACTTTTTGTGATATCCTCCCTTTACTCCACATTTTCTTGTATCTGTACATGCTTCTTTGAAAAACAATCAATAGATTTAATTCATCATCAATCATCTTCTTGTTGTCTTTGTTTACTATTAGCGATCATGCAGGGTCTTCATTATGTTGCTTAACTTTGACGACGATCGTATCATGCATGCATGTTTGTTTGAATGTTGAATACAACATGCAGCGTTAAAGTTATTGGCTTGATCCACAAACACAACCTGTACAACAACGTCGGTCGATCATATTTTGCAGCAGCTGGTCCAAAGCTGGAAAAGTGGGAAGTTGCGGTATGCATGCCATCATTTGGGCAAGGATATGGCTGGCAAAGTAGGTTGTGGTAGTACATGCATTACAGCCACTTGAAATGACACAAAGATTGCTCGATGGTAAATGATACTTTATTTGATACATGTTCCTGGGCTACGTTGATGGTAGCTGGTAATGTTGGAATGGGGTGGGGATGAGGAGTACCTCTCGTTGTTTGTGAAACAGATAGGGATCATGCAAGAGAGCTCTTTTCAAGCAACGCTCTTCTTTCCTTCTTTTACTTTTGACACGAATGACCAATCGACATACCCAATTCAAGTTCCTCATCATTGACAACGACCGTGGATACTCAATGCCGTGAAGGATAAAAGAATAAGAAAGGTATGGAATGAGGCGTACATGAAGGCACCATTGCAAACTGACATTGGAGGAACCCAATAGGAGCAAACACCACGGCCTTTACCCACGTCAAATGACACGCCGCGAGAGCGTTGCAGTGGTGGTCTTGAGCCTTATCGACAAGAAGAAACATGGTGTGCAGATTGATCCTTGTACAGCTACCAACGACTTGTGGATGGTATCGACAACCAGCAACCATGATGGCAGTGGAGGAGGTTCACGCTTTGGTATGCAAGCAGAGGATGAGGAGTGATTCATCCAATGGTCCATGATCATGTACGAAGGCATGAATGGGGTTGCTCAAAGGTAATGGGATGGGTATACAACGTTAGCTCTTTATTCATCATCCTTCAGCTTTCTTTGTTTTATGATTTCATTATTACATACACGAGGCGTCCTGGTATCATCCAACAATGACACGACTACGCACACAGCAACGGACAAGTCGTCAACTACATCATCCAACATTGTATTGCACCAAAAGACCATCCCTTCTTGATCAGCATCTTCTTTCGTACACAAGCATCCTCTTCCTTCCATGATCAACCAGAAGAAGGATATGGCGTTCGTGTTTCCTTATTCTATCCAGGCATGTGGAGAGTAATGGGCAGGCTCAAGTGGATCATGGAGATGTTATCATCAACGTACACGCTTTGCAAGGAGTACAAGGATATCCAACACATCATCTCGTTCGATTGGCCCCCACCTGAAACACGCATTCGATAGGGTGGACTCTTGTGTGAACAGCATCTTTGGCTTAAAAGGTAACTTCAATCCGCTTATCAATATGGTGTTTGAATGATACTAATACTCCTTTGAAGCCATCGACTCAACGATAGAGCAAATTCAAGCAGTCATGATGGCGTCAAATGCATATGCTTTTAATACATGTGCCTTGTCGGATATGCAGGGTCGCTGTGTTTCGTTGTTATACCCTTCTACGCTTGGTGCATCAGGTACATTCAAAACCCAATAATGTAGCAGCAGGACTTCTTCCATTGACTTTTAGCTTGTATAGATGGCATGATCAATATCCACACGGTGGCTCATTTGGTTTGACTCGGCTCAACTACACTACACCATGTTTTTCGGTTTCCTGTAACCAACAACAACGGGGCTTTCATGTATATGGAGAAGGCAAGTGCAATGAAACAAACAATGAAAACGGGCGTTTATTGTATATGTGTGCTAATAATGAATTGAATAGGTTTCTTTGGTCAGGCAATGCAACTTGGGGCATCATCATCATCTCTTTGGGTTCAAGTCCAAACATGTATCAAGTGGCCGCTGCGTCGCTCTGCACTAGCCAAGTGTGCTGGAAACGCTTCTTGGAACGCGTCCAGGGCTCTATAGGCCTGCGTTTGAGTTGATGGGTCGATGACGATGGGTTTTTGGAAGAGCATGGTCACCATATTGAGGTAAAAAGGGATTTGCAACAGCTTGTGAATGTGTTGAACCAACATGCTCTTCTAGTGATAGGCTCGTTCTTTCCTTTGAGGATTTCTTTTCATGAGGTGGGAAAATGATTGGAAGGATCGGGATCATTGTTTCTTTGGAGAGGATGAATGAGAACAACTATGAGCCTGGACTCTACGAAAGTGATGTCCTTCCTTGCCATGGATCGAACTGGCCTTGCGTGATTCGTGCAGTGCTTTCTCAAGAACAAGGGATCGCTCGACGTTGCTCGTATGGTGGTGATTTGGTTTGTGAATTCCTTCTGATTTGCTTTCTTCCTTGGAGAGGATCGCCTATCGGTATATCAAATCGACATCATTCCCGGTATCATATGGTCTAACTTGCTTGCTTTCTTATTTATAGAGACGACGATTACGATGATTACCACATTCACAACAATGACGATTACGATGATAACGACATTCACAACAATGACAATGATGACGACAACGAGATTCAAAAGGAAGCCTGCAAGATCCCATTCTCTTCAACTTGTGTATTTTTGGATGTTGGTGTGACGGATGAGATTGACGACTGGTGACGAGTACGAGTACGAGTAGGAATGATGACGGACGACGACTACGACGATGGTGGTGGTGGCAATGTAGCAAGATAGCTAGATGAAATAAAGTATTGTTTATTTATTACACGCTTGGACTTTGCTAGCTTGTGGATTACATACTATTGGTTCGAAGATGGAATAATAAAGGTGGACCGGTTATCGGTCATGCAAGAAGTATATGGCTTTTGTGATACAATAAGGTGGAGTGGGAAGTGGGATGAGCTTGAGAAGAGAAAAAGTGAAGAGATCCCTCCATTGAGTTTCAGGATGAGTGACCCATTCAATATGTACATACGTATCTTTTTACATATACAAATTGGTTTATGCAGTTCGACCTTCTCCTACATGCAAATGTGATATGGAACCATTATTGTCATACGCATTACTTACCTACCTTCACAAAAGGCAATCATCATCATCATCATCCATTTGTGTACTGTAGCAACCTGTCAAGGACGTGTCTGTGTAACCACCACGTGCGGTTTCACTCAGCTCTTCATCTTTCCGTTAATGCAGCCGACACCATCCACTAGGAAAAAGCAACTCCATCACGCTTACAGCATAGTGAAAACATAAAGACAGCCATATCTCAAGATTTCACAATCAAACACAGGGTTTTTAATAGAGCAATGGGCTCGGCTTGGCCAACAGCACCTTGTGTGAAAGTTTCGCGATCAATGTCGCAAACAGCCCAAAAAATATTTTTTTGGTCGTCGTCGTCGAAGAGGTCGACTCGATTCACTTTGGCTGGTGGCGACATTGCGAAATCTGGGATTGGCCACGATGGACTTCATAGTTTGACACAAGATCGCTTTCACTCCGCCGAGCAACATGGTTCTATTAAAGACCCCACGCTTCATTGTTAAGTTTGGAGATACAGGCACCTTTATGTTTGTAAGCGTGATGCTATATGAGAAGTGGTCTTCGTTCAATGTCAAGTCGCTGGACCCTGGCAGAGCAAAAGATGCAGAAGGACCTCTTTGTGTAGCTCAGCTACTTTGCATGACTGGAAGGATGGAAGGATGATACTGTATACTATTGACAATATCCCATACATTGCGAGCTAACAGCCATTTCCTCACAATCGGCAATGTTGCCCATTCTATGACAGTGGAACGGTGCTCCTGCTTCAGACATTCATTTCCATGATTGGATTATGTTGATCCGAGTTGATTTGACCGAGATACGGCCAAAGAGGGATTACATCAATCCACACATCTAACCATGCTCTATGTTGCTCAACTGAAGTAACCTTGTATGAGCGTAGCTCAGCCAAATCAACTCGGATCAACATAATCCAATCATGGAAATGAATGTCTG